TAAACGCTGGGAATTTAAGGATTTATAAAAGGCTGTAAATATAGCCTTGTTGTCTTTATTAATAGCATAAATTTAGCATTATAAATTTAAAGAATATAAGTATTCTATAAATATTTTATTAAATATAATAATAGGCTTATCTATTTCATTTTTAATAATTATATAAGCTAAATGAATATTTATAAAAAAAGCATAAGCGCTAAATTAAATTAATGCAAGGATAAATACCAAGTTTTAAACATTATTAATATATAAGCAATATTTAACAAGGAGATAAATAGCTAATTTAGATAATATAATAATATATTGCACGGTAAATACCCTAGCCTTTATTAAGTGGCTATAATTTCTTATTTCCATAGGAATTTAAATATAATAAGAGTTAATATTAATGTATTTTTTTAAATTAACAATGTTAAAGCTCTTTAATCCCATGGCGTCCATGCTAATAAGCATATTAGCCTTTAAGTCTTTAATTATAAAGACTTCGCAAGTAAATAAAGCAATTGCTGCAATCCCGCGGTTAATATATTTTCCCAGGAATTGCAATAGCATAAGTATATAGTTATACAACTTATGAATTTTCATTTTAAGTCCGCGTAACTATAGCAAAGATACATATTTGCGAATTAATAAAAGGGGATAATTTTATTATAACCATTATCTATTTACCATTATTTAATTACAGCCAATATCGCTGCAAATATTTAATAATAATCTAAACAGCAATTAAATAAAAAAATATAAATAAGTTTAAGAGCGAAAATTAAATCCTATTCTAAGTTCTAAGTTAACCCTTACTAGCGATTAAATTATCTTTACGCCCCCTATAGTATTTAATAAGATACTAAGGCCTTTTAATTTTTTACTAGCTACTCTAGGGCATCTTTTAACGCGCTATCCAAGCCTTAATCATTTAATAAGCTAGCAATCTCCGCCTTAGCTACGAAAGCCATTAATATTTATCTTCATTAAAGCTAAGGCTTTTTAAAATAAATAAAATAAATATAATTTATTAGCAAATTATTGCTATAAAAATGCTTAATATAATAGCAATAAATAAATGGTAATAATATTAATATACTAAAAAAGGTAACGTTTAAGTAGTTATTATAATTATTAATGGAAAACGCTTCCTTAAAGGGATAATTAAAAGCCTTAACGGCTATATTTATAAAGAATTTTTTATTCAAAACTTCCTTAACTAAAGGTAGTTAATATGTAAGCATATTGAGTTACTCCATAAAGTCCGCAAACTTGCTATAATAGGCCTAATGGGGCTGATTTCATTAATATAATTCAATGGTAAATAGGGCTTATAAGGCAAGCAAGCAATAATTCTTTAAAATAAACTATTATTAGCGATTTCCTAGCTATAACTATTATTAAGCGGATTATCGCTGCTTATCTTATTATTAACGCTACGCAATATATTAATTTAATGGCAGCTAAGGTTAACTATATTCAGCATTTTAAATCTAGCCTTAATCAGCTAATTAAACCAATAATTAAAACTAATTTTAGGTTTAATTAGCCATATATAATTAATTATATTATAAAAGAGCTTAGGGTAGCTGCGCTTAAAAGCGTTGCTATGGTTGTTATCATTAGGGCTGCAAAGGTAAATATTATGGAGCATAGGGAATGTTTAACTTGCCTTTATAGGCAAGTATAAGCTAATAAGGATAAATAACATTCTAAGTAAATAAATATCATTATTAAGCTAGGTTAAGAATTATACTCTCGCAGTTTTAAACATTGTTTAAAAAGCTTTTTAATATCATCGCTTTATTAAGTTTTTAAAGTTTAAACTTAATTTTAAAAGCAAGCAATTTAAACATAGCAATTAGCTATGCAGGAAGCTTTATATTACAAGCCTTTACATTTATAATAATGATTTAAAGAAACAAAGTAATATCCTATCCCTTTATAACCTAATAAAGAAATAAGTAATTTATCTTAAGATTAGCCATAGCATTTAAGAAGGATTTAGCAAAACGTAATTTTAACTTATTATAAATTACTTAAACTATTGCCATTTTAAGTAATTAGCAATTATTATTAATTAAGATATAAAAGTACCATTTAAATGCATCCTTTAAGAGATATTAAGACTAAATTTAATAAATATTATCCATAAAATAGATTTATTTAATATGCTTTAAATGCTTAATAAAATGGAAGATATTAAAATACTTTATAATCTTCTTATTAAACTAAATGCCTAAATTGGCATGCTTATAAAGGTAGAAATAGTTAATATCCACTAGCTAAATGCTAAAACATTTATTAATGCTATTTTGCGTAGATTTAGCTTAAACATAAACTTAAGGGATTAATGCATTTATAAACGCTATAGCAATTAAATATGCAAAGTTTTAGTTTTACTAATTATAAAGCTATGCCATTACTTATATAATAAGGTTGGCAATATCTTTAGCTATAAATAATGCTATATTATTATTATTAAATTTAAGGCCTTTTAATTTTATTTTATCATTTCTTTTTAAATGCAAGGAAAAGCTAAGGTCTTAATTATATATTAATATAGGCAATATATTTCTAAAGAAAACTCTTAAGAATAATAATAAACTTAGCAAATTTACTATTTAGCAATGCTTAAGTATTTAAGGAGATTATATTTTGGTTAATGCATATAATAAATCATTAAAAAGCAGCGTTCAGCTAATTAAGGAAGTAGCTTAGGGATTAAACGCTAAAGGGAATCCAAGTAACAAGAGCGCCCGCTAACAAGCAAGAAATGCAAAAAGGCTCTTCCGCTTTATTAATTAATTTTACAACCAATAAGTTTTACCTTAAGGAATTAAATTATTTTTATTAAAAGTAAGCTATAAAAAATAAGCGTATTTAAGCTTATCATTTTAAATCTTTATAATATATAAAGACCCAAATAGGTAGTAAAACTATAAGAGCTATTAAGCATATAGTCATTTAAGTTTAGCCATAAAGTTTCATAAAGCTATATAACTAAATAATTTAAATAAATAAGTATTAAGATAATTATATAAAAGCAAAGCAAGCAGTTGGAAATTAATGGTAAATTTACAATAATGCTCTCATTATTTCATTAAACGAGGCTATATTTATAGTAGTCACCGGCTGGCGTTTAATTCCCGTAATCCAAGCCAAGTTATTAAGGGGTTTTGCAATAAGAGGGTTGTATTCGGTTTCTAGTTGTGGTTCTATCTAAGTTTATGCCGAAGGGCCAAGGGGCCGAGGACTACCTATCAATGCCCATAAGGAGTCTGTGCGGTGCTCCTTCCTCATACCAGCCCTCCTGGTCCCTTTTCTCCAGATCCACCGGGTGGGGCTCAGACGTTTCCCGCCCATCTTGCAGTATTTATCAGATTGTCCCGCCCGGGGACACCGTGACGTAAAGAAACAAATGTGAGTCAGGACGTTTGTCTGGGCGGGACGGCGAAGCCCACTGAAATCTCCTGGACACGAGAGCTGCGTCGTCGAGCTGTTGGGCATCATTCTCGTGGTCCCTGTGCCGTGTGCAGTCCCATAGTAAGGTTGGCGATACAAGTACCAGAGGTGCGTTAACTGTGTACGGCAACCGTAGGCGGGCTGGCGGGGGACGATCGGTACGGGTAGACGGTGAGCGACAAAAGGACAGCCCGTGTCATCTGCTGTGTGATTGGTGAGCCTCGTTACCGCATGGCCGGAAATATTCAGCGTTTCTATGTCACACGTCGTGGAGTATCCTGCACGAAATCCAATATAGAAACGCCAAGTTCTCGCCACGGATCCCGAGTACCGACCCCGAAGCAGTGGCACTGCTCTGCGCACTGGCAGACTCTCTCGACCATTACCCCGGGCGCTTACATGGAGCACGATCACCTTTCGTTGTCGAAAATAATGCAACCGTCAGTACCTGGGCAGACCGTCATTCGGAATATCAATAGCGGCATAGCTACCACAGAAAAAGCCCAACCGGGGCCGACAAAAGAAGGAACACACCTCGGCACTTGGGGGGAGGGGGGGATTCAACACCAAGCCGGATTGTAACCGCGGGCGCCACCAGGGACCCAGCGTCTCCTTGTCACATGGAAAGTGTTACCCCTGATTGGCCTAATTTGAGGTCTTGGACATGCATGCAGTGTGGTCTCGGCTCCCTGCTAGCCCGGCAACGTGCTGGCACCCCCGTCCACGTTGTTTGCCGGCCTCTGGGCCTGCTAGTGCGTACGTGTGCAGAGCCGGCCGCTGCGAAGTGTTGCGATTGTGAGCATCCAGAAGTGTCCGATGATCGTCCTGCCACTCATCACTCACTCACTTTTTGCATGTCGACTCGTCGGCCCTCCATCCCCCATTCCCCCGTGCCACTTAAGCCTGGGACCCCCCTCCATAGCGAATCAGCTTCCGCTTATTGCCCGTTTGACTCGTTTGAGTTCGTCCACCTGGACCGTGCCAAAGCAATAGACCTCTACAGCCAGCATGGCGAGCTTCATTATCAGGTGGTTTCTACCACCCGTCTCCACCACACTACGGCCCTGGTTGGGATCGTCATAGACAGTCCTCCCTTGTCGTTTCCTTGCCCCAGGGGATGCCACAACAAGTAAGGAAAAACACAAGTCTAGCGTCGGAGATTGAGCATCGATTTGGAAGGAAGGCAACATGACAGAGGTACAGTGCCCTGCCCTGCCCTGCCCTGCCATGCCATGCCATGCCATGTCACAAATCACCTGGGCTGCCTGGCCATGGAGCACACGCTCGCCTATTTCGTGCGAATTCCAAATGTGTCAAGCCAACCTTAAAGTTCACGTTGTATTACGTGCGACCGACCGCCTCGTACCCTGTGTCCCACCAGCCCGAGTAATACACAGCACACGTACATCTCTGTGGGCAGGGTTCGTCTGAACAATCCCGCTAGCATATATATACCCAGAGCTGGATCCATCTTCCACCGCCCCAGTGTCGACCTCTCCTTTGGCACCAACCTCTCGAGTTGTGTTACGATCGTTTTTCTCACTGCCATCATGTCTGGTTCACCATCTGTACCGGATATCCTCCGGGCTCTCCTCCTGGCCTCGCCCCTGGTTTCTGCTGCCTCCTGCCCGTTTGCTCAGCAACAGCAGAAGAGGGACTCATCGTCTGAATTTCTCAACCGTCGCCAGGACTCAGCCGCCACACCGTTTGGCACGTGTGCCGAGAAGGCCAACGTCGCCGGCGGTGGCACCCGTAGCAGAGACTGGTTCCCCTGTCAACTACGACTCGATGTCCTCCGCCAGAATGCCGCCGAGTCCAACCCGTACGGCGCCGACTTCGACTATGCTGAGGCCTTCAACTCCCTGGACCGTAAGTCACATGTACCCTCATCAGACTGACGACAAAAAAAAAAAAAAAAAAAAACCCTAACAGACCTTCAACTAACCCTGATCCAGTCGATGCTGTCAAGGCCGACCTCAAGGCCCTGCTGAGGGACTCCCAAGCCTTCTGGCCGGCTGACTTCGGCCACTATGGCGGTCTGTTCATCCGTATGGCATGGCACAGCGCGGGCACATACCGGGCCTTCGACGGCCGCGGAGGTTCTGGCATGGGCCAGCAGCGCTTCGCTCCTCTCAACAGCTGGCCGGACAACGCCAGCCTGGACAAGGCCCGGCGGCTGGTCTGGCCCATCAAGCAGAAGTACGGCCGCAAGATCTCGTGGGGCGACCTGATCATCCTCGCCGGCAACGTTGCGCTCGAGGACATGGGCTTCCCAACCTTTGGCTACGGTGGTGGCCGTGTCGACACTTGGCAGGCGGACGAGGCCATCTACTGGGGCTCCGAGGAGACCTTCTTCCCCAATGGCAACGAGGACCGCTACAACGGCAGCACCGACTTCACCGCCCGCGCCGAGAACCTCGAGGTGCCACTGGCAGCCACGCACATGGGTCTCATCTACGTGAACCCCGAGGGCCCAGACGCCAGCTCTGACCCTGCCGCCTCGGCCCTCGATATCCGGACCACATTCGGACGAATGGGCATGAACGACGAGGAGACTGTCGCTCTGATCGCCGGTGGCCATGCCTTCGGTACGTCTTCCTCGGCAGCACAGTTTGCCACCCGCAGATATATTCGCACGGCCGCTACCTCTTCCAGTGTAGATCTGAGCAACCCACTGACCCACTGCTCTTTGCAGGCAAGACACACGGAGCCTTCGACGGCAGCGAGGTAGGAGGCGCTCCCGAGGCTGCTGACCTCGGTGAGCAGCAGCTCGGATGGGCCGGCAGCTTCAAGGAGGGCACCGGCTCCTTCACGTCGGGCCTCGAGGTCACCTGGAGCAAGACGCCCACCAAGTGGTCCAACAACTTCCTCGAGTCCCTGTTCCACAACGAGTGGTCCCTCGTCGAGAGCCCCGGCGGCGCCCACCAGTGGGAGGCCCTCAACGCCACCGCCAACTACCCCCTGCCCTTTGACAACAGCAGCTTCCAGAAGCCGAGGATGCTGACCAGCGATCTGGCTCTCCTGCACGACCCCATCTACTCCAACATCTCCCAGGTCTACCTCGCCAACTTCACCAAGCTCACTGACGACTTCTCCCGAGCCTGTAAGTCATGCCATGCCGTGCCATGCCATCACTGATGCCTTCATGAAAGCCAAAGCTAATCATGACATGTATCCAGGGTACAAGCTCACCCACCGTGACATGGGCCCCCTGGCCCGTTACCTTGGCCCAGAGGTTGCCACCGAGAAGCTCATCTGGCAAGACCCCCTCCCCGACTCGAACGGAACCACCATCGACGACTCCGACGTCACGACCCTGAAGCAGCAGATCCTCGACTCCGGCGTCAGCACCTCGGCCCTCATCTCCACGGCCTGGGCCTCGGCCAGCACCTTCCGCAACACCGACAAGCGAGGCGGCGCCAACGGAGCCCGCATCCGCCTCAAGCCCCAGATTAGCTGGGCCGTCAACACCGGCGCCGGCACGAACCTGTCCGACGTCATCAGCGCCCTCGAGGGCATCCAGTCCGCATACTCCAAGCCCGTCTCCCTGGCTGACCTGATCGTCCTGGGTGGATCTGCAGCCGTCGAGAAGGCAGCCCAGGACGCCGGCTACGCCAATGCCTCCGTTCCTTTCACCCCTGGCCGAGTCGACGCCACGCAGGACCAGACCGACGTCGCCAACTTCGGCTACCTGGAGCCCAAGGCCGATGGCTTCCGCAACTTCGGACGGGGCAACGCCCGCGCCCGCACCGAGGAGATCCTCGTCGACCGGGCCAACCTGCTCGGTCTGACGCCGCCGGAGCTCACCGTCCTGGTGGGCGGCCTCCGCGTGCTCAACACCAACGCCGACGGCTCTTCTCACGGCGTGCTGACCGAGACGCCCGGCCAGCTGACCAATGACTACTTCGTCAACCTGCTCGACATCCAGACCAAGTGGGCCGACTCGGACAGCGGCGAGATCTGGCAGGGCACCGACCGGGCCACCGGCGCCGACAAGTGGACCGCCACGCGCGCCGACCTCGTCTTCGGCTCGCAGTCCGAGCTGCGTGCCATCGCCGAGGTGTACGCCATGTCCGACTCGGGCGAGAAGTTCGTCACTGACTTCGTGGCCGCCTGGAACAAGGTTATGAACGCGGATCGGTTTGATGTCAAGTGATTTTATGATTATGACGGGTCGTCTTGGTGATTGACACGAGGGGGAATAACAATACCAGAAAGGAAGGAGAGAAAAAAAAAAATACGATCAAAAGACTGCCCTGAGATGGAACCGGGGCCTTCACGAAGCGTTCTCTGTTCTCTATTCTTGCACATATTACAAGCATGTTTGTACTTAGTTAGATACCTCGCAGAACGACGCATTCCGCACTCGTTGATATCACTCAATCTCGTGCCATCTCCTCAAGTCGAGGCTTGCACCCACGATCCCGCTCGATCTCCTTCCAGAGCCGCGTATCCCACGCCCTCACGTGGTCCCGGCCTTCGCTGGTCCTCCAGACCTGGTTCAGGGAAGCCGCAAATCGCTGCCTCAGCGCAGCCACCGACAGTTCCACAGTAAAGAGCCCACCCAGTACGAGAGCTAGCGTAGCCCACCACGCAGCATCCCCACCAAAGTTCCGGATGAAGCCGTCGACTACGGAATAGGGGCTGATGACCAGGGAGGTGAAGACGTGGCCCACCACGATGTGAAACAGCCAGATCAGGGCGATCTCGGCGCAGAATATAAGGAGTACAAGTATGGTTTTGTACTGCATCTCCAGGATCCTATCCGCCACGCATCAGTACGCATTATCCAGCATTTTTTTTTTTTTTTAAAAAAAAGAGGAAGCAGTGCTGGTAGCAGGTACAGTGTAACTCACAGTATCTTCACGTTTGTCCAGATCATGCACGCAATAAAGACCAGTGTGCCGATTGCATAAAGCCCGTTGTCATCGGGGGTGGTCGTGTACGCGCCGCCATAGCCTAGCCATGTCAGGAAGGAGATCGCTGTCCCAGCCAAGACGGCATTCGCAATCCACGAGAGGAACACGCCCCAGTTCAGGCCCTGCGCCCGCTGGCCATACGCATAGAGCTCGGGCACAGCCATCAGCGTCCTGGCCTTGAGGTCCTTCTCCCACGCGCCGATCGTCATGGTACAGGCGGTGGAGAAGGCAAAGCCGTAGACAGTCAGGGCCGTGGACTCGTACAGGCTGGTGCCGGTGAAGCCAGCCGCGATCTGGTACAGCGCGGCGGGGAACCAGAACATGGTCTCCTTCCAGAAACTCCCCAGCACAAAGCGAGTGATGCGGTGGTAGTTCCAGCGGCCATGCACGAGGAGCAGCCGCGAGAGGAAGCGGAACTGCGCAATGCTGACGTCGGCGACGCGCGCCGCCTGCTGGCCCTCGCGCCCGGAGATGCCCACGCCCACGTTGGCCGCCGTGATCATGGCCAGGTCGTTGGCGCCGTCGCCGATGGCCAGGGTCAGCGGCCGCCGGTGGCTCGTGAAGCTGGTGCGCACCCACCACCACGCCCGGCCGGGGCCCGTCGTCCCCGGCGGCGGCGAGGGCTCGTCGCGCACCGCGCGCACCAGGAGGGCCTTCTGGGACGGCGACGCCCGGCAGCAGATGACGGAGCCGACGGCAGGGATCAGCTGCGTGAAGAAGGTCTTGCGCAGCCGGGCCGCTTCGGGCTGCTCCAGGGCGGTGAGCGTCTGGCCGTCGATGACGATGGCGCTGTGCGGGGCGGCTTGGCGGTCTGGTGAGTTGAGGATGTCCGAGATCTGCCATTCTAGGTCGCCGTCTTCGACGTCTAGCTGGAAGAGTGCCGTCTCCGGCGTGCAGATGCGGGACGAGTGTGCCTGTCAGAGCCCAGCGTCAGTTTTCAGTCATTCTTGACTAGATCGTGCCGGTGCTGTAGGGTCATTCGCAGTGGATAGACATGTCGGTACTCACGATGTTAATTGCTGTCTCTCGCTTGTCTCCTGTCAGCATCCAGATCTTGATGCGTGCCCTTCGCAGGCGGTCAATCGTCTCCGGTACTCCTTTCTGCAGCTTGTCCTCGACGCCCGATGCTCCGATTAGGTCGAACGAATGCTCGATCTTCTCTCCCACTTCCTCCAACTTCCTCTGACGGTCTGTCAGGCTGACCTGCGCATCGTGGTACTCCCTCTTCCACGATCTGTACTCTTCGTTGGACAGATACCGGTGTGCGAAAACAAGCGTTCGAAGACCTTCTCTCGCATACTCATCAATATGGTCGAGGCATCGGCTGAGGGCCTCATCCTCATTCATGTGCGACTCTTGATATGGGCTCGAGCGTCCGGCGTATGGGTTCGTATCGAAGAATCCTTGCGTTCCAGGGTTCCACGTATGTACCGAAATCGGACTCGTCGGAGACTCCAACGAGCGCCTGGGAAAGGACAGATTCGTTGACCCCCTCTGGTGTTGCCTGAGCGACTGTCTCCTGGAGTCCATTTGTGCCTTTCTCAGACGCGGCAGCACAATCGTATCAGCGCCTTTGCAAATAACCCAGAGCCTACCATCCGGACGGCGGACAACGATAGACATCCTCTTCCGCTTACTACTGAACTCAATAACGTCCAGTACCTCGTACGTCTCGCGCCTCCCTTCTTGGCCCAGACCGTGCGAGATTTCGAGAGTAAGCGACTGTGTTGAGCGCTCGACGACCAGGATCCCGAGATCTTGTGCTGCTCTCACCAGGGCCAGCTCATCAGGCGATGACGCCTGGAAATCCGTGATCTCGCCGGTCTCGGGGTCTTTCTCGGGGAGGCATGTGTGACAGACAGCAAGTGCTAGGATGTATTCGTAGGCTGCTTGGGAGAGGGTAGATCTCGGATCTTGACGAATTTGAGCCACGAGGTCGTCAGTCGTCTGGCCTCGACCTTCTGGGGCCGCAGGGGTCTTGTCCGCAGTAAGTCCCCTATCTTGGTGCCACCAGCTTGTTCCCGCCACGCTGATCCTGCGGAACTTCATGATGTTATCGGTGAGCGTCCCAGTCTTGTCCGAGAAAACATAGCCGATCTGGCCAAGGTCGTCCAGGATAATGTTCGTGTTGCAGCCCGCCGGCGTGTCTGATTCCTCGTGGTGCATCTCGACATCAGAAGCAACTAGTACGGCCAGGTTGAGTTTGACAGCTTCAATGGCCATTATGAGTGACATTGGGACGACATTCGAGAACTGGATGATGAAACCGATTATGACCTCTTGGTCAGAGACGACCGACAGCATGAGATACCATGGTATATTTGAACCTTGCCAGTAGATCTTGAAGCCCATGTAGAGCAGTACTGAGGTGACGAGCATGTATAGGGCAAGAAAAATGACGATCAGGTTAACGAACTTCTCGAGAGCACTGCTATGTGTTAATAACCTGCTGCGGGTCTCAAAGTGACAAATTCCGGAACACTCAAAAGCACAACAGACGGGGAACCATAGTGAAAGGAAGGAAAATGGTGCTTACGGCCTTTTCGCTTCCGGATTACGGTTAGCATTCATGCGGATTTTGGTGTCCTCGCCAGTGTTTATAACCATGCCGATGATGAACCTTGTGTTTTTGATCTCGCATCCCCGATAAATGATGTTGTCCACATTCAGAGGCAATGTCTCGCTGCCGTCAACTGTAGCGGTTCCGTCGAAGTTGTAAAGGTCCTGATTTGGATGCTCGATGGTGAAGTAGACATCGGAAGTCGAGATATTCTGCACCGAAACCAAATCCAACCTCTTTAAGCCCGCTGGCACCATCTTGCTCTTCAAATTGGTCTCGCCGTCCAGGGCCCTGGTATCCACGAACGCGACACCCTCGTCGGCGTAGAGAAGGACTATGTCTGCTGGGACCTGTTCATCTCCCGCTAGCCTCACAACGTCCCCGACTTTCAGGTCACCCCATTGCGATGTCGTCCATGGTGTGCTTGGGCTCCTTCCATCCGAGGACGGGCTTAAAGCCAGCTCTGAGTCTGCTGCAGATACCCGCTTCCCGTGCTGTTTGCCTGTTGCACCGTGCTCACTTCCCAAGATGGTGACTTTACTCGCGTTTTCGGCCTTGTCCAGCGTATATCTCTTCCAGTCATCATAGCCTTCTTTTGCGATGGTAAGAGCCACAAATATCAACAATGGGATGAGAGTCGTGAACCGTCCCGTCGTGCTGAATCCTGGAATCATCTGAAGAATTGCGATGATCAGAAAATACATATTGGCCAGCCTAGAGAATTGATAGATAAGTTGTCTCGGGACAAAGTTCCATATGGTATACCGAGAGGTCCTGATCCGGTTGGAAATGTACGGGCGTCCCGTCCGCTCATCAACCAGCGGTTCCTCCCCGAGTCGCAATGGTATCCTGCGGCCATCTGGGGCAGCTCGCGCGGTTCGTCTCAAGCGGAGGAACTCCAACACTCTTGCACCCAGAGACGCAACTTTTCCGGTCTTGCTTGCCTGGACCCCGTCCTCGTCCAGAAGTGTCTGTCGCGCGCTGGGCCGGGAGACGGAGCCCTCGAGGGCGGACATTTCGAGCCACTCGCTTGAGCCATCGCGGTCGGATTTCCTTTGATCGGCCATTTTTGGAAATCTGAAGCCGCTAGCTTCTCCCTGTCCAACCTGAATCGTGGACACGCGAAAACACGTCGTCCGTCACCGGGCGATGGGTCAAACCCCAGGCAGAAGACAATGGCTGGCTCCAGACATCAGTCCGGGTCGAATGTTGCGAAAAGGAGGCAAAAAGCGACAAAGAGGCGTCATGGTCGGATTGGCAGAGTTTGACGGAGCTCGGGAAAATGAATCGGGCAGCAGATGGTTTGATGAGTTGGAGGCGCAAGCCGGCTGTGAAGGGGTGCTGTGTGTCTCTTGGCCCCTTGGCCCTGACTCCTGGATCAACCAGATCAGCCAGTCCAGCCAGTCCTGAGGCCCGCCACGGAGGCATGACGCACTAAGCAAACCGGCTTGGCTGAATCCTATCCAAGAATGCTACCTAGTCATTTATCAAGCTCCCACACCTGCCGCTAGGCCGCGTGTTAAGCTTGTATGGGTGGCCAAGAGATCTTCGATTCATCTGGGCTGTGCAGCTGCGCATTCGTAACTAACGCCGCTTTCTTGTCTTGGTTCCCTCGGTCTCGGATACCTCTGCGAGCCGTCAAGCCTATCTCATGATAAGTACACTACCTGACAGCTGATAGAGCCAGCATTTCCTGAGACGTCTATATTTATAGTCTTCACAAGTCCGCCTGTGGGTAGATGCGAAAGCTTGAATATCAGCGAAACAAGTCTGCCCACATTCTACACAAAAACCTGATGTTAACAGTGACGTATGACTACTAAACATGACTGTGGCGTCACGCAAAATCAGACAAACTGCGGGATAGAAACAACATCCCAACGGCATTTGGGTGAGACCAGGGTAACTCCCGTGACTTTGGTTCTGTTGTTCATGACTCTTTGTAGTGGGCTATGTGGCCAGGGTCTGGATACAAGACAAGGCTATTGTCCTACCAAATAGAATGAGTAACTGGCAGTGACCTTGTGATCAAGTAACAATCACTGGTGCATTTTCAGGCCATGACATGATAAGCAGCAATTTGGAAGCCATCATGAATATAAATGCATCCCCTTACATCAACCATGTTCCTGTGTCTCTCTTCCACGAGACAGGGCCTTCAAGGATTAGATGTGACTTCACGGATCGCCTACCAAATTCCTCGGAACCTTGCTTGTTTAAAACATTTTTGTTGTTAAATGATAAGAATTTAGTGGCATGCAAGGCAGGTTAAATTGCCAGACTACGATGGACTGCTTTTGCATCGCAAGGAGTCATGCTCTCATTTTCTATCTTGGTGGGCTCGGCTGCACGATTCACCTCGAATACCCCCATTGATGCCCTTTGTTCTGCCCTTATATCCAGAACCAATCATTCTATGGCCACATAGTAGTATCAAAGACCGAAACCGGCCAAATCCTCCCTGTCCAATAGGAGGTGCTGGCCGGAATCGTCTTTCCTCTGAGTGGAAGCTTCTGTGGCTTCTGTGCATGGGAATAGAAGACTGGCTATGCACATTCCACTGCTATTCGTCGTACCCACCATTTCACCATCTGCCCATAGGATCAGAAATCCGCACTTCTGCTAGCCACTCGGATTCTAGAAGGCGATAAGGACCTTTGATATTTGGAGCATGTATCCCAGCCACCCGGACAAGACTCCTCTGGTGAAAGGATCCCATGACTGGCTCGTCCAAGGTATTGATGTCCATGATACCTTACCATGGCATCCAAATTGCTCCCCTGCGTATTTGGAGCAGATTTAAATATTGTTGACACAACAAATTTGAGTGGTTCTTATACCATGCCAATCCATTACCGGGGAACATTCACGCATGTATCCTGCGGCATCACAGAGAACCTCTAGTAGCTGTGGAGCATACAACATTCAGTCTATAGTGGCTTGTGTCCTATCGTCATAAACTCTACAGACATGACCTTGATTTTAATCCAGGTCGTCCACAGAGTTGTTCCAAGGCCTCAAGCACTATACAGCATAAGAGAGAGATTCTTCTGTCTTGTATTGGATTGACATTCAAACAATAACGACCAGTCTGGTGACCCAAGCATTATCCCAACTATTATCGATATCGAAAGAGGCATTACCATGACGCACGGCCCCATAAGCCAGTGAATGTTCGTCCCGTCTCCTGCAGATTCAGCCAAGCTTTTGTGGCATCACCGCCCACAACACACCAGCGCGTCCAACAACAACGCGACAAGACCAGCTCGATAACGCACCTCGTCGGACAACACACAGTACCAAGGCAATCGCGAATCAACAAAACGAATTCTTCATCTGTATTCAGCGTCATTATCTTGCAAAATTGAGCCAACAAATATATAATCCTCATTCCATGCTCAAAATGCAAACCACGGAACACATCCACCCAGGTGGCAAGCCAGCCCTGGCCAAGCCTCAGCCCCTTGACGACAAAGTCCGACATCACGGAGACATCAATTTCCACCGCCTGATTCCAAAGTCCAGAAGGAAAAGCAAGGTTGAAGACGATGCCAGCACCACAGAGAATATCGAGGTCCAAGAGAAGGACGAGACTGAAGAAGAAGTAGTTGAGGGTCGCCTATACGCGTGGGCTTCCAACATTTGCCACCTTGAAGATACCAAGGTCAAGGTAGAGGACCTCTCTGATAGAGAGATTGACTCTCGACTTGCACAGAACACCCAGGGGCTTCTTTCAAAGATTCTCAAGTGCGATGCAGCAGAGATGCAAGTGGGTGCATACTTCAGGTCAAAACAGCATGAAGGGCAGACCACAGAGGAGTTCACCATTCAAGGCCCACTGGGCGATTGGAGAGTCTGCTGCAAAACGTATCACAACATTGATGCTCGCGGTGGACCAAACTCCCAGTACCGAAAATCGGCAACCGCTAAACGGATCTTGGCGAAGGCAAAGGCGAGAGCGGGACCAGCACCATCTGACGCTCAGGTGAAGCACGTTGCGTGCCGAATACTCGCAAAGCGCCACATCGACCTTGCTGATGGTATTGCTGAGGTTAAATGGCCCGACCTGCTCCGTGAGGCCCACGAAATCCTGTACAATCATCGAGGAGATGCCACTCTCCAGTCAAGAATGAACGAGGAATTGAGTGGCGCCACAGAAGGCCCGGCGACCCTGACCCCCGAACTAGTAGACCTGGTAGAAAACAATCTGCTCACGGGACAGAAGAAGAAAAACAAATTGCACCAGTTCATACTTGATGAAGAGGCATCAACGTTGCGTGAGCACGTCGAAGGTTTCGATATTGTCATCTTGAGGGACGGGAAACACGAGTTGATTTGTGGCGTTGTCGCGGAGGCGGTGCAGAAACTCTTCCCAGCTGATACCGTGGACAAGATGAGCACTGCGGTCGAAGCATTCGCCTGGCGCTTCCCCTACAAGAAGCCTGACGAATCCCGGCATCCTACAAGCCAGACGGTGCATTTGGCTGCAAATCCGAGCAAAGACGTGCGCTCAGAAGAGTGCCAGCAACCGCACTTTGCAGTGTGTGGGGTTGAGCATTACGGAGTGCATCACGAGACTGGTCGCGGCAGCGGTTTCAATGGTCTCTGTTTTCAAAAGTTCTTTACCTGACAGAACCCCAGGCTACTCAAGAGTACTGCCTGGAAAGACGAATTCCCGAAACTCAAGGGAGGCGTCTATGGTGTGGCCGCGAAAGTGTCGACGCTCGTTTTGGAGGCCTGGGACCATAAACTATATGAGGCCTACCTGGAGATTCGTCAGCACCTGCCCGAAGAACTCAAGATGACATTGGCGACAACATGTAAGTAACGATACCTCGTAATCGTTCCTGACACAAGCCTGAATAACACTATTCACAGGCGAGAATCCATACGGATACATGGCACAGCTCGTAGACACACTCACCGAAGGCCACACCGACGTGAAGGACTGGATGCAAGGCATGGCGGCCCTGACCTGCTTCGGCAACTTCTCTGGTAATTTTCTAGTTCCCGTCCCGCCTACTGACAGATACACTGACCACTACTACAGGGGGCGACCTAGTACTCAAGCAGCTCGGGGTCCGCATTGCTTTCCCCAGCGGATCGAATTGCCACCTGCGAGGACAGGGCCTTCACCACTTCATCTCTAGATACAAGGGGATCCGACACTCTCTAGTCCTGACCAATAAAGAGTCGGTGCGAAGAACTATCGACGACTTGGACCAGCGCCTCAAAGAGGAAACAGAAAGGGCTGCCTGGACTGACGAGGAGCACGAGCTTGACAAAGCCTATACGGAGGGCAAGGATGCCATGCGGGAGCGCACCTGGAGCCTCATCAAGGCAGAACTACAAGAGAAAGAGGACGAAGCACGAGAGGAACTGGCGGCCAAACGTAAGGAGGCCGACAACTCCAAGGAAGACCATCCGGAGGACCTGCCGAAAAAGAAGGCGAAGAAGTCGAAGACGGCACAATGATTACACGCGCAACCAGCACCATGGGGGACTCGCACTATAAGTGTCAACTCCTGGGTCGAAGAACGTCTTCTTCTTGCCCAAGAGGGAATTCCATTGCACGAGTGGCAGGAGCAGATCGCAATTCGCCGTTGTCGCGGCTGTAAATTTAGCTGTGGCAGCAGCGTGAGAAGAGCGCCGTGTCTACGTGGGCTGTGTATAATAAATAAAGAGTAAGAGTATTTCCGCAACATAAATCACAATCATCGCGACACGATGCGTGAGCTTCTCGCAGATCAACCACCAGAGGTAAGTGGAACGTGTACTAATGTGATTATGCCTACCCGGAGCCCTTCCACTTAACACATTGACCACAGCATCGAACCCTAAGGAGCTCGTTGGGATGTTCCGTGACTTCTTTCGTCCGGTGGAGCCACGGTCCCGACCCATCATCAACTCATCCTCAGACGGAACTCTAACCAACTTAACGGAGAAACTACGTCGCGGTTGTACGAGAAGAGATTCACGATTTACTGTGTAGTGCATCAACAATACCTCCCATCGCAAATTTGACAGTGTTGACCGGAACGGACCCCGGATGGCACGCTGAGAGTGTGTTGTGAAAATGTTTGCATGTAGCTGCAAGCAACTGAATCATAAACTTCAGGATCACGAGCAATTCAACGGGACACAGAACGCAGAATTAATATCAAAATTGATTGCGTCTGGTATCATTTAAGCTACATTCAGATGTTACTAACACACTCACACCCACTTCCCATTGCTGTCAGCCAAGACCACAAGCCTGTGGGTTTTCCTAAGGTCTCAGACTTACCCAGGCTTCTGCCATTTGTGAGCCTCACTGCTCGATCTGATGATGGGCATCGGCCGTACCATTGGTGTTACCATTGTTCTCGTTGCCCACGCCATTCGTCCGGGCTGAATGGAAAGGGCCGAGCAGCCATTCGCCAATCTCCTTGAGGCAGGCCTCGCTCTTGTGTTCGGCGTCAGCTCGGAAGTCCGGCTCGCGCACGACGCCGCCAATGCGCTGGTCAAAGTTGTGGACTGCACGGCTTCTGTCAGAAGTGGCCTCAGCGCTGCCGGAGATAGCATCACTTACTCGTGTCTGGGACAAGCAGCCACTTGTAGCTGGACCCGTCGTTGTAGGTCTGCTCAAAGTGGAAGCGGTCGTCGTCAAAGAGCATCTGCCCGTGGTCGGACTGGCCCTCACGGCCAACAGTCTGCTCCATAGCGGGCACCTCGCGGCCGGCAAGCTTGCTGATGGTGCGCCAGGCCTCGTGGGCGTACATGTCCAGCTCGCAGCCGATGATCATGACGCGACGAGGAAGAATGTCGTGCTCTGCGAAGAACGGGCTGAGGAGCGGGTTGCGGAGGTCGGTTCCGTGAGGAATGTACGACCAGTCGATCATGGGCGACATGGAAAGCATGTAGTCCGTTTCGCGGGCGCGGAAGCCACCGACCCCGGCCTTGTATCGCCGGAGCCGGCTCTTTTGATGATGGGTCACAGTGAAGTCGCATGGCGGGTAGAAGGCGAAGACTGAGCTGACGATGGGCCGGATAGCGGGCAGTTGGGTGACAGTCACTTGAATCCTCCTTGTCAGTACGAGACCTGTAGACGACACTGGAACTCCATCATCGGATATTGTCACTCACAGGCGAGGTTTCCGCCCGCATCCCAGCCGCCGACGGCAATCCGAGAACGATCGATGTGGGGAGCAATCTCGGGATCGGACAGAGTCGCAAGTATCAGGGCCTCAACGTCCTAGAAGTAGACCAGGTTTCAGCATTTGGTGGGCGCATCAGAATCGCGGCCAGACTTCTTCAGCATGCAGAGGCAGGGTGTACGCACGTGAACCGACATGGGAAACGTCGTCTTGGGCGCTTTGTTGTAGTTCAGGGCAACGACTGTTGCCGAGTACCGACTGGCAAATTTGGCATTCCATGCATCGTTGTCCTGGGGAGTTCCCATGATAAACCCACCCCCGTGGATTGTGAAGCACAGGGGCATCTGCCGAGGCTTCTCCTTGTCATATGGCTTAGGGAAGAAAACTCTTCGAACATGTCAGCGGGAGGTCAAACGTTGAGATAGATCAGGGCCAGGTTTCTCACCTGACAGGAAGCTTTGGGCGGCATTGGTAAGTCTTGAGCAGATTCGGTTGATGCAAGGGCGAGCGGATGGAATCTTGGACATCACGAATCAGACTGGCCGGCTTCAGGAATCCCTGCGCGGCGCCCAGCGAGATAGAGTAACCCCACCGCGTGTACCATGGCAAGAACTGTGCCTCTCTTTTCTCGCCGGGCTTGTCCTCGTGGGTGGGCGGCTGGTAGACCACAGCGCTCTGCGGGCGTGGTTGCTGGCTCAGCGCGCCCGTCTCGCGGCGTTGAGAGGCATGAATGAGCTCCTGGCTCTGGTTTGAGTGGTGAACCAGCGGGCCCGCAGTGGGATTCTGATGAACCTGGGGCAGAGCTTCGGTCGTTTGTGTCTGAGTTGCGGTAGCCATCGCGATTGGATTCGTTGTTCACCAGGCGAGGAGGAAAACGTGCGAGGTACGTGTGTCTTGTGGAACCTTCGTTGCCAACAACTGTCGTAGGAGATCGGGGAGCTTGTTAGACTTTATCATCATGAGCGAAGGTCGTCTCGGGAAAAGGCATTCTGGATCTCGATCCTGCTGTCTGACGCATAAGGTCGGTAAGCCACATGTGAGCGGCGCATGACAATTTGCTTGACAAAGCAGATGAATATTAGCGATTCCAGGTGCGCGGCACACAGAATTGCATTGATGTCCTTCTGGTGACGTTGGGCCGCCCTGAATTTCATGCGCCGTGCCAGTCAAGAAGCTCCGGATTGGGACTGGATCTCAGTTCTTGAATCAATCAAGGCCAGGACCAAGGTTGATCCTCCCAAGGCTTCCCACATTTCCACCCGAGGCTGCGGCTCCGATGTGTGTGCGTTGTGGAGCATAACCAAAAGGTGCCTGAACGAGGCTCTGGAAAGTCAATTTAGACACCGCTATTATGCGACTTCATTCAGTTAGGGACGGTGCTACTTGTACACATCTAATTGGCCGTTGTGCCGCCGTTCAACAAGGGGCTCCAGGGTATCGACAATGGACCGGCGTTTTGGATCAGCACTTGGCTGCGGCTCTAGTCTCCTTGTAACTGCAGTCGGTTCCCAACTGAACGGACCATCCGGATAAGAAATTCGAATCATGTATCACATGGAACTTTTTTTTTTTTGGACCTGCATTTTCCATGTCTCCTGGCCCTAGCAAATATGTTGTCGGTTAGCCGGACTCATGTTTCGGTACGGGATGTCCCTTACAACACTTTCCGCTCTCACATGGAACAGAAGTTCATGATCCATACGTACTCCACACTCCGGCTAAGGATTTTTAATCAAAGAGACCGATCACATGTTCATCCAAATATGGGCAAGGCGACAATTCAGGGCAGCCTGTGCATGGCCACGAACTTGGCACAGTTCTTATTGAAAGGCACGGAATGTGAGAAAATGCTCTCTGCAATAATGCTCAATTAAAATAGCTTCCAGCTCTGCCTCGCGAGCGGCCTGCAAGGGTGAGCTTCTTGGAATTGTGGGGATGGTGTATTTGGTGAACCATGCTGTTGATCTGACAGAGGGTTGCCATTCACCAGGTGAATTGTCACACTTTCACAGCCCAAAAATCATGTGGACAGATGGGTTCATTACTACGGCATATGAAGAAAACTGCAAGGAACTTTTGGCAATTTGTAAAGTGCCTGTTTGCTGCTATCGACAATGTGGTTACAGGGGCGTTCAGCAGCAGTGTTCAGGATAAGTATTGAATTTGCGTTGATACAAGATGACTGAGGAGCAACAGCAAGGGAAGAGTTTTGTCAAAAGTCGGTTTGATTTGACCTCAACAAGCGAGCCGACCTCTGGACCTCGCTCCTGCCATGATCTGAGGAGACATCAGACGAAGTCAGTGACAAAACATAGGTGCTGAATTGTTACTGTAGCATGAACCACGAGTGCCCCTCCTCCTACTTGAGCAAGTCAGACTGCCCAAGAAATGAGACACATCACACATGCGGCTGCAAACCAAGAAAACTGAACCCAAAGCCAAAAGAACCATCAAAGACAACAGCAACAATGAAAAAGAAAGTCACTGAAAGGCCCACCACAGACCGTATCTTCTGGCCAAAATGGCAGATCAAATTCAGCAACAACACGGTCTACCCAACCGAGTTCGGCGGAGTCCACCTCGGAACTTTGGCTGAAAAGCAGGCACCGAGAAACCCGCACGAGCCCAAGCCCAGGAAAAAAGGCTTCTTCCCTCCACTTGACATGCTGTTCATCGACAGCTACGTATTCGATTACTACGAGCGCCCGGACGTCGAAATAGGATTCGACACAGGTGGCGGCGTGCCCGGAACTTTGAATGTGGTCGAGAAGGTCGCAATCAACGCCAGCTCGCTGTCCCACTCAAAAGAGAAGGATGGCATATGGTTAAAGAAACTACGGTTCATCCTGCACAACTTCCCAAAAGTCAGGGCCATCAATGTGCTAACTTCCGTGGTTCTCGACATGGCGAGTCCAGCCTCCCTGCCAGAGCCGATCTACTTCATGGACGTCGCAAACACCTCGGTTCGTGACCGTATGCGCCATGGAATCCTGACCGGAGACGAGCTGAGAATGTTACCCAACAACCCCGAGACCCTGCGGCCTAGTGACTTCGCCTTGCAGGAGTGGGATAGCCTGCCGAAGGAGTGGCCCATGTTCGGGAAGCGAAAGGCGAAAGGCACCGCCCCAGAACTGTACATGGGAACGATGGTATTCTTTGGGAAGGAGTGGGTCAGTCTGGAAGGGGTCGGGGCACCAGGGCGTCTTTGCTCCTTGGGAAGTCGGAGTGCGGATCCCATGGGGGCTATCGTCAGGAGGGAGAAGGACAAGCCTGCTCAAATGGCTCAGGCGGACACCCGAGCGCCGGACAAGAAGGATCTCAAGAAGAAACCCTCGAAGTTTGGCCTGAGGCACAAGGGATCGGGTTTGTCGCTCTTGAGGCAAGCATCGACATTTTCCATGAGGAGCCAGCCGTCGAAGCCAAGTCTCAAGCGTCAAAAAACATGGGCTTAGAAGATATCTTTCAACAGCAGAGCAAGGATTCAAGGTTATCATTTTTGGGATCGGCATCATCGCGACCCAACAGTCCGTTGAGCAAGATCGAGGGCATAATCACCATGAACTCAGATTCGAGAAGGAATAGAACTAGATCAAAATATTTTGTTCCACTGGGACAGTCTTGAGTATCCGCCATAATCAAATTGATTTTGATGCAACGATGCGAGTAACGTGGCCCTCTTAAGTCAGCCTCAAAGCACGAGAAATCGGCTCCAGACCTCGACAGTAGAGCGTTGCCGAAAGACGGACATCATGTGTCGCCATAGAGGAGGCCGACCGAATGTACTACATTTTCATCTACGGTACCTGATACTGAACAACATTTAATGAGAAGGACAGGATTGAGGGCTTGCCGGCGATGTTAAACACTGTGGAGAGGCTGTAGAGGGGCGGCAATTAAGCAACGCTTTCAATACCAAGAAACATTGGCACAGAGCTTTTCTTGCATGCGGGTTAGACGGCCCACGCATTTGGAGTTGTGAACGCACGTGGGAGCCTGCAGTTGGACCTAATAACCGCTTGGAAAAGAAGCGGCTGGAACCGAGCAGGAATGAACCAACCACCAACCTCGCGACCAACCAATCAACCAACTAACCAACTCGTGGTTGGCAACGAAAGAAAGATATTGTCCCATCCTCCCCGAGGTCTTGAAATGCTCCTGCCTCAGCTCTAGGGGCCGTGACAAAGACAGAAAAGCGATGTCAAACTCGTTACCAATACAGAACACCATCAACTCATTTGCGTAATTATTCAGCCTGCAGTACCAACCACCACATTACCCAATCAATGCAGCCCACTATTTTCAACCACTAGTAGGATGTCCTCGATAATCTCCGTAGCAGAGCAATACTGTTGCTTCCAACATTTCTGTAGAATGCCATTACAGACAGAAGATTCTTGCGGGAAGATGCCCCTCGCAAAACGAGATTTGACCTCCTCATGCCAGCCAGGGTCTCCGCTGACGATATCCGAAAAAGGTTCCTCCCCAGTCATGATGAAATACACGGTGGATCCAAGGGCAAAAATATCCGTTGTGAAGTCGGCAGCGAATTCATCCTCTCGAGGACAGAGATACCGGCATGGCTCGCAGCTACAGCCATCCAGAATAACATCACCGTCCTCCGAAAGGTGCTGTCCTTGGAAATCGGCTAGCTTTAGATGCAGCTCGCTGTCCACCAGCACGTTGGTAGGCTGGATATCGCAATGGAGCACCCTCCGCGAATGGATATGATCTACTGCTTCGGACGGTTCTCGACACCATGCCAACCTCTGCTGAAGAGATGGCCTGGGATGATCTGACGCAGACAGGAAGTCATGGATTGTTCCGTTGGCGACACGCTCGAGATGGAGACCAGCCTCTGTGTATCCCTTGTGCGTAACAATGCGGGGATGTCGACCGACCACGGTGGGGATCTGGTGTTCAAGCTCAAGTCGGGTCAGGTCGCCGCCAGGCTCCAGTGGGTATTTCAAAACGGTCGAATCGTCGACCTCCCCGATGAAAGCGCTGGTTCCGCATGCAACCATTCGTTGCACACCCGGCGGATAGTAGTACCGGTATTCAACGACCTCGCATTCCGCCATAGCAGGAGAGAAATTACAAGCATGAGCATTTTCTCGTCATCTCACTGTCAGCCACAACAAGTAAAATGCAGTACAAGCCCTGAAGTGCATCTGCGACGATGTGGCCAGGACAATCCCACCACCACCATGCCTCAGGTGGTAAAAGGGGGTGGCATTGTCAAGGCACCATGAGCTACTGAAGCACTGACTTTCGGTTCGCAATGAGCATCTCTCGTGATGCTACAAGCCACATTGCATTGAGTGGTTTGCTATGTGAAAATCATGTCTTTATCTTCTTTTACATATCTCAAACGGTGGTTCGGATGGGATGGGCCTCGGTATTGAACACCCAAGATTGCCCATTTGCTCCTGGAGTACTGGTAAATCCCACAGCAATATCAGGCCGGTGTGCCAGATACTGATACTTCAGAGTCTCAGCCAAGAAGAAGCTCGGCTGCAGGTTCTCATAACGATTCAGCAGGCCTGTTGCGTTGGCTGGTTGAGGAATACTCTCGGGCGGTAATGTGGCATTGTTGACGTCCAGGATGGGTGAGTACCCCGATCCGACTTTCAGGTACGTCTGTATGGAGACGAAGTAGTCCCAAATGTAATCGAGCCAGAGCCGGTCATCTGTGGCCAGGTAGGCATAGTACCAGCTCTCAAGCGCTTCTGCGCCGATGGCCGACGTCTGGCCAGTGATGAAAAACCCAGCGCGGTCGTAGAAATCAGCCTGGTCCTCGGGGACCGGACGCACCTGGCCTGTGGAGTTGTCGATTCTGGAGTCCAACCACGCCCAGTCGTTAGGACCCAATTTTGTGGCGGTCTCGACGTAGATTTGCCGGCACCCCTCGGCCAGCTCCAGTCCATAGTCCACATAACTTGGCTGTTCCAGCGCAACACCGCCGAGGATGAAGTTACCACCTGAAAAGCAGGTCAAGTGCTGGCTCTGTGGGATGAGATACATTGAGCCATTGGTTCCTGTGATATTGTATTCCGTCAACCAAGTTACTTCTGGGGCCGTTGTTGGGTTCGAGCTCAGATAGGTGATGGTGGATTCGGCAGCTTTGATCCATCTAGCCATTATTAGCACTCTTGCGTCCAAGACATACCAGAGCTCCCAGTTGTGGATGCACTCACTCCTGCTTGTATGACTCGAACCGATCAGGCGCATAGGAGTACATCTTGATCAGATACTCGTAGTAACTGTCCAAGGCTCCTATCCAGCCCCCGAAACTACTGGTAAAGGTTCCATTGAGGACGCTGACGGAGATGCCAATAAGCCCTGGCAAAGGTTCACCCACGCTTGGGTTGCGCGGCTGAAGGAGGTATGCCTCCGCTTTCCTTGCCAAATCCTCATACTCGGACAACCCTGTTAGATCTGAGAGCCGTGTCCATTCCAAAATCAAAGTCCCAGCCTCTGCGGGGTTGGTCAAGTCGCTGTCCTCGGTCACTTCATATGACTGGTTGTTGAGAAACAAGTTCCTTCGAGGCAGGCCTGTCGGTGTTTTGAACGCATATTTGAAGGTATCTGCAAGAGACTGGGCCTGTTCAAGAAGCCTGCTGGTCTGGAAAGCTCGCCATCAGTCTGCTCTGTTTCCGCCGTGCATTCATGGCCAACCTCCCGTGGGTAGTTCCTGCTTACATTCTTGTCAAGATGGGAGAATGGACCATCGAGCAAATCATGCGCGGATAGCAGGCCACCGAGATAACGGATCTAGGGTCTCCATCAGATGTCAGGTGCCACCAACCTCCGTATGCAGTCCAACCGGACGAATGTGGAGAGGCGGGGTTGCTGTATACTGACGTTGACCTCGAAAAGCCTGCAAGCATTGTTGGTTGGTGTCCGGGTGAAGTCGATGGTGTCTATGAAGGCCAAGGACTTGTCCACGATGTCGTCAAGCTCCATGATGATGGCTGTGCCGAGGGCGTCAACCACGCTGAGTCCCCATCCGCAGCCGTACACCCGGTTGCTGTCGCCGGCGCTGTTGACGGGACGCAGCTCGTCGTTGGGGAATGCGTATTCGAAATACCCATCCATGGCGAACTCGAAGGCATCTCGGATCTCCGCTGCCCGCTTCCTATCGAGATCCTGCGTGCTTGAATTGTTCGACTCATCGGATCGGCCAAGAACGGTGGCTGATGCTACGACTGAGGTCACCAACCACAGTGACAAGATGGCCCCGGGAACATTGGACGAGCGCATTGTCAGCTTGGTCGTTTCCACAAGTGAGAGTGAGGAATGAAGATGACTTTGGAAAAGGGAACGAAGCAGGACGGACAACTGTATTGACAGAATAATTATACTGACCGTGCAGGCGGTTGACGTACTGGAATTGTCACTGGTTGGATAACATACGCGCAATCTCGTTACACTTCCGGGGCGGCACCCGTGCTGCAACCACGATGCTCGCTGCGGTAATATGCATGCAACCTTCTCGTATTAATCTACTGTGCATGAAATCTGAAGAACACAAAACCAAACACTACTGCAGTAGTGGGACAGCCACGACAGGTGAATCACTCTCCCAATAACAGCAACTCTGACCTCGTGAGTGTTGCACATTCGTCATGATGTTTGCTCACCAATTTCGAGCAGATCTTATGGGAAGTTAGGCGCGCATCAGCTCACCCGCGCCTGGTACTGGTCTACACCATCTACAGTAGGGGGCTTACACTCAACCAACCCCGCTCACTAAGCGCCACAAGTGCTCCCGCTGCCTAATCTAGTGAATTGACAAAAAGTATTTCCAAACTTCTCGACTTTCTCCTCCCTGAATTCTCTCTTCTCCCCTCATACGTAAAAATGACTGACACAGACGGTACGACCAGGACGCTGACGGCCAGCTGCTACTGCAAGGCAGTGCAGTACAGCATCCAAGTTCCACAAGCCAACCTTCCCCTGTCCGTCCATCTCTGCCACTGCAGCATCTGCCGCTATACCCATGGAACTTTGTGCATATTCCACGCAGTACTGCCTTCAGACATCCAGCCCAAGTTCATCGCCCCTTCGTCGCTATCAAATCTGACGGGCTACAAGCACGCCCATGCCCAATCCGAGCGCTTCTTCTGCACCACCTGCGGGAGTCACATTGGAGATCGGGACTTTGAAGCAGCGCCGGGGGCAACAGAGATGGAATGGAGGATTTCCACCAGTCTGTTCTCGGAACAGGGGGAGGACTTGTTCCAGATGAAGACCAACTGCTTCACGGAGGGCTCGACGGGTGGCTCAGGACTGTTCGATTTCCTGCCCAAGATGGGCGATCGGGAGATGAAGACCTTCAACCCCGGGCCAGACAGCGGCTGGTGGTCAGCAGGAATGAAGGACGACCCTCCCAAGCAAGAGTTTGACGGTGAAGGGAACGAGGTCCTACGAGCGGGCTGCCATTGTGGCGGCGTGTCGTTCACGATCCCCAGGCCGACCTTACCCGCCGTCAAGAACGATCCTTTCATATCACGATACGTCTCGCCAACCGAGCAAGGGAAATGGAAGGCTTTCCTGGATGTATGTGACGACTGTCGCCTCAACGCCGGTGTGCACGTTGTGCCCTGGGTTCCTGTGCCCCGGGCGCTGATCCGGCCGCCAATGCCGCTTGGGCTGGCCCCATACGGCACGCTGAAGACGTATGTATCCTCGGAGGGGACGCTGCGGGGCTTTTGTGGCGACTGTGGCGCAAGCGTGATCTTCTCGTGCGATAGTCGGACGCCGACGCCCGAGCAGCAAATCATCAGCGTGCCTGCTGGTCTCTTGAGAGCACCTGAGGGAGTCCTTGCCGAGAAGTGGGTGACGTGGAGAGGCTGTCTTGCGAACTTCAAGAGCGGCCATCGTTTCGATCCTGTTTTTGCGGACAGTCTCCTAGAGGGCCTTCAGAACTGGTCGAAGAAACAATACGGCGAGGCTCTCATCTACTCAGTTGACTGATTGCCTGTCCTCAAGGACGTCGTCCTATTGTGGGATTTAGACATCTGGATATGTGTTTTTTATGTATTAAGCAGATCATGAATCCGTTGACCATGTCTTCGTAGCAATTCTATCATTTCGCTCATTTCATTTGGTCAAGTCCCTCAACATTAATCTTGAGCTTGCCTGGCCGTACCGTACAGTGCCTTGGTGTGCGTGCCAAGAAGCCGAAGCATTCTAGGGCATCGTTTCCATGTATATTGAACTGCAAGAATTCGTCTGATATCCTTCGCGAATGTGATGGCGGTTGCAAGGATGTTTCAAAAATGGGCAGAATGCGAGTGTACGGGGTGCAGTAGTGCAGGTTCGTTTCAAGTTCGGATCTGGTGGTGTTTCAACTGCTCGAGAAATCATCCGTGTGCAGACTGCTTCCGCGCCAGCTATTTCAAGCCATGCCAGACTTCAATTGACTGTTGACGCGAGATCTCTTCACACAACGATTTACTCACTTTGGTTACAAACTGAAATGGCTTCGAAAGCATTGATCGGCTTCAACGCTGCGGCGGCCGTCGGGGCATTCGTCCTCTACCTCGGCGGCGCGCGGGTGGTGCTCGACAGCAACAGCGGGGAAGCGCAGCCGCTTGTTGACATCGTTCAAAGTTCGCATGCACAAGCAGTAGGATCATCTGACGGCAAGGGAAGCAACTACACATGCACTCATTCGGAGATGAAGCCCAAGTTCCTGTCGTATGATCCAATCATGGTCTACATAGAGAACTTCATATCACCTTACGAGACGGAACATCTGAAAAAGCTTGCGCAAGTCTCACCTCAGTCCGCAAACCTTGGCCTGACGACCGGGCTAACACGCTGCCACAGTCTAGCAGAATATGAGCCATCCGTGGTACAGAACTTCAACAACCAAGCTGGAGACAAGAAGGTCTACGTGGACTCGAGCTCCAGGAAAAGTGAAACCGCCTGGCTCGAAAACGGTGATCCCGTTGTGGACTGCGTAAAGTCTCGGGCAGCGGTGTTCCAGGGCTTTGCACCCAACGCTACCATGGAGCAGCTTGCAGTGCTCAAGTACACCGCCGGCGGCTCGTTCGAGACGCACTACGACTGGCACTATGCAACACCACGGCCGGTGGACCGTATCACCAGCTTCTTCGCAACGCTTGAGGCCTCGGACGACATCGAAGGGGGCTCGACGTGGTTCCCGATGGTCCTCCAGCCGGCGTGGAAGGACAAGGGGCCTTGGTGCAAGTGGCTAGACTGCTCGTACCAGAGAGGGCTGGCGGTGCGCCCGATCCCAGGGAATGCGGTCTTCTGGGTGAACTTCAGGAAGGACGGATCCGGGCATCGGGATACTGCACATGGAGGGCAGCCGGTGCTGAAGGGGTCTAAGATTGGGCTGAACATCTGGACTCGCGGGAAGGTAAATGGCAACTAAAGTAGATTGATTGTCTGGCCAGATCCGTACCTGAATTATAATTTAAGGTTTGCTGGGGTGGCCTGCATGAGTCTTTGGCCAGACCGCGGAAGATTGTCCCAGGTTGCGTGGCTCGATTCCTAATTTTGCTGTCTCTTGAAGGCTGTGAAACGAGCGTTCCAAGAGGCTAGTCGGAGACACATGATTCATGGCAGCTGTAATTAACGACCTATCCGGACTCTGAGACGTTTGTCTACAGAACTGTCCACGAAAATACACCCGACTTATGTCAGGGGCCAGCACACACGATCCACCCGCATAGAGGAGGGTCCCAAGACAGAAACACACCTCGAACTCAGAGGCATCAGATTGCAGACAATACCACAGCACCGCAAAAGAGAGAAGTATGGACATGCATTTTCCGGTAAGCGTGATCTAGGCAACCACGCCGCTGAGCCAAAAAGGGTCGAATTTCCGGCTTGTGGGGTGAGAAGAACCCCAGGGCTCCACGCTGCCTGCTTGTCAGGATTCACAAAAACAAAAGCGAAGTGTCAAACTCATACTTGAGCGAGCTGACATATAGTTCGGACAACTGATGGGGTTTCAGCCGACCTGGGCAAGGTAAGTCTTTATTTTTGTAGCTACTTCGCTGAGCATGAAGTTCACGAGTTGTATTATGAAGGCTGCTCAACAGGTGTCCAATCGGTGCCTGGCGTCAGCTCATTCCATGCGGGTGATCGACATTAGCTCGGTGCCGATTCGGCGAGGGTTCCGGTCTCATGAACTCTGTTCGGAGGCTAAACGAGTGGTAATGTAACGTCGGCAGTGGCCCCATTGAACCAGCTTCCCGGGTTTCTCGGGTTCAGGTCCTTTTTTCTCGTATGGGCATTGAGTTCACGCCATGTGGATGTGGAACGTTTGATGTGAATTAAGCAAACAGTATCCGGCGTAGAGCAAAGCAGCTTGCGAGCCCCTTTGCTGAAACGAGTAGGCTGCTCCACTGAAACTGCTCAAAACAATCAAGCAAGCATACCACTTGCTGAATGAGTGCGGGCCAGCGAGGGCTGGGCGCTACAAGTTCGAGCGGAAAGGCCTGCATGCAGTGTCGGTGCCGTCTCGGCACTCAGGACGAACTGCCCTGCATCTGCACCCTCCCAACCTGTCAGGGGACGAAATGGAATGGCGTGCCGAGTCTCATGGCCCAGAGACAATGACTAGTGCGCCGAGGGCGCGCCCGCCGGCACCGACGAGACCGACAGGCCTGGGCGCTTGCCCTACAAGGACGTTATCTCCTCCTTCTGTCGTCCATATATAGGGCCCTGCTTGGCACCTTCTGCCCTTCAGTCTCGTGCGACATGGCAAGTATGTGTAACATAGAATATGGACCAAGAGACACACATCCTCCATGAGAAGGCTGGAGGCCCTGGCTCAGATACAAGTTTGAGTCGAGGGCAATCCCCGGCGGATAACAAGATCGACTTGAAGGAATGGACCATCACGACAGAATCCGGGCAAGGGGACGGCCCAAGCAGTCCGGACAATGAGCCCCCAAGTGAGAAGCCCGTCGTCTCACCCAGCCCCGATGGAGACCCGTCACAGGCAGTACCACCGCCGTACTCGTCCTTCACAGTCGGGGAGAAGCGAATGATCGTCCTCGCTGCCGCGTTGGCCGCCTTCTTCTCGCCGCTGACGGGCCAGATCTACTTCCCAGCGCTCAACGTCATCGCCAAGGAGTTCAACGTGTCGGCCTCGCAGATCAACCTGACGGTGACGACCTACATGATTTTTCAGGGCGTCGCCCCGATGTTCTTCGGCGGGTTTGCCGACACCGCCGGGCGCCGACCCGCGTTCGTGCTGTGCTTCGTCATCTACATGCTCGCCAACGAGGGCGTCGCCGTCTGCAGCAAGTACTCGGAGCTGCTGGTCCTGCGCTGCTTCCAGAGCGCCGGCATCGCGGCCACCGTCGCGCTGAGCCAGGCCGTCATCGCCGACACCGTCACCAGCGCCGAGAGGGGCAACTATATCGGCATCACCATGCTGCCCATCGTGCTGGCCCCGAGCCTGGGCCCCGTGCTGGGTGGGGTCCTCTCTCAGTACCTGGGGTGGAGGTCGATATTCTGGTTCCTGACCATCCTCGCCGCTGTCACGCTCATACTCATGTTGTTCTTCTTCCCCGAGACGTGCCGGAAGCTGGTCGGCGACGGTAGCATCCGTCCTCATCCCGTGTACAGGACGCTCTGGCAGGTGATCACTGACCGCCGAAAGAAGCGCCAGGCGGAGAGAAACGGCGACCGCGAGGCCCTCCGGAGTATCAAGATGGCCACATCGAAAAAGAACCGTCCCCAGCTCAAGATCGGCTTCGGCAACCCCCTGGACTCGCTGACGATGCTCTTCGAGCCGCTCCTCGGCGTCCTCCTCGGCTACAGCGCCATCGTCTTCGCCGGCTTCTACGCCATAGCAACCGTCATGCCCTCCCAGTTCGAGCGCCTGTATGGTTTCGACAACGTCAAAATCGGCCTGATGTACCTCCCAATGGCCGGCGGGTCCGTCGTCGCGGCTTTCGTGACCGGCCCGGCCATCGACTGGAACTACCGCCGCCACGCCAAGAGGCTCGGCATGCCATTGACCAAGGGCGCCCAGGACGACCTGTCAAACTTCCCCGTGGAGCGCGCGCGCATCGAGATAGGCCTGCCGCTCCTGGCGCTCGCCACTGTTGTCCTCTTCGCTTGGGGGTGGGCGCTGCAGTACGGGGCTCCTATCGCCGTGCCGTGCATATTGTTGTTCCTGATGGGCGTCGGGATGATCGGGTACACGAATGCGTCGAGTGTGCTGATCGTCGATATGTATCCCAAAAAGGCCGGGGCGGCCACCGCTGCGAACAATCTGACTCGGTGTCTTCTCGGTGCCGCAGCGACCGGCGCCGTCTCGCCCATGATCGATGCTATTGGTGTTGGCTGGACGTTCATGATTTTTGGCTTCTTGTACATGGCTGGGGCGCCTCTGCTGCTGCTTATAATGAAGAATGGCATCCAGTGGAGACGCAATATTCGGGCAAAGGAGGAGAGAAAACGGGTCAAGGCCGAGGAGAAGAAGAGGGAGCGGGAGAGTGAAAGGTCAAATCAGAGTGCCGGTCAGAGCGCTGATAAGGTTCCGTAAGAGGCTTTCCGAGGCAGATTCCGCAAAGTTCTTACCCCTCGACCATCATGAAAGTTGAGCTTCTCGGCAGTCTCGGGGTCAATTCTCAGTTTAAGCGTTGTTCTTGGGTTTCGGCATGGCAGACATTGGATTACTTTGGGTCCCACATGGCAGCTTTGACACTGTTTGCAGCGCACAGATTGACATGCGGCATTAGCTCAGGCGTTTTGGTGGGAATCATGAGTGAATGGGGGGGGGGGTTCCCCGATATCGTTCACTGGGTACTATCTATATAATGTTATCACACGTCATTATCTTGTACACAATCTTGTCCAGACCTCCCCGCTGGAACCGGTTTCTGCTTGACACATCAGATCAGCAAAGCAGCCATGGCCATCGCACCGACGGCGGCCAATGGACTACCCGTCTCCATCGCACCAGCGTTCGCAGCCCTTGTTGTTCTAGAAGGGTTTGCTGTCCCCGTGGCTGCGTTCTTGCATGTCAGGCACAGACTGCTCGCCACCCTCTCCCCAGTCTGGGTGCCGCCAGGACCCGGCGCGATAGCTGAGGTGAGTCCACCAGGACCGTTGGTGATGGTTGACGGGGCCTCTGTCGCAGTCAGCGATCCGGTAAGAACAGCCTCGGAGGCCGTGGCCGTGCAGTCGCCGGTGACGGATGGCACGGCGTCCAGGCCTGTAGAGATGGTGACGAGGCTTGTCCCGCAGTTGGCGGCCTGCGCGAGGTGGAGGTTGCGGTTGTCCTGGTCGTATACCACGTATGCTGCGCGCAGGAACGTGTCTCCGAGGACGGGCTCGTCTGTCGAACGCTGTCAGTCTGCTTTTCTTTGCCGCAGAGCAATGCAGTATCAACTTACCGTCGTCGGCCAGGACGCCTAGGACACAGGTATCCTCCATGCTCGGCACACGCCAGATAAAGTCGTCAAAAGCGACGCTGATGATCTTCTCACCAAAGACAAAGTCCACGCTTCCCGAGCTATCGCCAACATCACAATCAACAAGGAAGTAGCCAGACTCAGAGTCATACTGCGCGCCGGGGAACACAGACCCAACGGCCGCGAACACCTCGGTGGGCAGCCGAGTCATTGTGCCACCGCTGTCCAGGAACACGGGCAGTTCAAGTTCACCGTCGCCGACGAGCCCGGACTCGCCACTCGGGAGCGTCATTCCGAGGCCAGTGAGGTAGATCCAGTAGCGGTCCGCGCCACTGGGAGTGTCCAGGGGGTCGATGATGGGGCACTTCTGCAGCTCACCGATGAACTTGCCTGTGTCAACGCCGCCAAAGACGACCGATCCGTCCGGGCTGTCGACGTCTCGAAGGTCGAGGCTGAAGGCCCGGCTGTCGATCAGGCCTTGCTCGACCATGTTGTCCAGGACATAAGTGTAGAGTGGGTCTGAGTCTGTGGGCGGTGCAAGACCGAGTATTCCCAGGGGTATCTCGATTCGAACCCCACGCCGAAGATCTGGTCTGTGATACTGGCGGCTGTGACGGTCAGTCAGGACGTGATTCCTGAGTTGTCTGTCAGACATGTTCACCCGACTTACATCCGATACTGACGGCATCCGTCACGTATTCAATCGTGACATTGCCCTTGCCATACGCCAACATGTTCGAATAGCCGGTGTCATTGATAGTCGAGCTCGCGGTGTAGTCGAACTGCGAGAACGACTCGCAGTAGTTCGGCTGCCCGGATGTCTCACAGGTTGGGTTCACCCAGAGCTCCGAGGACCCAGTGTCGATGATGAGGGTGACCGACTGGGGCGGCGTGCCGATCTCGATGTCGATAGTATAGGACGTGCCACTCTGCTGGTTCTCTAGAGGCGTCGCATCTTGCCTCTTAGAACTGGCCCGTCGGAACCTGCCCCAGCCTGTGACTCCATCATGATGCGTCGTCACTTGAGATCGCAGAATTGGCGCGCCGACCTGTGTTCTTCTCGGGCTTGATGGCGTAGACGCGGCGGCCAGGCTGGTGAGAGCCGTGAGCGCGCAGGACCCGCGCAAGACAGACCTCCTCATTTCTGGATTTAGAAGATGTGTAACCGATGGCGATGCCCAGTCCTGTCAAGCACGAGTTTTTGGTCTTGGCCCCGGGTCCCCCTCCCTTCTTATGCACTTCGGTCGCCGGCTAAATCCACCATCTTCGGACGTGAGCAAACCGGAGTCCGTCGAAACAAGCTCCTGCATATACCCCAATCTGACAGCGCAGGAGCGGGAGGCGGCTGCGGCTCAAGAAAAGCCCTTCCAAAAAGGCCGCTATTTGTCTCTCTTCGGGGCTGAACAGGTCTTGGCATAAGCCCTTCTTGACGATGGCGGCCTCTAGTTCGACGCCTCTAGAGAAACTACTGGTGGATGCGGATTGCCGCATCAGGCATGATCTCTGCACGCCTTGTTACACCTGCAGCGACATGCGGTGCAGGTACACGATCAGCTACGCACCGCCTCTTTCGCTTCTCCATGTTCACGTTCATTTCAGGAAAGCCAACACACGGGCCCGACCTGCAGTGGCGGCGAGCTGCATGGCCTAGTCCATTGCTGATTGGAGCTGATGCAGCTGCCAAGGATCTAGAGATGACAGGAATTGACCTGTTTCGTGAACACGTCCTTGAACACGTCCGCACGGAGAGGAAAAGTTAGGCCGTATACTGTCTCAGCTGAGCGCCGTGCTGTGTAGCTTTCCGCCTCAGCCGCAGCTGTCGTCGGGCAAATGAGCCCACGAGATTGGATAGAGTTTGTCTTTGTATCACTTATTAGGCATTCACTTTGACCATGAGCGGAGGCAAACGATGCGTAACGGGCTGATGAAGACCCTTACCTCTCACCGAACCAGATGCTGTGGAGGTTCACTTTCAGGATCGGTCAGTTCACAATCCCAACGCGCCAGATTTCTTCTTGGGTGATGACCTTGCTTGGGTAGGTGGCCAACGTACAATATGTCTACTGCATTGCAGTTGATGTTGTTGTCCGGTGTCTCGGGCAAAATACCACTACCCAGGCACACCACAGCAGATGTTGGTATTGAATAGACGAGGCTATGTAAGGAGAACAACAATAACTTCTTGAATCATGTGAAAGGAAAAGAAACAAGGGTGCGTGTAGTGTTATCCAATTTGCATGCATGCCCTCGGAGAAGCAGGGTATCTGTAAGCAAGAGTCATCCCTGGGCGTAACGCATATCAAGAGCCGTAAAAATCACCAATCCCCACCCCTCCCCCCCCCGATTGTTACTAGCATCTACATCAAATTCTACCCCCTAAAATCCGGAAACTTCTCTTTCTGCTGCTCGTACTGACAATGGTCAGCTTGTGTCGGGTCGCGATGCGATGGCGGTTCTGGCACCATGAAATGCGACTTGATGGGCGACATGGCCTTCCCAATGCTGGCGTGTGCATGACGCTTCTGGAGCAGCGGTGACAGCTGTAGCTCCCGGATGACCCCTGCCCAGCCCTGCTTGCGACTTCCGTCGATGTTGTCCCCGCGTCCCATGGCTGCCGCGCGGCTCAGCCGGCGCCGTGACATCTTCTTCTTGAGCGCCGAGTTTACGCCAAGGGGCAGCGCCGGTGGTAAAGGTGGCGGTGGAGGCGGCGGAGCACCATTCGTGCTCGCGAAAGAAGTAGTCTTCTCCGAGAATTTCGACGAGTATTTCTTGACACGGCCAGCTGAGACGAGGCCCATATAGGCCACAAGGAAGCGCATACGAAGCATATCTAGTCTGCGCACTTTGTCCTCGAGATTCTCTTGGCGTGTGTTAGTTCCTTGCTATGGGGCCTCAAATGATGCATCCCGAAAGATTAAAAACACTAGATATGGGAGAATGTAACAGGAAAATAATTGTACTAACTGCGCTTCGAGGCCCAGAGCAGGCGTGCGGTAGCTCTCAGCCGCAGATCTCGGAGATCGCTGTAACCGCCGGTTGTGAGGTCTCCACTTTCGCTCATTAACAGGCCGTTGAGTTCCTCTCGCAAATCGTCACCTCCCCTCTGGATTTCCCGGAGCAGCCGGCCGAGGCGCAGCTTGTCGTCGAGACGCTGCACGCGTAACACATCCCGATCATAGCTCTCATTCTCCTCGACAGAAGAATCGACGGCCTCAATGAAGGTGAGGATCTCCGCTGGCGCCGCTATGGAGGCTTTGGCGTAGGACGACAGAATTTGCAGGGTGACAACGACGCTGAGGAAAATGGCGGTGACGGCCAGCACAAATGTCCACTGGCTGCCGGTGTGAGCCATCACACCTATGTCCAATGCTTGTGCTGCACTCATCCGGATGTTATACTCCGCGACAGCCAAAGGCATACCCTGCGAAGGGTCTCACGGACAAGTACGAGTCTCGACAGGGACGATGAAGAAGCGGAACAGGAGGTTGGCCTGACAGTAGTGCATAGGTGTGACAAGTTCGGTAGAGTATTCGCATAGCAAAACTGCTGACAGGGGGAGGTAAGCTTATTATTAGTAATGAGTCTAGTCAGGGGCAGTGGGCCTTACGTCCTCTTTTGCGAGAGAAAATTACGGGGCAGATTGGGATTGAACACGTAATGTGTTCACAAAGGTCTGGCCACTCCCAGGTACTTAAGTACTTAGTACCGGGGAAAAGGGCTGGCCTGTAGTGGATGCGACTCCTGATCTAACTAACATCTTCAATTGAATTCTGGTCGATATTCCTGTCCGTGAAAAAGTTGGTTTTGTCCACAGTGAAGAAATCAGCCGCTATCCTGGCCCCATAAGCCCACCCGATTAGGCTCATCGATGCTTTTGGCCCCTTCGCCCTTGCAACAACACCCCTTCTATCCTACTATACATACTATTTCATGCGAGTCTTAGTTTACGGTGTGCGTTTTGAAGCCCGTAGTTCACTGAACATATGCCATTTTTTCAGGGCGCGATATGTGTAGACCGCCTACGACCAACGCTGAGGCTCAAGGTGACGAGACATAAAAATTGAAACGGATGGGATAGGAGCTTATACACATCTAGTCGCCAGCTAGAAGATTAATTGTGGATCCTTCACAGACGTCCTTGTACGGGGACTAGCTCCAGTGGGGACACCTCCAGTGAAAATATTCCCAGTAAGGTAGGCTTTTAGAGAATAATCTCTTCAAAGATACCATGCTGTTGAATAGCCTTCAATCTCATTACATCACGATCACAGCAGAATCCGGACTTGAAATGGGTGGAATATAGCTAATATGTATCTACATATGACTACCGTTTCTTTCTGTACACGAATAGTGCACAATACCATTTGACCCCAGCAGCATTGCCAACATGGGCCAGCCACGAAGACAACAAAATTACGAACAGTGAGCCTGCTCCTCTGGCGGTGTTGCCTCTCAGATAAAGTGTCAGAAGTGTTGGCCCTGCGCGCGGGCATCTCGCTGCCGCCGCTCCGGTGCTGCCTCCCACGGTAGGAAGTCATGGATACGTTGCTGTCGTCGCCACCAGTCTTGGTGGGTTCGTGGTAAATGACGTCGAAACTGGACCTATACTCCGTCTTGTCCTTGGCATAGATTACGCGGTAGGGGCCGGGCTGCTGGGAGACGGCATATTGGGAGAAGCTCCCGTGGTGATTGTTTGTTTGTTTGGGGCGGGGGGAGAACTCATTGCGCGGGGTTGGGCTGATCAGGCCCTCGAGGTTGTCCTTGTTATTGAAGTCGTCGGGGTAAAACATCTTCTGCCTCTTTCCGTCCTGTGTGAGCTAGCGAGTCTTGGTCACAGGGGCCTCCTGGACTTGACGGTGGACTTCCGTTGTCTTGTAGTGGTGGTCGGGGTGGTTATTCGGGAGGTTTCTGCCGAAATACCATCCCGCGGCAATGTTAATAAGTGTTAAATGAAGGGAGTTACAGAAACCATCACCCCTATATACTATTTTGACCACCGTTAGAACAGCTATCATCGAAAATAGGGCATGAAATTCACTTGCATTCTTCGCCACCTGGGCAGCCAACGTGGTCGGCCCTGAGTTCCAACTATCTGTTGCATCTTCGTGAGGCCAGATCTTCGTGAGGCCAGATGAACCTGAACATCACAAGCCAGGCAAAAACCAGTTTCAAGCGGACGGAAAAGACAGCCATGAGGCAGTCTGACTTGACTTTTTGGCGTCTCTGTAGGCTGTCCCCTATGGAACTCTCTCGTTTCCCCTGGCATGGTCAACGAGGTCCCCAAGGTCTTGAGGAGTGTTTAGGTCTCCAGGAATATCTGTAAGCTAGCAGTCTGGTCTAGTGCTGGCCCCTCATGTGCGACGAAACAAGTTCACAGGGATGGAAAGCATGAGGCTTTAATATCTCTTGCTGCGCTGCCACATACGCGCACCTCGTCACTGGCCGGGAATATCAGCAGCCATGGTGTGAGAGACCGGGTGACCTAGTAAAAGCCACAATTCACGGGCTCTGGAAGTGCTGGCCAAGTCAGTGGGATGATAAAGCTCCAGGCTGGGCGGTAATAAGCCAACTTTCAGAATCTAGCCATGTCAACATCTACTACACAGGCCGAAAGAACTGGACGTGGGGGAAAGCGTGGATGTAGCTACAGACAGCTGATACACGTAAGCAGCCAAGTTTGGTGTTGGTGAGACGGGCACCGATACCGGGCAAGCCACACAAGTATGCAACAAACGTTTAACCTTGATTTGATAATGGTCAATGTTAACTAAATGTTACATTGAGGGTTCAAGACTGAAGTTCGAACACCAGACTCAATTTGCTCCGGAATGGCTAATTCCCAGTCATAACTAAGTTCGTCTCTCCAGACCATCATTCATGGCCAGTATCGTCACATCACCCAGTTCTCGAATCACTACAGCTTCAAGGTTTACAATGAGAATCGTTTACAAGACCGTGGGAGGGGACTGGTTGTTGTAGAGTCCGTCCTGGGCTGACGCCTAGGCGGCCTAGGGCAAATCACGACCCGGAGCAAGGACCATGGCTACTCTCATATGCAATCAATCGTATCGTTTTGGCGCTAATGGGCTGCACACGACCAACCTACCCAAAATTCGTATGCACTTCAACTAACTCTCTTAATTTAGCTTTAATCTATTTAAAAACATATATAAGAAGAAAGCTACTTCTTTTCTAATTTTATTTCTTCTCTTTGCTATAAAATTAAGTGTGTGGAGGAGGAGGAATTTGCATTTAAAGTGAAGTTAAAAATAACTTAAGTTGAAGTTGGATTTAAAGGGGTGGTGAAATTTAAGAATTACGTTAAAATTACTAGGGAGGGGGTAATTATACCTAAATTTGCTTAAAAACACCTCCCCCTTAAAATTTCAAACTTATCTTTAAAATTAGATATTAACACATATCACACCTTTAATATTCCCTTTGCCCTTTTTAAATAGATATTAAAAGAATTAAAAAAGAAGCGGCTATTATTTAATATAGGGCATAATTAAATTAAGAAGGTATTTATTTTATAAGAGGTAAAAATAGTTGAAAAATAAAGTGCATATGAATCTTGGGTAGGTTGGTCGTGTGCAGGTCACTAGCGCCATTTTGATATGATTGATTGCATATGAGAGTAGTGGGCGCAACATCAGACTGCTTCGGATTTCCATACTACTAACCAAGCACCCGATATATCAAAGGAGGAAGAGATCTCGGGGATCTTGAGACTATCTTCCCACCAGGCATAAGTCCTGCCCGACCTCAAAAGACACAGTGTCAACCCCAGCATGCCGTGGGCGACATACGTCATCTTATTGGTCCGACCTGCTATTCTCGGTCTAGCTAAAGCTATTTAAGACTGGGATCCGTCAACATCAACAATCCTTTTCATAGAGATATGAAGGAGCCACTCCCTCCCTCCCAGCAAACATATTCCCAAGTCCACAATCTTGATTCACTTGCAAGTTGTAATTTGTACTCTTCAACCTTATCCGTCAGCTCTCTTCACTGTTCAGCTGGCTCTTTTACCCCGCACCCACTCGCAGCTCATCCGCCAGCAGCTCATCCTCGACAATCCTTCAAGATGACCACAACAACTTTGAACTTTGATACCATCACAAATGAGGACCGCGGCCTCTTCAATGGCATCCAGTCCGAAGTCTTTACCCAGCTTCAACAGACACTCACTGCATCCAAAGGGCCCACAATCGATGACAAGGTGGGCCAGTTTGTCGCCTACCTGACTTCCTACGGCCCTGACAAGCTCAACAAGGCCGATCTCAGGCCCGAAGACTTTACCTGGAACACGTGGAAAGTCTTCACTTACACTGCCGCCTGTATCCCACCTGACCACTCTGCGCAAAATGTCCTCGTCCAGATCTTGCTTGCACTCCAGGCCGCCGAGGCGCCGTGGAAGGATTTGCCCGAGTTCAGCATGTTCATGAGAGACGAGTGGAACGAAAGTAAGATCACATCTCCACAGAGCCAGCCAAGGTCCGCCTGCTTCCTCGCAGAATCTCAGATGCTAACATCAGCCCAACGTGCCCACAGGTCCTACATTCGAGGCCATTGACTCAGACAATGACCAAAAGCTGTCCCTGGACGAATGGATCAGTCTCAACTCCTTCATCGCCCGAGTCTTCCGCGACGTCCAGCCCTCCTTCCGCACCTTCGGCATCTGGGAGCTGCGCTCCGGCCTGGAGGGCGAGGTCACCAAGGACGATGAGGGCAAGCCGCTCCCACAGGCCGGCGTCGACACCCGTGTGCGGGTCGCGGCCGAGTGGATCATCCGTGCCGGGGACAAGCTGTGGAGGGACTCGCTGCTCGGGGTCTGGGCCGAGGAGACGGCTTCAACCGGGCGCGCCTACATCGGCGGTAAGCTGATCCCGGCCACGAGGGGCTTGAACCTTGAGCGCTGGGGCTTCTGGAAGCGCCGGTTTGCCGAGGTGCGTGGGGATGTGCAGGACGAGGCGGCTCGTGACGCTGTTGGTCGGGCTTTGGAGGCCATGACGGCCTTGGAGAAGAAGGCGGCTGAGGCGCTGTAGAATTGGGCCCCCGGCACGCACACTTGAAATAGTGGCAAAAGATTCTGGCAACTGGACTCGAGACCCACCATAGCCCTGATCTGGTACACTCATGTTTTTGTAGGCGCATGAAGCATTTCAGTCAGCTCGTAACCTGAGAGCATCCAGTTTCCTGTGTCACACAATTTATTGAGCAACCTTTTCATCCAGAAGAGCTAGTGATGTCGCCAGTATCCCAAAGCTTTCGTCTTGATTACTGTGCCCTTGCTCTCTGTACCGGAGTGCCATCTCCCCCTTTCCTGCCATTTAGGCACAGATCCAACTGACAATATTTGCAGTGAGATGCTTGCGGCACGTGAGGTCCGTGGAGCCAACCTCGCAGGCCGCCCACGACTGGTCTGGTGTCACAGTGCAATCCGTAGTCCTGACACAGATTTCGTCAGCGCTGCAGGTCTCATTCCAAGACATGCTCCCAGCGGACGGACTCACTTGTACAGGTTACAGCCGGTGATCGACCCCCCTCTCGGGATCGAGATGTAGTTCACATCGCCGATAAGCGCCGCCGGGGCCTCGGGGAAGTCGTCAAAGGTGTCTGCCGCCAGTTACTGCGTGTCAGCGCCGTCTGATGCCAAGTGGAGTCGACCGCGGTGCATGGGATCATGGTGCCTTACAGCAGACGTTCGGCTCTACTTTCAACTTTCCGCATGTCCCTGCGCCGGCCGTTGGCTGGGCATAAGGGCATGCTCCAGTGGCGTATGTGGACGCCGAGCAGAACTGGATGTCTGTCGTCCCTGTCCGGGGAACGACGAAGGCGTTGGCTAGGCCAGCAAGTACTGTAAGACCAAGAGGGGCGGGGAGCTGCATATTTTCTTGATACTATATCTGGCTTGTGCGGATAGAGTAGGAACAATGGGAAGAGGGACGAGTTGGGCCCGGTTTTGTGGTGGTCAATATTCGATTTTCTAATTGCTGCTGCGAGACATAACTTGTGGACAGACAAGCCTTCTTCTACAGCCACGATCTGAAGCTTATATAGTCCTAATGTCGTATCACCGCCTCCAGCATATCCTTCATGTCGTATCACGATCCCTCCCAGCTGGAAGCACCGGAGACCAGGCCCGGCGCATGACGTGAGATTCCCACCGTCTCCTCACCGACCACCTTCCAACTTCCCCTCGGGTCAAGTGAAAATGAGATGCGGGCTGCACGATGTCTCATCAAAACCCGACTCCTCCCCCTATTGCTCCCTCACCGGCATCCGAGCCTGCAGCAACGGCGCGAATTCTCTTTATCGTAGCAGGATTCGCCCTAGCGGTCCTGACGAGGTGCAGGTGCATAAGGCGCAGCTGGCGCGCCCACCCGACTGGTTCTGGTCGGCCAGGGCTGCAGGTTGGAAGGCGACTATTGCATGCAGCTCGGAATGCGGCTCGACAAGACTGCTGCACGACAAACCTAGACTGTCCCAAGGAGGGAGCCGTTGAGGGAACCAATCCATCTTCATCTGTGAGCACGACTGCAAAAAACGTGCGCAATTCTTCCAGGCACTTTTCTCGCTGTTTTCCTCAATATCTCCGGTTGGCTGGTTTGTGTCAATCATTACATGCGCGAAATGGGCTCCTCGTATCATGTCTGTCGATGCTTTCGGATATCGATGACTGAGCCTCTCTCACCGTTCCCACCGGTTCCCTCCTGTGCTAGGGCCTGATTTTCTCAGCCGCCGGGCGGCGGGCCCGTCCCCGGAGCGATAACCGCTAACAGCTAGGGACGGGATACTATATCAAGCGCGCATGTCTAGTCCTCGGGCCGTCTTACTCTGTTGAGCAGGCAGAATGAGATGATGCACGTCCTACTGTTTACGATGTGACAATATTGACTGGTCAGAATTTATGGGCTGAGATGAAAACTATTTTGGTTTACGTCGTCTAAGCGAGTCCACTTACAAATGGAGATTACGGAGATACAAGGGTTTGAACCATCAAGTTGCCTTCACCCTTTCTCTCCCACCTCGGCCCTCGGCTCCGAGTCGATGCACGACATGCGTCAGAGCGTGTACGGTACGTGTATACATGTACCGTGGACCACAAAGGACATGACTCTCCGACCCAAGAGATCTGTTCTTGAATCATTATTCTCCGATGGGGGATCCTCTTCTATCCGCTGCGAAACCGAGGCGCCTGAATCATTGGGCAAGACTCTGTCGCGAAAAAAAAAAAAAAACAGAGAAATGCCTCCCGGAATGCCTCCCTTTCTCACCTGGCAGCCAACGCCCAGTAATAACAGCTCAACGCTCCGCCCAGAAGTTATGCCTTTCAATACCTCATCGTGCAGAGGTGCGACAAACCTTGGGAAATATTATTTGCTCGCTCAAGGCTCCGCTTAGACGATGATGTAATTTTAGAGTTGCCCAGGTGCCCAAGCTTCGGAACGAACCTACGTTGGAGTGGATGGGTGGGTGGGTGCAGTTGAGTTATCCCATTGATGTGACAGACGACAGCCTTGTTATTGTTATCTGTCACCGAATTTTCGCAGCCCTCTCCCTGGCAGCGAAAAAAAAAATGACAGCCCGCCCCATCAGCTGTTGCCCGCCCGCTGGGGCCCGAGTAATGGGACCGCAGGCTCAAACCACTGTACACAGACACAGGCACAAGACCTGCGGTGGCCCTGGCCCTACTTGCCGACATATCTGGGGGGCTTGGCGGTGCTCCACGTACCCCCCATTGCCCAGGCGTGTTGCCAATGCCAGCTTGGCACCCACACGCACGCAGATCGGGGTGTCTGGGGTGTTTGCTTAAACCAGTCATCCAGTCAGTCAGTCATCCGGTCGACGCATACATACACATCCCCGGGGACGGTCAAGGATGCATCCAGAATGCCCGGCTATAGCCGCCCGTCCCTTCACCACACAGCTGAAATTCTACTTTGTGCCCCACTATGCCATAGGGCTCGCGGTCAAGGGATCAACGCGATTTCCCCCGCGGAGGAGTATCCCCGGAGCAAAGACAAATAATGGCCGCCGGGGGGTAGCTGAATTTTCGGAGTCTCGATTGATTTTTTTTAAAGTTCCCCTCTTATTATTCTGGTTCATGATGATTCCACGGCCCACTTGCCGCGGACAGGATCGTTGCGGATTGTCTGTCCGGGTAGATATCAGGCTCACGGGGTAGGCCATCCGCGGAACCAAGAAAAAGCCAAATACCCCTCGCTAGTTTGGCCTCTTTGCTTTTTTCAACTCGGGGCTAACACACGCTTCCGGAGTGGACGTTCGCAGAGCTGAGACTCAAGGTTGGGCCGTAAAACGGCCGTTGTGACCGAGTACAGCAAGTAGGGCCACCACAATCGACTAGCGATGTGTGTAGGGGTGTGTGTGTGTGTGTGTGTGTGTGTATGTGTGTGTATGTGTGTACGTGCGCGCGTGTTTCCTTCATGTGTATGCGCTCAACGACAGAGGTGGCATAGCGTGGGTTTGCCCAACATGCTAAGCTTCTGCCGGACTGGGGCCGAACTACGTTTCCATTCATCCCAACTAAGCTTTTGGGAAGCCCGTGGGAGCACAAGCCTTTTAAAGCACATGCGACAAGGAGCGTCAGCGCAGCACAAGCGAGGCAAAACACCCCAACGAGTGGATCCCGCCGTTTTGTTCGTTCGCCCGGTTGCAGCTTCGTGCAGCTCGCCTGCCCGCTTGAGCCTCAACCTTAAATCCTACCGCGCAACGCTGGGCCGAGGGGGCGGGAAACAAGGGGCCCAGCGAGCGGCACGACATCCGAAGGGCTGGCGATCCTCGAGGCGGTCGGGAAAATACGCGTGGGTTTGCGCCCAACGTCGTGGGCCTCCCCAGGGACCAGAAAACCTTGGGGGGACGAGCAGCGGACGAGCAGGGGACGAGCGTGCGTACGTGCTTCAGTATATGCGCGCCTGTGAACGGCCGCGCAGAGGTGTGACGGGCATCAGATCAAGAACGGGGTTGCGTGCTGGAAGAACGGCCCGCGCGGGTGGATGCGGGCTGTCCGCGGGCCTCCCCGGGCCTGCGAAGGATGTGGACAGCAGGGAGGGTGTGGGAGTGCAACTCAAGCTTAATGATATTTTTAGGGTCCAGGATATCCTTTGAGTACTGCGGGCGCAGCAGGCGCAGGTTGTTCCTTCACCTCCGGTAATGTGAGGCGAGACGAACAGGGGACGATGGAATTAAAAAAACATGAAAACTCTCACCGAAAGTTCCGGGCAGCTGACCGCCCACGGACATGGCGGTACGCTACTTCCGAGGAGCAACGTCCGGACGGAATTTCAACAAAAGACCGAAGTCTCGTCGACGGCTGACCGAAGTCCCTCCGGCTCCGGGCGAGCCAGTGAAATGCTTGGCCGCACATCGCCGATGAGGTGGGATGATATATCACCTCACAAGGGTTACATGAAATGAGGTATTGGAAAGGCGGTGGAGGGGGAAGGGGAGGGAAGGGACAGCGGGGAAAGTAGAAAGCATTGATCACCGGCTGCCGGTGAGTGTTGCTATTGTTGGTTGTCACGGCAAGAGATCCTGTATCAGCCCTAGGAGCGGGAAAGCCGAGGCTTGGAAGAGCTGCGGTGCGGCTTTTCCATGCAGACAACCCGGTCGGGCAATGTGCATGCAGCACGTCCGTTTCCTGGTCCTCCAGTGAGGCTGCATCGTCTGAGGAGTCCCGTCCCTGCCATAGATTACGGCTATATTGTGGCTTGCGAATGTGCATGAACCACACTAGCTGCCCAACGGCAGGAGTCGCATCAGGCCCGTGGGCTAGCAATAGTCGCTACTGTGTAGAAGGTGGTGTCGTACCAACAAGAATTAAACAGCACAAATGCTTGTCCCAGGCATGCCCGCATGCTAAAACAAGGACTATGAACTAGCCGCATTCCCATCGAAGCTTCAATGCGCGCGCCGTCCCGCCGGTTCGACCTGCCCGGGGAAAGGAAGATGGAGAAGGAAAACGTTCGCCTTGCTAGTACGTAATACGCTTGCTGCTCCTTCCTCTCCAACGGGGCCGCAAGCTACGCATTGACCCGGGCGAGGGGGCCTAGATCGATGCTATCTATAAACCGCTTAGTGGAGGCGACAGAGACGCTGAACCCGCGCGGCTTACAATTATCGCCCTCTGGCAAAGCCACACGGCACTGACGCAGCACCTCGTTTGGCTAACCGACTTGGTCTCTGGCAAAAGACGATCATCTCGCCTCGGCTTGGCACTCACGGGCGTCGCGGATGAGATGGGCAGATAGACAGGCAGGCGCGCAAATAGACAGAGACAGAGGCTTGGCAGGCTGTGTTTTCGCTGGCCTTGGCGGGGTCATGATAGCATCGCCGGCTCGTTCTGGCGGCGTCTCCTTGCGCGGCATCTTGGCGCCCAAGAGAAAGCCATTCCACATTGCAGCCAGGCCACCTTGGCCTTTGTGGCGGCATTAAACTCAAATCCCGCCGTGGTTGCGGGTGAGAGGCAGGCAGGCAGACGAGACGAGACGAGACGAGACGGCCGGGACGAAGACGACGGACGGCAAAGCCAAGGGCTCACGGATCAGGTGGTTTGCTCATGCCTCATGCCTCATGCCTCATGCTCTGGTGCTAGTGCTTCAGGACCCTCCTCTTGGCACATCAAACTCCGCTTGTTTTGATGATCGAGCAGGTTCGTGAATGGAATCGTGATGCTTCCGTGAACACCTGCACTTGGCCCTGGCTTGGCGCCTCTGGGGGGTCCTTGGGGGGGAGGGGGGTCCTTCCGGGCGCCGGGGGTCTTGATTGACAGAGAAGAAGGCCACGCCGAGCATTGCCGCTGGGCCTGCGCCTCACTCACCCCAGCGACCCATCCTGCCATCCCACCATTCAATCAACCCCCCTCCAACCCGCCCCGTGGCCTTATGGCGGCGCCTTCGGTGAGTGGGCTGCTTGGTGGGTATCAGTATTCTGTACATGGCTCAGTACATAGTACATGGCATGGGAGGTGGTGGGGAGGGCGGCGGTGGGATCGATCTCGGGGGTCCCACATGTGCAGATGGGAGACGGACGGTTGGGTCAGGGTCGCTAGAAGCGCAACCTTGATCGGAATCGGAGCGCAGAAGCCACTGGTCACAACTCGACTGCAGCTCACGTGGCAGCTAATCCAGGTACCGGGCAGCCCGGTGGGAGATACTAGTAGCCTCCCCTTTCGCTACAGCTTTGGCCGAGGTTGGCGGGCTGCGACAGGGACGGCGGTTGATGTGTGTGTGTGCTTGGGCAGCTGGGCAGCCACCCGCAGCCGCCGTCAGGCATGCCAGAAGTGGGAGCCCGAACGGCCGCCTCGGAGTTTGTTTCGAAACATAGTGGTACTGGGCGGCGGTACGTACATTATTACTATACTGTACGTACGGTACGTATAGTATACGTGTAGACTGAGAGGCAGCCCCGGCCCCGGCTCCCTTCAGGCCCAGCTGCCACGACGCAATCACCGTAATCTATTCCAATCACGACGTTGTAGAGGTCCCTGCATGGCGGCATGGCGGCATGGCAAGGCAGAGAGGAGCCAAGCGCCCGCCAGGGATCCAAGCTTGATCCACCCCTGCCAGCTTCGGCGGGGTCTCTTCTGGAGGTCCTGGTGGGCAGGTGGGTAGGCAGGTAGCGTAGGTCTAGCAGGGCCCCAGCAGGAGGAAACGGCAGCATGGCAAGTGGCCGTCGGGGTTGGAGGGGTTCTCCCCGTCACATCGCTCCAGGAGTCCACCAGGTGAATCCAGGTGCTCGATATCGAAGTCCCTGGACCGGAACTCTGGATCGCATCAAGGTTTGGGACCGCCCTCTTGATTTGTATGTGCCTGCTGTCTTGGAGGGTCGCCCATCGCCCTTCCATTGCGCCCGGACGCATACACCTACCCTGTATCAGTAAATGTGTGCACCGTAGGTTGATGGGACACACATCTGTATGTACTGCACGTCCAGGTAGTGTAAACACAGGCACCTGTGGCAGCCATAGCTGCATGTGCTGTAACGGCAGCGCTTGCACAGAGCCCTTGTGCATGATCCGACCCGCCTGAAAGTTCAGCCCGCCAGCCGGACCGCAGGCGACCAACCAGGACCCATCTGGACGAAATCCTGTCTCTCTCTGGACGTCTGTCAGTGAGCCAATCTGTCAATCTGTCAATGGCCCAGTCAGTCAGTCAATCAGTTAGTCAGTCTCTCAAATCAATCAGCCAACATCCCACACCCTGCCCTCGCGCTGCCTCAATCCCCGCCCCTCTTCCGCCGCGAGGCCTGCTGTTCGCCGTGCCACTAAGTCGGGCTGTGGAGGTTCTTGGCGGTCGTCTCTCCTTCATTTCACCTCTCCTGTCCCTCTTCTTGGCAACGCAAACCAGCGAAATCGTCGCTTCTGACCTGCTGTGGCTCTGGCTCTGGGTTATTCTCAGCTCCTCTGGCTCCTGCTCTGCTTCCCCCCCCTGGCGATCCGAGCTAAGCCACACCGGCAGACATCAAATCGGGCAGCTTCGGGGAAGGCTTGGCCTAACTTATTGCAACCCGAGTGACTGTTTCAACTTGCTGCACAACATGTTCTGCGTGACAGGGCACGCACAGCACGTCGTGTCCTCGAGCAGCAGTGATCACCGCCCCGAATATTCCGCCGCTGCCACACACGTGGCATGGCCCGGGATGGTGGGACCAGGCCACTTCCCACCGCCCCCCTACTACTCCGAGCGCGGGCTGCCGGGGGTGGACAGGGTAGGGTGGTAGCGGGTGGGTGCTTGGGAGGAAAGCCCGGAGCAAGCTGTGACAACCTTGTTCTTGGAAACCTTGTTTCTTCGTCGCTGCCCGCTACGGCCAGGGAGGCAGGGCAAGGAGACTGCACAAAAAAAAGTCTTGGGCCCGTTGGGAGCTCTCAGCTCGAGCCTGAAGTATCGCTCGTGTGAAGGGCTCCACCTTGCGGGATATGCTTCAAGCATCCCAACCTAATCGGAAATGATCTTCATTCGTCGTCCTCTTGGGGCCCTTGGATAGCCATGGCTCACATGCGATAAAAGAGCTCCCCGCCCCCGCCGTCATGTCGAGCTAGGTGTGAGAGGTTAGGTATAAGCCTGACAGACCAGACCGGGAGACAGCCAGAGAAACATTGGACTCTCTGCGAGTCTGCCTCATGATCGAGATCCTGCCAGCAGTACGATTCCCCAGGTGTCGTTAACATCAGCGGCATCTCCTCGCCTCGATGGTGGTTCGAGCATGTCAAAAGCACCCGGACATCTACAGCAGCTACTCTTCCCCCGCCATCACCTTTGTCAACACCACCACTACGCCCCCTCCAACACGCCCAAGGCACTCCCGCACCGCCCGCCAGATCCCTACCGACCTGGCCGGCCACCCTGAGCCACCGATGCCAGAATCAGCCATAGCCGCAACATATCGGGGTCACGTTGCCTCTACCCAGGACGCCTTGATCGTCATCGAAGCCTGCTTCCGGGGCGTGCTGTACCACACCTGCCGCCGCCCGCGGTCATCCGAGGAGTCATCGCTTGCGAAGAGCGGGAACATCTTTGTGTATGAGAGCCGGTCGTCGGGCATCAGGAACTGGGAGGACGGGATAACGTGGTCGACGCCGCAGAGGGTCGGCAACTTTGAGATTTGCCGGCAGCTGTCGTCGTCCTCGGGCCGCAGCAGGTCGAACGGTACGAGCTACCCATCCCCTTTCCCCTCCGCACCGTCTCACATGGTTCACGTGCTGATCATTGTGTCTGTATGACAGGAAACCACAGCAGTGCCGGGAGATTGTGCAGGAAGTCGATGAGCGTGACCGTCCGCGGCATCACACACCACCTCATCGCTTACTTCAGTTCCCGAGACTTCACGGCAAATACCCTCCTCTCCCCGTCTGCAGACTTCGGCTTGGCGGACATCATCCCACGCCCAGAGCTGTACAGTCAGGGCTTCCGAGCGCCCATAGATGAAGACGACCGTGATGAGGTGATGCTCCTGCTGAGGTAGCACAGGCACCAGGCGCCTCCTGCGAGGTGACATCCGCCATGTGCCGCATGCAGGAGCGCAGTGCTCAAACCGCAGGCAGTGGACGGGCGTCTCAGGATATTCTGCAGCTGGTCGAGAACCGAAGTGTAAAGCGCTTGAAGTGTACCCGTTCGACTTGAGGGATCGGGTCGGCAAAACAGCACGACTGAAACCGCCGCCATCGCCACCACCTCCCGCCCACATCACCCTGAACCGTTGCCACAACCTCACGACCACCTTCTCCACCAGACATACCACAACAAATTGGAATGCTCTCCGGACCGGTCGGCAGGAGTGACGCCGTAGCTTCTCGGAACCGGGCAACAATCAAACCAAAAATAAGTGAAAAAAGTCTATCACCAAAAAAATTTAATCAACAACAAGGTCGGGTTTGGGAGGGTTGCGATAGACTTCCTTTCTGTCTCGGGTAGTACAGGCACACCATGAATACAAGGCGCCTGTTGAATCAAGGACCAATCTCTTAAAACTCGTGCATCCTGTGATCGAACGTGGGCCTCTGGCGGGAGATCAAAAGGTTCGTAGTTGCGTGAGAAATGGCCTCCCAGGGAGTCGTCTCTTTTGCCATGGTGCACTGCGACCGTGGGCATCTTGGTGTTTTCCTGCCTGCCTGCCCTAGTAATCCTCCCAGAGGTCCTTGACGTATGCTTCCGTCAGGCGCTCGTCGGGGCCGTGGGACTCCTGCCATCTCTGGAAGCCACCTCTGAGCACGCACACCTTCTGCGCAACGGGCACTGCTTTCGCTGCGCCGTCCCCGTGTTGCTGCCCCTCTTGTTCTCCGGCCTGTGGTGCTGCTGCTGCTGATGCCTGCTGGCCCGGTACGCCGGTGCCCTCGGGCGCAGCGACAGAGTCCTCGCCGAACTTTTCCTCGCGCTCTCGGATGTATCGGAGGGCGGCGCTGGGCCCGCGCTGCTTCGACAGGGCGCAGTGGAAGACGACTGTCTTGGTGTCCTCGAGCTGGCGCAGGAGGGTGGGCAGCCACTCTTCGAACTGGTGCGAGGGTACCCAGCGGGAGCCCTTGATGTGCCCGCCTATGTGGTCTGTGGGAAGAATTGAAGGTCAGCAGGGTGCCGTCGCCGTAGGAGACACCGAGGGAAGGGTGCGTGCAAGCTGTGGATTTGCGTACCTCCATCGCGGACGTCGATCACGGCGATCGAGTTGTCGGGGGACTTGAGCGCGAGCAGCTCTTGCGACAGCGCCGTCACCTCCATGCGCGGGAGGTTGGCAACTGTGAATCTCGACATGCTTCTTCTGAGGATCGTGTTCATGGGACTGCAAGGGAGATTCCAGCGTTTCCGGCGAAACGGGTTTGGCTTTGCTGATGCGGGAAGTTGGAGCTCTCTGAAGCTTCTTGGACTTCTGCGGTGACTTACGCACCCCCAACCCTTGTAGGACGCTGAGCATGGGGGGAGGCGGCTCAGGCTGTTGGACCGGCCTTCAGGTTGCCTTCCTCTTCCATCAAAATATTTCGCACCCAAACATCTCACATCGAAGTGACTCGCACCAATATCTGAACATGGACGCAATGGATTCAAATGATTAATTGATATGATCCCCCCCTAACAACAAGTCAGAGCCAGCCGTGGCAATGGCCAGGAGCCATATGAAGTTCTGCATGCCCGCTACTTCTTGATGGTGAACTCGGCTGGAGAGCCCATCTGCTTGAACAGTTCGCTGTAGGTCAGCCCACCCTCAGGCAGGCCGGTGAGGTCAGGCATGCCAAAATCACTAACCAGCCGATACTCCCTGTCCACAACCAGCTTGTTGCCCACATAGCGGCCCGCCTCTCCCTTGGCAGCGTCGCCCTTGATGAACGTCCAGCACCAGTGGCTCTGGCCCTCGACCTCGTGTGCCAGCTTCCAGAACTCGAGCGCGTGCGCCGCGCCGTCGATATCCATCATGACGCTCTCGCCGTCCTCGAGCCTCTCGTCGACGAAGTAGAACTTGTAGTCCCTGCCGGCCCGCTTGTACGCCTCGGCCGACGTCTCGATAAAGTACACCGCCGCGTTCTTGGCCATGCCCAGAGTGTGCGCCTCCGGGAAGATCTGCGTGTTGGTCATGTTGCCCACGTAGAAGAACGCCTTCTTCGCCGACGCCGGGAGCGTCGCCCACCCCTTGACGGCCAGCCGTGCCGCCGCGTACGCCGAGATGGTGCTCACCGTCAGGATCTCGGTCAGGCGGGCCGACGAGACGGTGATGGGGTCCACGGCCGAGTTCATCTGCCCATCGGCGGCTGCGATCGCAGGCAAGGAATTAGCCTCGCGATCCCTTCAGGTCCTCCATCCCATATTGGACCTCTCCCCGGGCTGCAGCTCTCTGAAGTCACTCACCGCTGTATACGACCACGTGGGGGGCGCCCAGCTCCTTGGTTACCTTTTCAAAGGCTGCCTCCACTGTCTTGGGGTCTGTCAGGTCGGCAGGCACGATCAGGTCTGTGGCCGCCTTGACCTCCGCCGACGGGTTGCGCGAGACCCCCGCGACCCTGTAGCCCGCCTTTGCAAACTTCGTGGCGGTGGCAAGGCCTGTGTTGGCCCCCACGCCGAAGATCAGGATAACTGGTGATGAAGACATCGCGAACTTGCTGGGTGGGCGCTCGGGAATGCTGGCGTCAGGGTGATGATTCAGAGTTGTGAATAATAAACGTGTTGGTGGATTGGGCCTGAGAATAAATGGTGCTTGATATCTGATCTATTTCCTCCTCAAGGTGTGAGAATCTGTCGCCTTTTATTGTCGCCTTCATTCAAACTCTTTACTCTCGATCGGAGACTTTAAGTCGTTTCCATGCCTACTAAGAGCGTTCAGCGGACGTACATTATGCCGTTCCCCACCTGGACAACCTCGGGGAGTTAGGCCACGTTTTGAAATCGGTGTCGGTACAACGTAGCGCGTGTTCGTATTTGTCAACGACTGATATGTCTTCTCTGGTGTGTTTGCTGGCAACGATGACAATTACTCGAGATTCGGGGTCGAATGAGACGGGTCAGCGCGGACGAGTTCGGCCGAGCCCTTGGAGAGAGTTCGGCCGCGTCATAACATCCTCTAAACCCATAGAAAATCATTTTCCCTTGGAGATATGGGATTAATATTCGAAAAATCACATGGAAGTTCTCAATGGAGCACGCTTAAGCAAATTCATAAAAATAACTTTGTGGTCTCATCATTTTTACTCTTTCGAATCAGAGTCTTTCGTATCTACCAGTCCTCATCAAATCCTCAAATTCATACTTCCAGGACAATTCTGGCATAGCAAGCCGCTGCAATCTTTGATCTTTCAGCAGCATAAAAATGGTACCACCTCACACCATCGTCTCGCAATTGGAAGACAATGTGGACCCCCCCCCCTTTCTTCCTGCCTCGCCGTTTCACAGCCCCTGCTGTGTCCAAGCGAGCCGCCTCTGTACCGCTCATCCCCAGTCGAAGCCTTGCCCCATTCCAGATTCCAGTGTGAGTTCCATTTGCCGTGACGGAAGAGCCGGACAAAGTCCTTGATTTTGAGGACGAGAAAGTAATGCCTGCTCACCCGCATGAAGGGGGGACACGGAGGCAGAAGACCACTCACGTTCCGATAAACATTTTCCGAAACGCCTGTCATTTCGGCTTCGATTCCGTCTCACGTATCAATTACTCCATCCCAGAATATTCTCACTCACGATGTGACAGAGTATCTCGCACTGGTCGTTGCACAGGATGTGACTAGACTAAGTGGCGAGAACGAGGGTCGACTGCCTGTTCATCCTTATGAAGGAGGATGTTTCGTGCAGAAGATGTCTCGCATTTCGGTAAAGATTTGAAATGCCTGTCGTTTCGTGGTTCAGACCCTCACTCCCAAGAGGACTTCAACTTGCCCGACTCTGCTGGCCAGACAGAGGGAGCACGTATCCGCACACTTAGAACGGGGTTGGTAATGGAGGGGTGAGAAGATCTTGCTGCTGTGATTGTGCTGCAGCAAATCTGTATCGGGATGGATGAAAATAAGTGGATCGATGGTATTGTCGGCAAATGAAGGAAAGGTGGACGTGGTTGGAGTGGCATCAGGATTGGTTCGGCGGCGAAGAAAGAGAGCAGATGGCACGATGAAGACATTTTGCCGTCTGCTTGAGGACAATGGTGGTGCTTCCGGTTGTCCTGTGTTCCGATGCGAAGAAGTGTCCTGCGAGTCCCCAAACAAGTGGGAAGTCTGCGAAGGTATTCGATTCGCAATTTGAGAAACCTCACTCTGGCACTGGCACCCAACAAGGTAGTCTGAGGATTTCTACCTTCTCTCAGTGAAGAACCATTCCTGTATGGGTATTGGATTGGCAAGCTGAAGAAGACCACGACGCCACGTCGCACCCGGTAGAAGTAAGCGTGGTGCTGGACAAGCAGTCAAACAACTGGAAGCATTGAATCGCACGTCGAAAATGAACCCGCTTTTTCTAGAAGATTGAAGGCGCTGGCGGGTGTCAAAAAAGTAGTGAAATAGAAAGAAACCTCTCGCCCGTTAGTGTTGACCAAGCGTCATGGTTTCGCACCTCATAATATGCCATGACAGCTGTGATAGTCGTACAGATTTTCGAAATTGGTACTCAAACAGTTTGGAACAAGGCGTCTGCGGCCAGCTCAAGCTCGGTCCTTGGGAGGATGACCATCCATGTATTTCCAGATGGCATCCTCAAAGGGCTCACTCAAGCCCAAGATCTCTTCCTTTGTCATATTGTGAACGACGAAGGGGAGCTCATATGCGAGGAACTTCAAGTACCATTCGGAGAAGACTTCGAAGAGGTTTTCGCGACAGAGGGGGAACTTGACCCGGAAGCTCGGCTTATACGCTTCCTGGATTATCTCGAAGCTCCTCTCGTTGAGCTCCTCCTCGAGCATGGAGTCCACCAAGGCTTTCGCTTCGTCTTCTTGCTCGGCTTCTGTCCACTCGGTAAGAGGGAACAGGAGCTCGGACATGAGGCGCGGCAGGATGTCGTAGAACATATCGTTCATCATCTGCAGGGCATACTCCTCATCGTAAGCGATGTGCGCATTGGCTTTGATTTGTGCAAGCATGATTTTCCTCAGCTCATACTGCTCTTGCATCATTTCAGCAGGAGTCCACCCGAGTACAGTCACCTTGGCGTAGTGATCGCAATCCTGGTCGTACATCCATTCGGTTTCCGCGTCCCTGATCCTCTTTCTGTCCCCTCGAGGAACAGGCGGAGGGACGACAGCAGAGAGATCAAGGCCGCCAGAGGGAAGTGGGGGAGGAGAAAAAGGAACCGTCACAGCCGAAACAGTAGTAGAGGCTTGAGAAATGGGACCAGCGGGGGCGTTGAGAGCGGGAGAAGCCTTATCAGGAGGAGATAACTCGGTGGGAGAAGACGCCTCAGAAGAAGGAGGAGTCTCAGCGGGAGGAGAAGCCTCGGGTGTGGAAATCTCCTCGGAAGAAGGAGACGCGTCAGAAGAGGAAGAAGAGGTCTCAGCAGAGCTTGGAACCTCAGCAGAGGAAGCAGCCGGGGAAATGGAAGCAGGCGGAGCGCCGGGAGTAGCGTCAGCAGGAGCTCGAGCAGCGCGCCTGAAATGCTTGCTGAAGTCGAACTCAAGATCGACGTTCGGGTCCTCGTCGCTACCGACCTCGTAAGGCTGTTCCTGCGAAGCCGTATCATTTGCAGTCGGCGCCATAGAAAAGGGCACTTGGCCACCGAACTGCGGGACAGTAACTAGGGGATTGCTGGTTGGGAAGGTCGGTGCATTGGTAAACGGATTGTTGACCTCTGCAAAAAGCTGGGGCACGTTGTCGAATTGAAACGTGCTGGCTGTGAGGTCGGACTCGCCCTGTGCAGCAACATCCTTGCCTTCACCAGTGGGCTGAGAGCTCTCCATCTCCATGGCCTCGTCTGAGTCGCCATTCTTAGGAACACCAATGACCGCAGTAGTTTGTGCTGTGCCGGAGAATTGGACATGAATCTGTTCAGCGACGCCCTGATCGGTGGACTGCGATTCCTCGGTCTCCATGACCTCTTCGGAGCTGCCGTTCTCGTTGGGGACACCCGCGACCGTAGCAGTTTGCGGTGGGTCTGGGAATGGCACATCAGCTTGTTCTACGGGCTGAGGCCCAGCAGAATTCTCCTGAGAAGCCACCACCACTGAAGGCTGTTCCTGGACCATTGCATCAGGGCTGGCAGACGGCGAGCCATTGTCCTCGGTAGTGGGAAGGGCAGTCAAACTCTGTGGGATGACTGCTTCTTGGGCACCCCGCTGGGGCTCGACGTTGTTCAACCCGTCGTTGCTGTCACTCGATGGAAGCCTTGTATTCGCCATGGTGACCAGATGCGCATGGAAGCTCTCGCGCTTGCTCTTGTCCCTGATGAACATGCCGAAGACACTTGGCTCTGACCAAGCCCATGTGCCGGGCTCTGACACATGGCATGTAACCAACTGGCCCACGAGAGCTTGCATGGAATCGTCAAACGAAAATTCATGGATGACTTCTGTTGGTGCTTGGACGGAAGGAATCGTAAGCTGATGCTTCGTCGGCGGATGGGACGAAGTCGGTTGATCGGCAGGAATTGGTTTCGAGTCATTGCTTGCAGGAGGCTGAGGAACAACTGGGACCAGTGAGCCCTTGAATTCCCAAACTTGAGTCCCAGGCGGTAGCTGTGGCAAAGTCTGAACAGTGGCCCAGCGCGGTGCGATAGCTGCGGACCACGACGGGGTCTCGAAGACCAGTGCAGGGTCATTAGTTGCCCAGAAATAGACAGAAGCTGCGGCATCCCAGAGTTGAGTTCCAGGCGGCAGACGTGGCAGAGACTCAACTGATGCCCAGAGCGGCGCGATGGTGACGGCCCATGATGGTATCTTGAAAACCAGCGCAGGGTCATTGGTTGCCCAGACATGAACAGAAGCCGCGGCATCCCACAGTTGAGTTCCAGGCGGCAGATACGGGAGAGACTCGACCTTTTCCCAAAGCGGTGCGATGGCGACGGACCATGATGGTGTCTCGAAGACTTGTGCAGGATCATTGGTCACCCACGTAGGGGCTGAAGCTGCAGTGTCCTTGGTGACGGGAACAGCAGGGGTTTGAGCTGCCGTTGCTTGACCGGTAGGACCCTGAGGCTGAGGAGCAGGCTGAGCAGGTGTTGGCTGAGCTGGTGTCGGTTTGGGAGCAGGTGTTGACTGAAGAGCGGGCTGGGCCGTAGCAGGCTGCCAGTTGTACGAGACGCCCTTTTTCGCCGGTGACCGAGAGGTAGCAGGTTGGCCACTGTGCGCTTGTTTAGGTGAGTCAAAGACAACGTCTTCCATGATATTCGAGGAAGTGGTGGGCAGCGGGCGGGAAGCATTGTTGGCAGGGCAGGGTGTGTCGTTGCAGGTCTGGGAGAAGGAGGACCCAGAGGTCTGGGGAGTCGAGGGCGTATGGGAGGGAACAGTTCGTGGGGTCGCCGGCGGCGTCGAGAAGATCGAGGCAGTGTGGGTGCCGATGTCGAAGCCCATGCTCACGTCCCCATCCACGTCGACGTTATAGTCCGCTGGCCGCCCATCGTGACGACGTTGCTTGCTGATGCTGTGCGGAGACTTCTAATCTCTGTCACAGCAGCGCGAGTACGTCGCACACAACGCGCGGTACTATTCTTTGTGGTTAGCCGACGTGAAAGAGGTTGAGGAGCTGGTAGGCAGTGTATGTCTTGCCTTCCGACGCCCTCGAGCGCGAGTAGAAGCAGTCGTGCGCATGCGACCGCTTGAGCCTTTGGTCAAAGACCCGCGTCTCATGACCTTCAAGCGCCTGAGGGCGTTTCTTGCATACGACGAAACAGTTCTGCCAATGGCCATACATTGGCTGGCGATGTGAAAACGTCCCTTGAGGATCCGATCCATGGTGGCGATGGTACAAAGGAGGATAATTGGCGATGGGGTGATGGGTCGGGGCTGGAAAGAAATCGAGTGTGGTGTTTCTTCGAGTGTGATCGATTGATGAAGAACAGGTGGGATGGAGTGGTGGTCAGGATTGAAATTTTGACATGTGGGAGGGAGCTGGCGTGTGGTAGTGAAGGTCGAGATGCGGTCGAGCAGCTGGAACTGGTCCAAGATGGTTGAGGGTGGGTGTGTTATTGCACCTCGGGGGTCTGAATGTGTCAAATGAATTGCATTCGAGTTGCTACGGTAAGCTCCGCCCCGCATGCTGGGGCAGCTTGTCCATTCACAATGCATTCATTCAATGGTCGAGCGCACACGTAGAATCCTGAGGCAGAGCCATGAGCTCGTGCGAGATGAGCGTCGGTACCTTCGAACTTGGTGCACGAGATCCACACAAACCCTGCAGAGGGACATGCTCTACTATTCTGTGGTTGAAAGGTCCTCCCCACTGCTGGATTCCTGGGCGATAAGCATAGAGTATGTCTATGTATCCTTGTGATGCTATTCTGCAAACGGGCCATCTATTGTTTACAGCTACGAGTTGGGCAGAGGTCTCATTGTGTTTCAAATCTACCCATTGTGGAATCACGCATCCCTTCATTCGCCCGCATTGACTGTTCTCAGACATTCGCTGCCTCCGTTCCTCCACAATTGTCCGAATGCCACGGTTGAATCGCTTGCTTTTTAACTTAAATCACTTGCCGCTCGCAGCGCACGTTCTTGATGGCTATTTCATGGCGTAGTCTCCTTTCAAGAACTGGCCATAGTAACCGGCCTGCTGAACGAGAGAAGTGTCCTTGTGAACCACTAAGTTCATCAACCTAAGTCCGAGAATACTGTGCGATCGATGTTCTGAGCATCGCCGATAGTATCCTAGGGATGGGGCTTTTGCGATCTTAGGTGCAACGTCCTCTTAGTAGACAGGATCTGGTCTTCCGTCTTGAGAAATTCTATCACAATTTGCGGCGACACCCCCGTGGCCAGAATTTGCAGCTTCCTGTTCCAACACCTAGTATTATGTTTCTTTAGTAACTGCATATGGCCGCATTTCCTCGGTTGACCGCGCATATGTACACGGCTGTCTAAACTCTTCGTCACGGATGCTATGACCTGGTCTACCTAGTAGGTAGTAACGAGCACTGGCCCATCCTTGATAACCCTCAGTGCACCCATCGCGCAACGTCCATGCGAAGACCTGCAGAGCTTTACACGTGATTCACAACTCCAGGCGTCGCTCACATCTGTGCATGACTTATTTATCAAGTACATTTTGTGAAACAAGTTTACCGTTCACTATATCTACAAGCCTCCCCTGCATGCGAATCGTCTCTGTCATCCTCTCAGTCACCATGGGCCCAGAGCTGGAAGACCCAGGGCATCAAGGGCCTTGTTGAGCTCAGTAGTCGTGTTGACCCACAAGCCCTTGATCTGCCTCTCGTCCTCGGCAAATGGATGAGGGCTCGCGATCTTTCCGACAGGCAGTAGAAACTTGGCCTCGTATGTTTTAGGCGACTGCCGGACCTGCTTTGCAGTGGCTGCAAAAAGAGGCGACACGGCACCCTGTTCCGCTGAGGCGAAGAAAAGCCGAGCCACTGTGCTGATAAAGAGGTTGTTAACTGCAGCGAGGCCTTCGGTGTACACCGAGCCTAGATGTACCGATAGTGTGAGGATGGAAATCCCTTGCACGTCCAATCGGCGCTGCAATTCCGACGCGAATAGCACAAGGGCAGCTTTGGAAACTGAGAAGCGGATCATGTCCCAGCTGAATGCGTACTTGGCTCCTAGGCGCCACTGCAATGGATAGTGCAGGACTGAATTGGTAAGACCACTAGGTTTGTCGAACTGGAAGTCAAAGTCACGCGGCAGAAACGCTGTCTGAGCCGTAGAACTGATGTTGATAATCCTAACATCGGCGTCTTTTTGTTGGGTGGCTCTCTTGAGAAGAGGCATGAGGCGGTTGATGAACAGGAAAGGACCTATAAAACTGAACAGCGTTAGATGTCTGTGTATCTCAAACTGGAAAGTTACAACTCACTTCGTTGTCATGTGCACCTCCCACTCCCCACCGAAAAGTTCGATAGAGGCGGTCGAAGCGGCGGCGTTGTTGACTGTGAAAAAAGTGTTAGAATTAAGGAACCAGCCGGCGATGAAATGGGACGGAAGGTCGTTAGCATACTGATAATGTCTATCTTGGCTTCATTTCTTTGTAAAGTATTAGCAGCATCGATGATGCTTCTGAGATCAGTGAGATCCAGCAATAGGAAATCGGTGTTGTTGGGATTGGCTCCTGGGTGGGACTCCAGCAACGTTTGCTTTGCTTTCCATGCCTTCTTTAGGGAACGCGCGGTAAAATAGGCCTTTGCTCCGTATGTGGCGAGCTGGGCAACGATTGCCAGGCCGATTCCGCTGCTATAAATCGATATCCTCGTCAACTTGTAGCCGATTGATGTGTACAATGTAGCAACATACCTTGCTCCCGTCACCACAGCGACTTTTCCCTGTAGATCGGAATGTCTGATAGTGTCCACGCTTGTTCCATGATGCCATTGTTGACGCGACCTGTTGGCGTCACATACTCCGTTGGCGAACATTCCACAATCTATCTCAATATGAGCAGGCTTGTATTTGTATGCCCGCCAAAGTTTGCAGGATGCCCGAATGTGGAGCCTCAGCCATTTTTCTGAACACAATCTCATCGCTCATAATTCCAATAAATTTATCCCCCTACTGAAAAAATTACCACCATAATGTCTTCCACCGATTCTCTCCCGATTGGCTTTTCCTTTACAAAGACCGTTCACAGAGCCCCGGAAAGCATCCGTATCCGTCGTCCCGACCGACACGCTCGTGAACGTGGCACCCGTGGCCACCCCAAACGCGCCGGCAAACGACCGCGTGATGCTCTCGAGGGCGGCCTATGCCGCGCCGTGCACGACCGTGGGCGAAGGGTTGGCGAGCCTGGACGCGGCGCTGGAGATGTTGATGACCCTGCCGCCCCCGGCGGGGAAATGCGCCATGCATTCCGTCGTGAGCGCCATGGCGCTGTATACGTTGCCGTGCATGAGGTGCAGGAAGATGTCGGCGGTTGTCTCGTGAACGGGTCGGTAGTACTTCATCCCTCCGATACAGGCGTTGTTGACGTGTATGTCGATGGTTGTGGTGCCCAGGCCTTGGAGGGCCTGCTGGACGACGAGGGGGCCGAACTGGGGGTATGTGACCTCCGCCTGGATGGCGATGGTCTTGCTGACGCCGAGGCGGCGGCACTCGGCCAGGGTGGCCTCGGCTGCTTCACTGTTGGAGGCGTATGTGATGGCGATTTTGTCTAGTCCTTTCCGTGCAAATTGGATTGTGATGGCGCGGCCTATGCCTCGTGATCCGCCGGTCACAACGGCTGTCCTGCCAGTGAGTAGCCGTGGCTGTCCGGAAGAAGAAGCTGAAGACACTGCTGATAAAATCGAGGTGTCGAAAGGGTTTATGGATGGGATTGTGTGTGAATAGGAATTATGTCCATGTTGAAAGTCACCGGATCTGTCTCATATTCGAGTTGATCGGGTTCAGAGACGCGCATTAAATGGATAGAATAAGGGGGTGACTGCTTGTGAAATCGAGGCTGAATTTCAGAATCTCCGGCGGAGACGATGAAGTTTACAATTCCCGTGATTCTTTCAAACTAGCTAGAAGTACTCTTTTTGAATCTATCAAGTCGTGATCACAGCTACCTTTGCACCTTGAGCCAAGGGAGTTATTAAGTTGAAGCTGTTCTAACCCTGCGATGTTGGCCCCCATGCCGTCATTACTTAGGTCGGGCGGGCGGGCGGAGTCTTGGGCACCTTATTCTCCGCCCAGATGGAAGTTGCACAACATTTTAACTCTGATGAATGGTGGTGGCATTTGTTCAGTGGGGTGAGCTAAAAGTGTTGGTTTCCTTGGGCCGTTCAGTGTCACGAGCTTCTCTCGGGTGTCCGCTACGCAGCCATGGCATCTACATAGTGGAAAAGCAGAGGTGTAATTAAGGGGTTTATATAAATGTGGTAAGGCTAGGAGAGCTAGGGAAGGGGTAATAAGTAGAAATAAGGCTAAGCTAAAAAGACAAGGCAGTAAAAAGCTAGGTGCAAGGGTAGCAAAATCTTAATTATATAAATATATAAATATTTATTTTTTATAAATAAAGTTTCTTTCTTTTTTTTAAAAATAATATATTATATTAATTTAATAAGTAATATACTTAATAAGAGTTATATATAAATATATATTTATATAATATTATATAACTTTTTTTAAAAAGTAATAATATATATAAAGTTATAATAACTTATATATATAATTATATATATTATTATATCTTTTTATAAAAACTTAAATAATATTATATAAGCTAAAAATAATAATATATATTTATTTTTATACTTTAAGCTTATTAATATTATTTAAAATATATAATATTTTTAAAAATATTAATATAAAGTTTAAGCTATTTTTTTCTTTAAGTTTAATTTTAATAATTTATTTTTTATATATAATAAGGATAATATTATATAAAATAAAAATAATATTATATAAAATAAAGATAATATTATATAAGTTAATAATAAGCTTATAAAGAATTAATAAAAGTTTATATAAAAAGATATTAATAAAAACGTTAAGGTTTTCTTTATTATATAAAGTAATTTTAATTATAATATTACTTTTAAGGATATATAAATTTATATTAATTAATTTTAAGTTATATAATTTATATTAAAGGTATATTTAAAATGCGTGCATGCCCCTTCTGGGACAACCACCCATGTCCTTTGGATTTCTGCTTTTAGTTAAACATGTCCGTGCACCATACAGGGGTCAAGTTGCTTTAATGTACCTTTTCTTGGCAAGTGATATCTGAGGTAGTCTATTGCATACGTGACCTTGCCACCCACTCGTTTACCTGTGCGCAACAATGCTCACTCTCCTTTTTGCATAAACGCTGAAAGCCCTCATCCATCTCCTCCTTGGTGTACGGTGTATCCGTGCGCTTACATACTTGACGAGAAAACCCTCCTCTGGTAAGAGCCCTTCCAAAATCCAGAATGAGCACACTGCGCTGGCCGTGATCGTGATTAATCACTAAATTACGCAGCTCGACGTCTTGGTGAAGCACTCCTAATCCATGAATCTGCTTCAATTGCGCCTCGACATCCGTACGTAGTCGCGCAAGCCATGCTTCGTCCGCGCTATTTGTACATTGGCTGAGGAGTGATGAACCGGCCCAACTGAGCAGCAGGAACGCCGGGAACCGACCGGGGCCCAAGTTGTGGTTGGTTTCGTCCTCGGAACAGTCGACCAGGCCCACACATACCGGGATGACTTTTCCCTGTATCGCGCGCAACTTCTTGTATACCCTGTCCTCACGCTTCAGGGCATGGACCGTGTCAAGGCCCACGGACTGCTCATAGGTCCGAGCAGCTTTCGCAACGAGTACATAGCCACCTGGTTCGATACGAACTTTGAAAATTGCGGACACAGCGCCGAACTGGCCAGTGTAAATTGCGTTGGGAGTAGGACTACGCCAGATCCGAGGGCTCTCCTCTACATCAGACTGCGGGCCACGTGTGTGCGGCAGGTCCACTGAGGTTCGTGCCATGGCCAGCAGGTCGGCTGCAGAGGTAGGTGGCTTCTGGCAATGAGGATGCTGCTGATGGACTGACCAGTTGGGGCATGACGGGTCGCCAGCTGTTTGGTGCATGAGCGAGCTGATACAGCTAGATGTGCAAAATGGTACCGAGTTGATGTGCATTGTCTCAGCAGGTGGAGTCATGCACATCGTTGCCTCTTCCGATGGCATGCATGACGATGATGGCGTACGTAGCCTCCTGCGCTTGGCTGTGCCGTACTGACACGCATCATCTTCATCTTCCGTCATCGTCTCTGAACGGGACCTCTTGAGCTGGGTTGGTGCGCGGGTGCGGCGGCCGGGCGCATCCTGAGCTTCTGTCCAGTCCGGGTCAGAATCTTTTGATGCTACCGACAAGAAGCTTTTGGACTCATATGATTGCTCCCTGTCCCGCGGGGTTCGCCAGATCATTGACGATCTGCTTGCATGAGCTTGATCGAAATCGGCGTCTGTTAAATGCGACCCGGTGAAGAAAGACAGCAGAATGAAACAGCTGAGCCGGGCCAGAGGTGATTCCGCTAGCCACTTGAGCCAGGGCCCCCTATCGTGAGCTGGTTGCGACAACCGTTCTGGCGGGCTCCGAATGCGTGGTAGTAACAAGTAGTCGAGGGTCGTGGGATGGTTAGGTCGAATTCGAAGAAGAATATAGCTCTCGCCTGTGGTGATGTAGCCATACCGCGCCCCTTCGGACAGAAGGGTTGAGTATATCTGTGTGGCAACCGCTGCAAGCCATCTCTGATCGAGTGAATTATAACCGCTGTCGGGATTTCCGCGAATAAACACATCGTCAGGAGGCCGGGGCTCAGCCCCGTCTTGTCGGACATCCTGTATGAATTGCCTTGTGTCGATAGTCACGTCCTCGCCCAGGGCACGCTGGATGAGACCGCGCGTAAGTTTGTGTGGGGCTTTAGCCTCTCCGACTATCAGAAGGCTGCTGGTTTGCCGTCTCGGAGGTTTCGGGACAAAGGAGCAGTAGTAGTCTCCGGGGCCTGCCTTGACCTTGATCTTCACTTCCTCGACATTGCTTTTGCTGTCCCGAGCCTCGCGCGGAGAGGGGTCCGGCGAGGACATGTTCTGGGCGACCTGGATCTCGTCCTCTACCCTGCTGTTCCTCTCGATCGCTTCGCTGTCCGTAGGCAGCCGCTCTCTTGATCCCGGTGACAATTCCGAAGAGACCGAAGATGTAGCCCTTTTCCTCTTTCGCCCATGTAGCGCGTGATCAGGGACCGTGATCGTCCTGCTATGCGGCGCAAAGACTATGTTGCCCTCTGTGCTTTCACCACCATGCGCCGCCATCGAAGAATCTACATTGTATCCGCCACGATGTAGGACGGCAGTGATAGCGTCGCGTAGGGAGGGCTGTCTCAAAGCAAACTCGGTGATCCATTTAGCTGGTTTGTAGAGAGTGTCGACGTCGAACAAGTGCACAGCGGCCTCACTGTTAATCATGCACAACTCACGGCCTGTCGCGTCGACATGAAGGCGGCAGGGGAATTCGGGAGGAAGGGAATCGAAGTCGTAGAGGCAGGAAAATATCTCGTCGAGGAGTTCGCGACCTCCTATCCACGGCGCCACCTCGGCCTGCGCGAGACGCCCCTCCGGATCGGTGATGGCGCCCTGTGTTGTGGTCTCTGGGTCCTTATCGATTTTGTGGGTGATGGCGTCCAAGGAAATATGGGCATATGACGCGAGATAGTCACCAATTCTTTGGGGGTCAGCATGAGACCCCATGGTAGCGTGTGGGGACGGGACGACGATGGTGATGTTCTGCGTGGGTTGAAGTCTTGGGATCCACGAGCCGGGTGCGCTAGTGGTGGCTGGCATGAGCAGCGGCTGCCGGCCCGCTGTACCGAGGTAGCCGATCGGTGCCGATCGGTCTGGCGGGGCCGACCCCATGGCCGAGGCCGACGATTAGCCGATAACCAATCTCACCGGCCCAGGAATAATTGACAGTTCAATAACGACGATCCAAAGCATGTACTTTTCTCGAAGACTACTTAGGTGCACAATTCCAAACAACGAGCCTGAAGTAACCGAAAGAACCAGACTTGGAATCCTCCACTACCTTGACCGGTATTTCAACCGCAAATTTCTTTGTCCCTATGCCACTGACCTCGAGGCCGTGTCCCAGATGTGCCTGCCCACCAATCTGCTGTCTTACTTCAAGAAGTATGACCTCAAACCATGAGCAGTCTCGGCATGGTTTCGCAAGTGCATTTTGCTGTTCAGCCGCACCACAGGCACACAGATTGGGTAGTCCGCAACTGCATCGTCGTCCATCGGATCTAGATGGGTTCTGATGAAATGCCTGGTCAGAGAGTTGTTGTTATAGAACTCGGGAGTTAGAGATGGCAAGTTCTCGTCTGAAGAGGATAGAGTAAGTGCTTTCCAAACGCATACGAAGCATCTGCGCACTTGTCCGACCTGGCCGAAGACCGAATTTCTGAGCTTGCGGGCCCGATCCAATGCATTAAGCTCCGAGTCGATCTCCGGGGGCGGAGGGGGCCGTCGCACAGCCGGTTTACACCACATCTGATTGCTCATGTTCAGAGGCTCTTCTACCCGACAGTAGGTAGCAACAGCAAGTACTGCAGTAGTCCTGCGTTGGAATTGGGCGCTGAGGTCGTTCACAAGCGGTGCCTGGAGTGCCTCGAACATTTGTTGCTGAGCTGTACTCATGGGAGGACACACTCGGGCGGCGCTAGGCTCGAAATCTCCTGGGTTCCCTTGTATCTGGCGCTCAATGTCCTCAACCGCTTGTTTATGCGTCCATTCTTCCCTGATCCTCTTCACCTCGTTGTCTCTCAATTTGCCCATGAGAGCCCTGCGCTGGTTGGTAATCTTCTGCCGTTTCTCTGCCCACTGTGGCCCTTTTGGTACTTGAGACAGTTGCTCTGTCAATCGAACATATTGGGGGTTGTTCTTGAGCGCGTTGGCTTGTATGCGAGTGAGACCGATGGGTCGCCGTGAGTTCCTCGAAGACCCGTGACTTGTGGCTTGTGCTATCAGCTCCTGCTGAGGCTCCTGGGCACGATGAATCGCCCATCTATGTAGAGTTAGAACCATTATGTCAGAATGTAGTAGTATGGCACCCAAATCGGCTACCTACAAGTCTGCACACACGTTGCGATTGAGATAGTGTTTCTGGAAGGTGTCTGAACTAGGCGCGTGGTCCAGCACCAGATTGCGAAGGGCTTCACTGATCGAGCCTAATTTTCGGCTTAGTCCAAGGTCTAGGGGACAGGAGACGGCTGCTTACCATGTTGGTCGAGACTGTTGCCTGCCATATAACGGAGACTATAACAGATCGTATTACGCTCGAAGCCCAGTAGCAGTCCGATCCGTTTCACCCACCCGCCCATCATTCCTTGGCTAATAGGCTGGTTGCTCATGGAGAAGCCGATACTTGTCTTGACACAACGTCGAAAGATGTATCTGCCTTTGATCTCGTCTTTCAGACTCAGTGGCAATTCGTTGCCACTGGGGTGAACGCTAGACAGATACTATTGTCAGTGCTTCCAGTTCAGATTGCAGGAAAAGCACAGGGACCCTTTTAAGGCGCAAAGTTGCATTTTCCACTAACTGTAGTTCACTGAGCATATGCGGGTTGTCATTCAGGCTCTCTAACATGAAGGCGTGACGTCGAAAAAGAATCGCCAGGAGGAACACATGCGGGCTCAAAAGTAGACTCGGGTCATAGAGTATTTCCGGGACAATGAACGTCTTCCTGGGATGAGTCAGATACTATCCTTGGGACAAGATCGGGGATACCCTACTCTGCCTTTGGGCCAAGGTATTTCTTGGTGAATGCAACTATGAACTGTAGCACAAGTCTGGGAGGGCCTTGAGGGCTCTTGGGGTCACGAATGAGGAAAACCTATTTCATACGAAGGTCAAAGAGGAAATACAGGTTTACTGAGTAAGAGGTTGGACTTACTTAAATGTCCCCAAAAAGAAGCTCTGGAATTGAGCGTGGGCGTGATCCCTGTAGAGCCAGCAGAAGAAGGAAGAGCACGGCCAGCACACGCAGTTCTCCTAACTGGAAACCTTTCTCCGTTGTGCGAAGTGTGGTCTCGATCTGCAATCTCAGGTCATTAAGCGTCATAGACCTATTCTCCCGGGTCTTGTGTGTGAGTTTATGACGTTTAGATAGCTGCACGAGACCCTAGAATATAGATTAGAGTCCTGGCTGCCAGTATAGGAGATATAAGGGTGACAATAGCAAATAGTATAATTTCTCCGCCCGACTCAGCTAGAGCAGAAATTCTTTCCAGCTGTATTACAACTTACATTGTGCATCATATCACGGTCGATTTGTCCATCGATCTTCCGGTAAGTCGCCCTCTGAAAAGCAAGACGGAAACAACACCAGAACGTGATAAGTGATTGTCGAGAACGAACACGGCGCTTCATCCGGCCCCCAGGACCAGTCCGTTGGCCAAGATACCAGTTCAGAAACCAAAGCACTGTTTTAAAGTTGATAACTAAGAGTTGATGCTTCGAGTTGTCCTTTCTGAGAATTTTGCTGCAAAAGCTGCAAGGAAGTGTTAATTAGGATGAACAGCGACGAATATACAGCCGGGTCAACTTCAAACAGCCCGGAAAGCAGAAGACGAGTGACCACGTACCTTTCCCACATGCGCTCGGTGTTGGCTATGAGAGTCTCCGTGCCTTTGGTGTACTCCTTTCGCTTAAAACTATCTGTATCTGTGGCGTCCATGCCTCTCCGATAGTACTCGTCAAATGCGACATTGCCGTCGAACAACGCTTCCGGATCGTCTTCATCCACCTCATCCAGCTCAGCAAGTTCACCCTCTGGCAGTGGAGCTGAGTCGGACGCAAAGGTACGCAGTTCTTCTTCAATTTCGGCAAGACTTTCCATATCATTATCACCATCATTGCCTTTCTTGCTCCCCAGGTCAAGTTCCCAGTCGTCGTCAAGCTCAAGATCGAATTCTTCATCAAAGCCAGACTTGTCATCAGAGTCGGAGTCATTTATGTCGCCATCCGGCGTAAAAGCCAAGCCTAATTCCGAGTCCCAGGAGCCTTCGGGTATGCTCCTCCGAGTTGCACATGGTCCTCGCGTGCCTCGGTCCATTGATGTTAAGGCAGACATTTCCGGGCCGCCCGGAATTGTACTTCGAGTATGCGGCTGGTTCCTGTTTTTTCGGCTTCCCTTGCCCTGGCTATTGTACCTTGGCATTTTGCGAGGTTAACCAAGAGGAGATGAACAGCAACTGAAGAATACACGACAACTTGTCAAAGAGAACGCTTCATAAAAATCAGATATCAAAGCCAAATCGCTCCCTACGTGAAAGCTCCATAGGCTCTTCTGGTTCAGGGGTCGGCCCTGACTGAAAAGGGAACGATCAGACCACGAGGCCGTTCCGTGACCTGCATGTGCAGCCTGATGCTAACCTCCCAGCAGGCAAACAGATGGCTTGAAGCAGTAAGATCATCCATGGGGTCTACGCACTATCTAAAGTCGGTTAGCCAGGGGAATCGCACGTGCGCATGCTTGAAACCCTGAGCCTCCACCATGAAAGTGTAAACTCAATGAGAAATCTACACGACTATGCTTCGCAGTTGACTGTCGAGCTGTTACTGCCATTTCAGAAAGTTGAACAGGAGGTTGGAGCCGGGCTAGGGATTACGCTGTAAATGGGGGAAGAGCGTGCGTTGGAAGCAAGGAGACGGGCGAACCGAACAGTGAATAAGCTGTGAAACCCTTGGCAGCGTTTTAGCGCTTCGCTAAGATGCGCTCGACGCATATTTGCACGCAGTCTTGTCCAATGGTGGCTAGCCGTCCCGTCACCGGTCACCAGTCACAGCAATCAACCCGCGGGAATAGCGAAGGAATGCCTTGAGACAATCTTTGAATTTCGCTAAGCTGCGATATCTGTTGTGGTTCATTGCATTTTTCAGGCTCAAATAACTCGTTAAGGGGCTATTCATAGCATACGCCACACATCTTCTCTGTCTCCATCCATGTCTATCGAAATATGTTCAATAGGCGGCCGCATGATTCTCGTTAGTTAGATGGCACGGCCAACACCATGCTGTAAAGCAAGTTTAACATGAGTATATTTTCCTTGCCAACTCTTCCTTGCAAGACGTGCACCATGCCGGAAAAGAGCGGACACCGTAGGCTTCAAGTAGCCTGGAGCCTGGGTCAGTTCTCAACACACCGCAGAACTTTTTATCCAAAGGATGCGGTGTCTTTATCCCCTTTCGGTCAACCTTGAAACAGCTAAGTGTGAAGGGAATCAACTTTTGGGTGATCAGGTTTTCGTCCTCACCGGCTGCGAGCCGCTCTATCCGCGATCCCTCGAGTGAGAATTGGACAAAACCGTTCGCAATCTCGTTAGGGGCAATCGAAAATCCCAGTTCGTACATCGACAGCGGAGTATTGAGGACGTCTTGAGGGGCCCCTACTGGAAGCCTACGCCCTCTCCTGGTCTCAATACCTGCGTGCCGATAATTGGGCTCACAGATAAGCTCATATGTATAATCAGCCTTTCATTTTCCGTTCAGGCGTTGGCGGAAATCAGCAGTAAACAGCTCATGTATCCCAGCTCCAAGCAGTAAATAGGCATTCTCATCGCCCAAGCTCACATCGTTCCTGTAAAACACACGATGAACACCAATAGCCGAGCCTCGCAGTAATTTCACTGGAGACGGGAGAGAGAAGACACAAAGGGCAGCTCCTGCTGATACGGCTGACATGCTATTTCGTCAATTTATCAGGTTGCGACTTGTTTCACGGGCAAATGGTAAATACTTACGGGTAAGCTTCATGCCATTCTATGGCTCCTTGTCCGTCCTCGCTATCCCGGTCTCCATCACTGCCCTCAGCATCTTCGCCTGGAAAGGGTGTCCCTCTGTCTATGCCGTCTGTGCCGATTAAGAAAGCATACTTAATTGTCACCTCATTATCGTACTCGGAGAGAATATCCCTAATCAAGTCTTTCACCTGCTGGCGAAGGCCAAGACTCCCGTAGCTGCCGCCCATGAAAAGAATCGCAAAATGTCTGCCCAATTCGATCAGATGGATTATCTGCTCTCGTATGGCTGCGAGTCCCAAATCGAAAGCAATAGCAAATATTGCTCGGGTCCGTTGGGGCTCGAGCGCAACAAGACGTCCTCTGCTGTGAAGTGTGATCTTGCGACCATCACGTATATAGGCCCCATAATCCAATTTATGTTTGATACGTTCAAAGTCCTAAACGAATGCGGTCAGGTCGTCCGGGGTGACCAATCCTCGAGCAATCAAGGGAGAAAGCTCCTCCCTCAGGACCTTGAGGACTTCCCTGTTCGCGATGTGGCTCCCGCCTATCGTGCCTATGTTCTGTTCAGATACCCCGAGTAAATGTGCAGGTACAGAATGCAGGGGCTTACCTGGAGGCCAGTAGTTGCCAACACTAGACACGCTGCTGTGGAGCTGCCCATCCTTAAACAAGCTGTTCTGCACTTCCAGGTTGGTACTGCTACTTCCACCGTCAACAACCATTAGGTTAAGGTGAGGACCTGTAACTATATCCTCGAAGAACCTGTGTCTCTTTTCGAAGTCGATGTCGTAGAGAAGGTCACTATAGGCCATTGTCACATAGGAAGTACCGGCCTTTCCTTCTTGAACTGCATAGTATACCGCCACACCAGGCCATAAGTCTAGTAAGATGGGGTTCAAATATCCCATGAGCTTTCCGACATTTATATCGGATCGCCGGCCCTTGCCGGCGCATATATAGTCCGGGATTGTGACTACAACGGTGGTGATGGAGACGTTTGCCCTGTCTGCTTTCGATATGGCCGATTTCTGGAGACGTTTGAAATACGACCGAATAGCCGAGTTCAACTTTTCCGTGGTAAGATGCCCAGAGTTGATAAGAGGAAGGAATACCTCGGACCCTAATCAATGTTCAGATCAGCAGGAAGCCTTCAGGACGAGGATGATAGACTAACCTGTTAAGCTCACCAGTGCGGCTTGGCTCGTCACGCCCGCGCAATACATCGCGGCATGCTTCAGGGGAAATCTGTCCGGGTTTTTCTCGGCCCGTAGACCCGTGACGATAATACCGCTTTGATAGGCTGCGGTCGCAGCGAACTCGAATATGCTGGGGCACGAAGGGACACCTGGCCGTGGAACTTGGTGGATCTCTAGTTTGGTTCTACCTGACGGTAGAAACGCCAGTGTCATTTTGGAGTTTTGGGCCCCAAAATCCAAACCAAGTGAACTAAGTATGCGGGAATGCATATTAAGCGCGTTTGTTACATGTAGTGGGCCCTGGATGTCTAAGACTTACATTAATCCCCGGTCCTTCTCAAGGCGCACCATGTCGTTCATTTTAAGTTGCGTTTTACAGCGGCAGTCAATGGAAAACAGCGTTGAACGGTTAACATACGTCCGCTGGTAATTAAGCAATCACAGATGCCATCAGGTTTCGGCGACTAATATTTTCCCGTCCAACATATCATAAAGAGGAGGGGCAAGCTAGTCAGGCGACCTGCAGCTTCGTGCAGTCACAAAGCTCCATCCCCTTTTATCAACCTAAATACCATTAAACACCCAAATCGTGAGAGGCACTTTTATTGATTTCCCGGGTGCATTCGGAGGCCAATAATACCATGGAATCCTCTTCCCACGGCAGCGACGCTCCGCAGCGTATATCAACTGGCATAAACTAGGGATCTCGCAACCCAAAATTCAACACCTTTAAAGATCTTATATTAACGGTTTCACCCATTATACTAGGCCTAGGCTTTAATATTTGCCTCAGTCTTAATCAAGACGCCAACCGGCATGACCTTAGGTGTTGGATGGATAGCGATATAAGCCCATAGGACGCCGGCTGCAGTCGGTTAAGGTGGAAACCAGACCGGTATGAATGGAAGGCTACTGCAAACTTTCTCATGGATAAAAAGTGGCACTTTAAGATTACCAACCCTATGCATAGTGGCCATTTACTTCACATTGAAAAAGCTTATAGAGTCGCGAAACTTTATCCTATCGTTTTACCGGCGAACGCACAGAATGCTACTGGCAGCAGGGCAGCTTAGAAATCAAGAGCATCGACATCGCCACCAAAAGGACAGGAGATCCACAAGCGCAAGCGACCAGGGGAGTCACACCCTTTGTCGTTAAATGTAACACAATTTAATGTCTACGAAGTGCGAAAGGAAAACGGAGTAGCCAAGCGAATGGCCTGCAAGCACTGCAACTAGGAATCTGCGTACAATGACTTTAGCGTGGTTACCCATCTCACTAGGTATGCCATTTATTAGCAATTAAAACGGCTCCATGCAGACATGGGAGATAGCCTCAACTCGCTAACCAGCGACACTATGGAATCTGTCGACGAAATAGCATATAAGCTTATGCACCTTCTCGATCTTATCAAAGGCAACCAATTTAACCGGGTTGAGGTGATGCATGGAGAGTCAGCGTACGCCCACCCAGCTTCCACAGTACGCCTACCCAGCTTCCAGCGTTGGCCCACCCAATACTTCCTTTTCTTAATATTATATTAATAAAACTAAGTACTTTTTTAAGTTTACCTCGTATATAAAAAGCTAGGGTAGCTATTTTCCAATTTAAGCAATACTTTAAAAATACAAGCAGCCCCCAGAGCGCCCAGAGCGCCCAGAGCACCCAGAGCCCCCAGAGCCCCCAGAGGGCCCAAAGGGCTTAGAGGGCCCCGAGGGCCCAAAGGGCCGCGAGGGAGCAAAGGGCCGCGAGGGAGCAGAGGGCCGCGAGGGCGCAGAGGGCCGCAAGGGCGCAGAGGCCGCAGAGGGCGCAGAGGGCGCAAAGGGCCGCAAAGGGCACAAAGGGCCGCAAAGGGCGCAAAGGGCCGTAAAGGGCGTAAAGAACCGCAAAGGGCGCAAAGGGCCGTAAAGGGCGCAAAGGTAACTTTTAAGTTATAAATAAAGGGGTAGCTATAAGACATCTTTAAAATAGCTATAGCTATGCTTTATTAATAATCTTATAATATTAATATTTTATAATACATATAGCTAATTTCCTTATACTAGGTAAGCCAACGCTGAAAGCTAAATGGGCGTACTACGGAAGCTAAGTGGGCGTATGCTGACTCAACTTGCCGGCCTATATCTTTAACTCACAGCTGGAAATTTTGAAGCTTTGCCACTCATAATCATATAAAACTCATTAAACGCAGGGACCGCATCCAGCTTCGTATTAGTACGGGTTAAGAACGAAATCAACCACTTGTGTGAGCCACGCAAAACGTGTTTGTATGATATTGGTTTTCCTTGCCCTAACCGTGATCCGTCTTGTGTACCCTTACTGCCCTCCGGAATTCGCGTTGCCCAGAAACCACAATTGCGTACTTAATAGCTTCTACTTTCCTACCCTGGGCACCTTAATCGCCCCTTCTGCCACTATAAACTCACCTAACATGGCCACGATGGTTTCGTGCATGCCCAATGACGCTGCTCTCCGTGTCCACTCCGCAAGGTCAATTTCTTCCACCTCGGACACGGCCGTCCCCTGACTTCCGCCCCACTCTTCATCTTCCAGGAGCCATCTACGCAAATCTCCAAGAGGAAGCTCTACCCCGCCCGTGTGATGGTGGAACCGCACGCCTGCAGCCTCCCCGGCCCGTTCCGGCTGATCAAGTGCTGCTTTCAAGATACCGTCGACGACAGTCTCGAGCTGAACCAGATCGAACACACCACCCACACGTCCTCTGGCGACGATGGGTACAGCCCGCAGCAACGAAGAGTAGTGGCGCATGTTCTGCACGAGCTCTAGGCCCGGCGCAGTTTCGGCGGTCCTGTCGCCGCGGCGGGAAATGAGGCTTGGGCGGTGGATCCAGACCTGCCAAGTTGGGAAGCGCGCGTTCAGTCTTTCAAGGAAGCACTCGCTCGCCCACTTGGAGGCTATGTAGCCGTGAGCCATGGCTGCCGAGCCGGTCCCAGGGGCCGATCTCTTCGCCGGATGATAGGCCGCGACTGAGACGGGCCTGAAAACGAAATCTGTTGGATCCTGTTGCTTTCGTACGCCATCTGCATGCAGTTCCACATCCTTCGCCGCCGTGACTGCCCTTGCATCCGCGATGATATGGCCGACAGACACTGTCGAGATGAAGTGGAAGGGAATGGGGCGGTGAGCACTCATGCGAGCGAGCTCCTTGGTGGACTCAACGTTGCACCTCCGGAGCGAGGCATATGTCTTGAGGTACGACATGTCTGCCCCATTATGAATGATGAGGTCGGCCTCGTCAAAGATACGCTCGGCATTGTCGTGTGACAGGCCCAACGAGGGAAGATGTAGATCACCTTCGTGGATTCTGATTTTTTCATCTTCCAAGATATCGCGGCGGGCGTTTGTGTTTCGCATCCCAATGCAGTGCACCCTTTTTATCTTCGGATCCTGAACTAGAGCGCTCAGGAGACCTCGACCCAGATGGCCCGTAGCACCTGTGAGTACCACAGTTTTGGCACCTGCAACATTCGACGTTGTTTCGGGCAGACACAGGGACAAGAGACTTGAAGGCAGTTCCGTTTCTTTGTCCCAGTCGATGACTTGGTCAGTGCCGCCGAAGTCATCAGGCTGTTGCCGCTGCTCACGTCTGTCGTCAATCCAGCATGCCATTGAGGACAACGTACTGTGGTCGAACATGCGTATGAGCGGAATCCGGACATCAAATATTTCTGCGACGCGGGTACGCAGAGCCAGGAGCAACAATGACGTTCCCCCAATCTGGAAGAAATCCGTCCCGGGCATGATATTGGTAGAGTTGCGGACACCTTGTCCAATGACATCTTCCCATAGACTCTTCAAGGAAACCTCTGTCTCTGTCAATGTTTCAGAGTTCTTTGACATTGAGTCATTTTCCTGTCTTGGAAGAACCAGATTCGCTACTGCTTTCCTGTCGAGTTTCGCAGCGTTGTTCTTGGGCAGATCGCGCACTGGGACAATGACGGCAGGACGCATGTACTGAGGCAGACCGTACAGCCCTGATTGGAATTGGCGTATGTGCTCGTCGAAATCGTCCTCATGGCAGCTTTGACTGAAGACCACATGGGCCACTAGTACCAAGCAGGAATCAGCTGAGAGCTTGCGGGCAGTCACGACGGCTTGGCACAGCATCCCCTGTGCTGCAACCATGATGGCGTGCTCCACCTCGCTGACATCGATACGCAAGCCGCGCAGCTTGACCTGCGTATCTCCCTCTATGCGGCCCTCGACCATCAGCGCGCCGTCTTCTCGCCATCGGCCCAGGTCGCCGGAGCGGTGGAGGGTGCTGGGGCTTATCGGAAGGCCGTCAGGGTGCTCAAGTACGTCTGGCACAAACTTTTCAGCCGTCAATTCGGGATTGCCCAGATAGCCTAGCCCAACACCAGGCCCTCCGATGTATATTTCGCCTTGGACTCCCGGAGGTAATGGTCGCAAATGGCCGTCAAGCACGTAGATGGAATAGTTGGGCAGCGGATGGCCAGCTGGCACGAGCTCAAGATTTCGCGACTCAGACTGGGCCGTTGGGTCTGATGAATGTGGAACTGCCATGCCGCTTGCGGCCAGAGATGCCTCAGTCGGTCCGTAGAGGTTGCATAAGCGCAATTGCTCCTTTCTCAAAGAGAGGATTTTCTTTGGGAGGGTCGTCGGGATGCTCTCCCCGGTGCAGATTGCTGTCCTCCAGTGCTCACACTGGATGAGTGCCTGCCTACTGTGTTCAATCCAAGACGAATATTCTGTAGGTGTGGCGTAGGTGAGGGTCACATTATGCCGTGCCATGATGCTCCCGATGGCGCTCGCATCTCCACGCAGCTTTCTCGGCACCAGACATAGCAGTCCCCCATGAGTGAGCGCAGTCAGTATCTGCATCAACGAGACGTCAAACGTGGAAGAAGTCTGCTGCAGAATGATCTCTGACTCCAGACCATACATGGGTGGCACATGTTCAGCCCAGTTGCACAGCCCTCGGTGCGTCAACATGATACCCTTGGGCCTGCCAGATGACCCGCTAGTATACAACACGGCGGCCATGCTGTCCTTGGTAAAGGCGCTTCGAATCGGGCTCGCAAAATGTAGGTCATGAAGAGACGATACGTCTATGACCACCATACCTGGTATTACACCCAGCTCGTCGACCTTGTGCCTTGTATATTGGTCTACAAGCACAGCTCCGGGACGGCAGTCATTTACCATGGCTTTGAGCCGTGCCCATGGGAGACTGAGATCGAGAGGTAAGTAGACTGAGCCTAGTCGGAAAATTCCAAGGATGGAAGCAATCCACAGGTGAGTTGGCTCCTGAAGAACGGCCACCGGGGTTCCATGGCCGATGCAGGACGCTTGCAATGACGCTGCGACGGCCTTTGCGTGGCTTGAAAGATCCCCATAAGTGAAGGTTTCACCTTGTGCGAGCTGGATTGCCGACTCTTGGGGCTTTGACTTAATGACCTCGTCGATCCTTTGACTAACCGTCTGTGGCCACTTGGTAGGGACTGACGGGCCTATCTTGCCTGTCAGACAGAGTAAGAGCACGGCCTGGTCTATTCACGACTTACCTTGACTGAATCTAAGTGCCTCCATAATATCACTATTCTGGAATATGGTTGGCTCATCCAGTGTTAGAACCGTGTTCGCGGCAAAGGCCTTGAGAAGATTCTCGTAGCTCTTGGAAAGCCTTTCGGCTCCAGAACTGCCGTAGAGGTCTTTCTGTACTTCGAATATGTGAACACAATGGCCGTCAGGCTCATCTACGATGTCTAGAGCGACATCGTACGCCATCCTGAGGTTTTTGAAGTCCATGAATTGGAGGTCCACATCGCCCCAAGTGCCTTGAGTCCGCTGGCCCAGTCTGTAGTCTATAAAACACTGGAAGAGGGGTGTATACGTCGAGGAGCGTGGAACATCCAGACTAACAGTTGGTAAGCACCCATGTACGTAGGTAGCCGTCTCAAGGCGTCTGTGGAATGGGTAATTAGACTTACTGTGTCAGAAGAGCCGGGAACGGAAGGCCTGAGTTAGCCAAGGCAGCATATGCTTTGTTCCGTGCATCCTGCAGTAGGCTCTCGAACTTTGCCGATCCTTTGGTGATGAAGCGTAGCGGGAGCAGGTTGACGAATGTACCGATCATCTCCATCGTCTGGTCCTCTGTACGATTCGTGTCGGCAAACCCAATACAAATATCCTCCGCATCAGGGGCATATCTCAATATCAATGTCCTAAACACGGCGAGGTAGAAATGAAAAGGTGTTACTCTTAGCCGGCGACACGCAGCCTGGACCTGTGATTTGGTCTCCCTGCTGATCCACAAGACTGCTTGTTCGTTCTCAAATGCTGTCAAAGGAGGTCGTGAGGTCGCTGTGGACAACCTGAGGATAGGAAGAGGCAGAGGCAATGTTGCAAACTCCGCCCTCCAGAAATCGCACTCTGCGCTGAACCTGCCGGCCTCAAAGTCGGCGTGTTGCTTCTCAGAGAACTCTGAGTACTGCCGTGTATCTTTCCTCTGATCTGGATCAGTGTAGTAGCTAAGAAGCTCTGTCAAGAAGACCTGGAAGGATGTACCATCGAAGGCGAGGGGATGCACAACGAATACGAGAAAGTGTTTCTCCGGTGAGAGAGAGAGGAGAACCAGACGCATTGTGCTGCCTCTTTCCACGTCAAATATCTGGTTCTGCAATAACTTTGCCATCCGCGTCACCGGTACCTCGTCTTCTGATTGAATCTTTTGGACTTCCAATCTGAGTGTGCTGGTGCCCATGATTCCCTGAACTGGGGTACCGTCTCGCACGAAGAAACAGGTCCTGAGCGATTCATGCTGCTGGCCAACAAGACGTACTGCATGTTCAAGCCTCGCGATATCCAGGTTGCCGGTCAATCGCGCCCATCCAGTATGGTTTAGGCTTGTCTTGTCTTCCAACGACGCCCATAGGAACCAGAACATATCCTGACTAAAGGACAATCTGAAGGAGTTCTGGATGATGGGGTTGGCGATTCTACTGAACTTGCTGATAGTAGGCTCTTCTGAGGTCTCTTCGATCTCGGATGAGCAGCTGGTATCAGTGGAGTCCCTGGTAACGGCTTCTCCGCTAGACTGGCTGAATGACTCCTGGGACTCGCTCTGCTCTGCCGAAGGTACGTGACCCACTTGGGGAATCAAACGCCCGGGGATCTTGTCAAGGACAAGAGCCACCAGGTCCCCAATGGTGACACCGTCGAGGATCTTGAGAACAGGAATGTTCACTTCAAAGGTCTTCATGGACCAGCTCCGAATCTCGACTGCAGATAGCGAGTCGATACCCAATCCATCTAGACGTAGACCTTCCAAGTCTGTGTCTTGAGTGTCATCGCCCTCGTGCTCGAACAAAGCCCGGATCTTCGTCAAGAAGGCATCTCGAATAATTTGTTCGACCTGTGCATGATCCGAGGCTTCTGCCAGGCGTGTTTTGATTGGAACTCGGTTGGACTTGACAGTGGGCTCAACTTGTTCGTCCATGTGCAGATGGCGGATGAAGTGACTCATAAGAGGATCTGATCTCCAAATTGGTTGGATTAATTCATCAGCACCGACCCTTCGAATTCCAGATACCAGCTCGGCGGGAGCAAGAGAGTCCGGGGATCCAGCCATCACGGCCTCCGCAAAGAGCTCATGAAAGTCGTGCTCGGAAGTGGCTATGTATGCCCCTGACCGGATGTTGTTCTTTGGAAAGGGGGTTTTACCCTCTGCAACTAGCTGGGAGATATAGCCAACCCCATATATAGGGCCGATGTGCATGACTGACGCCGCTAGGCCGAGGTTTCTTCTCTGCGCTGCCAGGCTGGACATGAATAGATTGGCAGCAGTATAGTTTGCCTGGCCAGGATTCCCGATGATTGAAGTTGCCGAAGACAAAAATATGAAAAATTCCAAGGTAGGCTGTTGGAAAAGGTCATTGAGGCAAAGGCTCCCTTGAACCTTTGGTTGCATGACATTCAACAAGGCGTCCAAAGTCATGCTGCGGAGGGGGGTATCTCGGAGAACCACTGTTAGAGTGAGGTACATTAGTACTTGCCAACGTAGGCTCACCTCACTCGAACTGATCAGTGGGAAAATTGAAATGACTACTTCACTTACTGGCGCCTTGGACAACTCCAGCAATTGGTGGCATACTCGAGGTTATTTCGGTATGAAGCGCCACCACATCTTCACCACTAGTGAGGTCGCTAGTTGAGTGATGAGTTAGTTTCAACAAATACCAAAGTACTCGTGGATGCTGCGTTTGAACTACTCACCAGCACGAAATTTTGAGGGAAGCACCAAGACTACGCATATCATCTAGCCAAGATTCGTCTACACGCGGGTTCCTGCTGGAGATTACGATGTTCGTTGCTCCATGGTGAACCATCCATTCACAAAGGGATTGTCCGAGCCCGCCACTAAGTCCAGCCAGCCAGTAGGTCCGATTTGGGTTAAACCTGACGTGGGAGGAAGCACTTTTGAGACGAACAGGCGTTTGAGTGCACAGCTTCCAGTCAACAATGGCAGCAGGAGCGATTTTGTTCTCAGATTCTGCAAGCTGTTGGGTCGAGACTTCAAAAGCATGGATTCGTGTTTCATCCGTGCTTTCGAGGTAATTCAATGACCAAACGAGCGCCGAGTTGAGTCGATCGCGGAGATCCTGGGCTCGAGAGAGGGATGGTATCAACGCTGTGCTGCTGAAGAGAGTGTCCAAGGTCTCGGACCTACAGAGCTTCGGGAGCCGTGATCTGATGCGTTTTCCAATGATCACAGTGTTCTCATGTGCTGAAAAGTCGACGTAGACAGAGACGTTGTCTGGGACTATGCGGAACAATTCACTGTCAGTCGCATTTGCGTGGACAGTCAGCCACGTGGAATCGATGGACACGGCTGCATCTGGATGTGTGATGCAAGTCACCCTTATCCCACGCGGTGTGGCTATCCGCAATAAGACAGTAGCAAAATTTGGATGGGGATCGTAGATCAGAATCCTGTCACCCTGACCGAGACCTCTTAGAATGTCGGATACTAGAATGTGATGCACCATGAGTGACAGGAGCTTCGTCTGAGAACCAGGGTCTACTTCCACGTGAACAGAAATATTCTCCCAGGGGCAAATAATCCTGTTGTTCTCGGTCGAAAAGGCCACAATACGGTTACCGGAGTCGTCATCCAGGCCAAGGACCAGGAACATCAACCCGAAATCGGAACAACGCACAGCACTACTCTCATATGCAATCAAACGTTCCATTTTGGCGCTAGTGGCCTGCATATAATACCTTACACCAAAAATCATATGCACTTATCATATCATGCCCTTTTCAACTATTAACCATAATTACTTATCCCACAACCCTTATAACGCCGTATTTTTTGCTATGCTATATATTTTAATTATCGTAAATCAATCTATAGTAGTTTTATAACTATATCCTATTACCTAACCCCCCTAAAGCTTTATATAATTTAAAGGCTGCTAAATATCAACTAAGCAAATAATGCCACTATTGCAAGAACTATAAAGTACTTTAATTAATAAATTTAAAAGCTAAAAAAGAGGAATTTAATAAATAGCATTATTATTAAGCTAAGCAGCCTATACAGGGCTATTTAATTAACTAACTTCCATTATAATATATATAATTTAAATCTTAATTATCCACCCTTTCTAATATATATTCTTATTACCCAAGCCTTCCTTAATTATCTTGCTTTAAAAAATAATTTATACCAAGATAAAATGCAATAATAATTACTAAATAACTTTAATTTATTCATTTCCCAAAGCATTATTAGCTAAGCACTTAAAAAAATTAAATAAAATAAGAAAACTATAAATATAATTACTACCTAACAAAACCACCTTATTTAAGCTAATTAAATTATTAAGACTTAAAAACTTTATATAAACTAGTTTATTTTTATTAATAAATCTAATATAAATAAAAGAAATAAGCTATAATATATAAAATAATTGCTAAAAAGCATTAAGCTAAAGAAACTTATACTTAGCAATAATAAAGATCGCAATATATAATATTAAGTGTTTTTAGCATTTATAATTATAAACATACTTAATTTATCTATATATAAAGGCAATATAAACAATTAGGGCTTTATTAACTTTATTAAAAATAAAATTTTACTTAAAATATTACTATTCTTAAGGCCTAACTTAATATTAATAATAAATAATATTAATTTCTACTTTCATAATAACCTTCAACAGCTATATAATTAGGCTAGCATTTAGCTTAAATATTTACCTTTATACTTGCTTAATTTCAACCCAATTAAGGCATTTTTTAATAATTTAAAAAAGCATATTTATTGCCACTTTTAATATTATAAAGATTAATAGCATATGCAGAAGGATTAACGGCAGTTTCTTATTAACTTAATATATAAGGTTACTTTAAATATAAAAGCAATTTAAAATTACTTTTAAAAAACTATAATTCTTAAACCAAAATAAGCTTAAATTAATCAAATAGCTAATTAATTATATACTTTAATACATATATTAACAATATATATATTTTTTAAGCTTTAATTACCATTATAAGTATTATAATATATAAGTAATTTAAATGCTTTTAATAATATATACTGCTATGCTTATTAATTAAGTTTGCCATAATACCTTAATTATAATATAACATATATTAATAATTATAAAATATATATTTATAAAAAGTATACCATAAAAAAGAGCTTAATTAAATAAATTAAATAATATATTATTTATTCCTAAATACCTATTAAAAGGTTTTTACCTTAAAGGCAATTAAATACACTTAATGCATAAAACAATAATCCATTATATTAATATACTTAGCATTTAAACAATTAACTTTATATAACCATACCTCCATTAAAAAAAGTTATATATATAATATAATTTCTATATTAAATAGCCTTGTTTCTATAATATTTAATAAGCAACATTTTATATATATATAATATTAAGAAGGTAATTGCCTTAAGTAATTAAAATAAAAAATATATATAAAAAGTATATTAATTGCAAGCTAGCTTAATGCCTAATTAGCATACTTGTTATTAAACTTATAACCTCTCTATTATACATTTAGTTTAATAATAACTATATTAATTAGCCAGCAAGCTAGCCTAATAATTAATACATTTCATAGGAAAGCAATAACCTTATAAATAAGGGAAGGTATAAGTTAATACCAACGGCAAAGTAGTTAAATAGGGGGCTAGCATTAATATATAACAACTAAGTTAAATTAACTCCAATTTAAATAAAAAGTATATTAGCTAATTATTAAATATTAAGGCTATTTAAAAGTTATAATTATATCTTATAAAATTACCTTATTAAGTATTAATTATATAAAAAGATAATAAGCAAATATTATTAAGTAGCAAAAATAAATTTAATAATAATAACTTTTTTAATAATTTAAAGTAATAAAATTAAACTTATAACCTTTTAATCATATAATATATTTAATTATTATTATTTTAAAGCATTAAAAGCTTTCCATTGCTAAATAAAAGGTAATAAAAAAAGTAGTTTATATAGTTAGGGAAGGTATAAGTTAAAGCAAATATAATATATATATGCACTAACTTTAAACTATTATAACACTATTAAAAAAAATTATAAATATAATATAATTTTTATATTAAATAATTTAGCTTTTTATCTTTTTATTAATAATATTATTATTGCAATTAATATTAAATTTATAAAGGAAATTAATATTTTATATTAAGATATAATAAGTATAAGTAGGTTGAGCTAATTTATAAAACCTATTATATTGCAAGTATTAATATTAACTTTATTACTTTTTATCTACTACCACCATAATAATAAAAGCAATACTTAAAATACCCTCTTATATATAATAAATATATTATAATTAATTACTTTTACTAATAGCATTATTACTAAAGCCCTTAATTGCCCTTAAAAATGCTAATAAGCTTAATATACCCTTCTTTAATACATTGCATTCCTATATAAAGTTCTTTATATATTAATAAAAAAAGCTTTCCAAGTCCTTCTTAAACTAATGATTAATAAATTACCCATCTAGCTATATTAAAAGGTTTTTAAATATGCTTAAGCTTGTATTTTAAAGCTTTATAATTAAGCAACCTATCTCTTACTTCTCTTAATAATGCCTAGCCCTTTAACAATATACATACTAAAGAAAGTTATCCAATAACCTATTACCCTTAAAGCTATTAAGCATTACTAAGGATAATAAAAATATTAATAGATAATATAATAAAGGCAGCGTAATCTTTATTACTAGCACTTTAATAAAAAAAGGGGCCGTAAGCAATATATATATATATCCAGCTGCTCATAATACCAGCAGCGGCAAAGCCAACTACTAAGGCATTAAACGGCTATTAAGAGCATTTATAAGTACTAATATAAGCTAATTGCTATCACCACTACCTTTATTAACATTAATAATATTCCCGCTACCTATACCATCCCTTCCTAGTTTAAGCATATTAGCTTTACTTAAGCGCCCTAATATAGCCAAAAAAACATTATTATTTAGCTTAAAAATTAAAAGAATATTAAATACTTTAGTTTGGCTGCCTTGCTTTTAACTAACTAGGTAAAACAATGCTTAATTATATATACTCTTAGGGATATAATTTAAAAAAGCCCTTTCCTGCTTTTTTTTAATTAAATTAGCTTATTTAAGTAGGTTTTTATATATAAGAGCTAGATATATCCTATCCCTTTTAATAAAGCACTATAATGCTAATTTTACCTCCCTTTTATAATTAAAATAACGTCCTTTATTACAACACTTTAGCTATTAATTCAATTAAATAAATAGCTTAATTTTAGTGTTTCTTTAAGCAATAATAACTTCTTATATAATGCTAGTTCTTATAAACTTCGCTAAGAAACCTAATTAATTGCTTAACTAAGAAATATTGCTAATCTTAATATTAAATTGCCTGGTTTAAAACGGGTTATTTTCTTTTACTTTTGCAACAGCAGCATCTTTAATCTTATAAAATTAAATATTAATAAAGCCTCTAAAGGTTAATAATGGCGTAATCAAACCCTATTAATATTTTAAAATAATATAAAACGCAATAAATATTTAAAATAAATATATAACGTTTAAAGTAAGTGCTGCCTTATTATTAACTTGCTTTATAAGGTTATATATTAATAACTAAATAATTTTAAGGTTTGCATTTGCTGCTTATTAATTAAAATATGCAAGTTTTAATATATTACCCTTCCTTAACTAAATTATTATAGCAAGGAAATTATGCTTTACTTAATAGCCCTTAAGATTAGCAATAATTTACTTTTTAAAATCCTTAAGCTACTTGCTAAGCTAATTAATAAAAAAACCGCCAAATCTATTACATTACCCTTTTAAATATCTTATTAAGAGAATAAATAAAGAAATACTCCTAAATTAACTAATTAAATTAACTAAAAAAAAGGAAAAAGCTATTCTTATATTTATATATATTTTAATCTTAACATTATTATAAGAAAAGCTATTAATAATAGCCTTTTTAGTAATCTCCTAAATATTATTATTCTTAGTAGCAAAGGGGTTAATAAAAGGGTTAGCAAAGAAGTTTTTATTATTATAAGAAAAAGGATTTAGCTTTTCTTTATTATCTCTAATAAAGCTGCTTTTTAGCGGTAATAATGGTAATGATAGCTTTAAAAGTATCTTCTTTAGCAGCGATAACTTCCTTTTTATTAATAGCTTCCGGGCAGGCTTTGCTAGCAATAATGGAAAAGGCTTTGCCCTTAGCTTAATGATAATTTAAGGCTTCTTTGCAAAAGAATTATTAAACGCTATAAATATAATATTCTTCTTCTTTATAAATGCTATATTTGCTAGCTTTAAGAAATTATTATTAAAAATGATATAATATTTAGGCTGGGATTATAATTAATAGCAAGGGCTATAATTTAAGGGCTTATAATTGCTATATAAAATTAACTTTAAGGCATAAATAATAATAACCTTACTTAAGGGCTTTATGATATGTAAATACTCTTATTAGCTATAATTATATATAAATAAATAATACCTAATACTAATTATATCTCCTTAAAGCTTTAGTAAGGCATTAATGGCTTTTATAAATCTTAATAATAAGTTAAAAAGTAAGAAATTATATTTAAAGATAACCGTTATATATAGTAATTAATATATAAGCTTTTAATGGTAATAATAACCTTAATTAGTGCGTAAATTAATAATATTAAGGGTATTAATTAATAATATAATAAGTGCATATGATTTTTGGTGTAAGGTATTATATGCGAGTTACTAGCGCCAAAATGGAACGTTTAATTGCATATGAGAGTAAGGACGGAGTGCGAAACACGCATTTGCATGCAGGGATCCCTGTTCACCTGCGGCAGGACCTCTTCCTCGGCAACGTATCCCGAAGTGGATGCCGAAATTCCCATATTCTGCACACTTTTCTGGGGTCCGTCCAAGATGACACGTCGTGACGAGTTGTAGCGAGAATTCATCTCCTGACTAACAACGAGACGAGGAATTAGAAGCTGACCGTCGCTCAAAACCAGTTCAGGCTCAGCTGTTATGTGGAAACCATCTTGGCCTCGCCACTGGCAAGCTGCAGCATTTTGGAGAATCATCCTGGAAATCGTAGACGCGTCTAGTAGGTCTCGTGTATTTTCCGCGTCAAGGAAGAGGTAATTCAGGAGAGAGCTTTCCCGCACCACGGACCGTACCAGGCCTATCATCGTGTTTGCGTGAGGGTTGCTGGCTCGCCGCCCCTGTGTGAGCCACACAAGCGACCCGGTCTCGAGCAAAGCCTCTTTCAGAGCTTCCCATGTCTGATTATTCAGTTGGGTGAGGCGCAGGCCATCTAGACTGAGAAGACTCAAAATAGTGGTCGTAGACGATATCTTCGCCCGAGGCACGTCAATCACTGAGGATATCCTTCGGACACTGCCACAGTAAGCCATCAGAAAAGACTCGAGTCCGACTGATAGGTCTATAGTTGAAGGGCTGTCTCCGCCAAGTATGACAAGATCTTGAATGGGTTTGCTGGGAGTAACCGAGAATGGCTCACGAATAAACGTGATCCTGTCGTCCAAAGCCTGCGAAACGAATATGGCACCAGGTGTGACGTACTCGTCCAGCACAGTCGTATTCGTATCACAACCTGAAAAACCTGACTTGCGAAGGAGACGGTCCCATACTCCAAGGCCGACGGCAGGTGTCAGGACACGGCCCTCATCGGCGCCTAGCCACCAACCGGGGAAAGCGCCAAATATGACACCCAAGTAACTAACTCTGGCTGGAAGAAGTTCAAAGGCGACCAGATATCCACCGGGTTTTAGGAGTCGACGAGCGTTGCGCAAAGTCTCTTCAAGATTGGGCGTGGCGTGGAGAACGAGCGAGGCGACCACCACATCGTACGCGTGGTCCTGGAAGCCTTGCTTGGATGGTGCTTGGCAGATATCGAGAGCTTTGAATATCATCCGGTTTGAGTGATCAATCTCCCATGACCGTGCCGAATCAAAGAATGAAGTGGAAATATCGGTAAAGGTGTATGACGAAAACGCTGAGCCAATTTCCGAGAGGACAGCTTGAGTGCATGCTCCGGTGCCGGCGCCAACTTCTAAGATGTCCATGTGAGGATATCGATGAACGATTTGCTTGATTATACGAGCCAGAGATTTCGTATATGGCGCCAGCCCAATGCCGTCCATGTAGAACTGCGAAAGCATATCGTTCCTCATGCAGATGTCAATGGCTGAGGCTTCGCCAGTGGCTATTCGCACGATGTTTTCACCGACAGCGCGGAGTATCATCACGTCTATAACGTCTGAATGGGGCTGAGCTGCTGCTTCCAGTTGATAATTTGTATCGTTCTCCCAATCAGAGTTCCACAGAGGCAGTTGACCTCCTTGTGCCAGGGTGGTACAATGGGAAGCAAACCGGAACCAAGATGCATAAGGCCCGCCGAGTCGGGCAGGATGGTCAGCCGAAGGATTCCTTTCCAGAACCCGCATATAGAAGACAGCCATGCGTTCGAGAAGACTCGCCACGTCACGTTGCTTCGCGGTTATCGAGAGACTTGGCGATACAGCCTCGGCGTTCGGGGACGCAACGTCCCAATGCAGAGTAGAAAACACTTCCTTGTCGTCTTGAGCGGTTGCTGATGACAGAGGAACACACTCGAGTCCTTGAACTTGGATAATTGAATTTTCCAGGTCTGTTGAATAGAGATGGATGTCACTTAACATGGCGCCAAAGTCAGCATCCGGAGACCGCAGGGAGCTGAAAGGGACAGGAGTGCCTTTGGCGACCTCCCGCGCGCACAAGTCCGGATTGACGCTTATTTTGCGGATTCTCCTGGGAATTTGCATCCTGTCCAGTTCACCATCACCAGGAGCACAGTACACCAGGAAGGCAGACTGGAATGCCGCGTCAAGGATGCCAGGATGAATCAACAGCCCGGACGGCTCAAGGTTGCGCACAGATCCGGTCACTGCGCCGAGCCTTCTCCGTAGCCCATGAAGAGAGGCAAATGACCCAGAATACTCATACTCGAGTTCCTTCATCGACCCGTAGAACTCGTCCGCGTCCACGTCAATGAGGCTTGATGAACGAGGGGGCCCAGCTGAAAGTGCATCGACTGTACTGCTGCCGAGAGTGACCCGAACTCTACCACTAGCCAGGAGATCAAACTGATTCGCACTCAGCTTCGATTCTGCACTGTAATTGAATCTCGCCTCTATTTTGGACGTCCCATGTCGTTGGATGTCCGTCACAGAGAGGATAGTTTCCACCCTGGTCTCGTCGTGGTCGAAGCTCAAGGCCTTACCAATCTCGACATTCTCAACCTCGATCACAGTGGCTGAGAATCCGCGGCATAGAGCCAGTGCTGCTTCGAGGGCCAACACAACATATGCGGCAGCCGGGAACACGATTTGACCTTGCAGCCGATGGCCCCTTAGCCACGGCACCTCAGTCGGGCACAATATGTGGCGCCACCTTAAATCATGCTGGGTGCTGTCAGGCGTGATATGGCCCAGTATTTCATTCACCGGTCCTTGCCGCATTCGGATTGCTCTTGCGTATCTGGACTCATGCCAGTACTCTTTCTCATGATTCCAGGCATACGTAGGCAACCCTTTCACTTGGTTCCGTGCAGATCCGCCAGACACGAACTCGTCATAGCCGCGAAGATTCACCGCGCTAGGCCCAGCATGAACCCAGACTTGCCCAAGGCCCTCTGCAAAGGACGCAAGTGCCGAAGTGCCGCGGTAGAATAGGCTGGCGTATGGAAGAGACTGAAATTCGGTTTGTCGGAAAATTTGAAGAGTGGGCCCTTTCAAAGCTGGGTGAGGGCCTAATTCGATGGCCATTCCGAAAGGCCCTTCGGTCGAGAGAGCACTCTGCACGGCTTGCATATACCGCACAGGACTCAACATGTTTGTAACCCAATAAGACCTTTTGAGAGGGTCCAGGTCACCACACATGAACCTACCGTGCACACTCGAGAACCATGGTGATCGGATATTGGATCTGACCTGGATGTCCAACTCCAGAAGGGAATCGAGGTAGTAGTTCGAGGACTCCTTGAGGTGATGAGAATGATAGGCGACATCCACACGCAGAATTCTCGTGAACTTGCCCTCATCATCAAACACCACCTTCAGATCTTCAATTGCATCACGATCCCCGGACAATGTAACGCTTTCTGGTGCGTTCATCGCAGCGACATGAACACGACCAGTGTACTCGGGCACATCGCAGAGCTCTTGGGCGTCCTCGGCCGTGGTGCCGACAGCCATCATGGAACCAGATTGCCCGTCAGAGCCACGTGCGAGTTGGGAGTAGAGACCTCGATAATAGGCGATGCAGATGGCATCTCTGGAAGAAATGAGGCCTGCCGCGTAAGCAGCCGCAATTTCGCCTGACGAATGGCCTACAACAGCGGAGAGATGAACACCTGCGGCAGACAAAAGCTTGACCTGAAGAATCTGTACTGCTGTGCACACTGTCTGGGATATGACGGCCTCATTGATACGCGAAGACGGGCCATCTCGCTCGATCTCTTCCAGTAGTGACCACGATGGAGGAGTGGGAAGTTGAGACAATCGACCGTCGAGATTATTAATGATCTTTCTGGCAACAGGCGACTCTTGTATGAGCTCCAGTCCCATTTTGGCCCACTGAGCTCCTTGACCAGTGAAGATGCCAAGCACTTTTGCAGCTTCTGCCTTGTTGGCAGCTTTGAGGCTCAAGTTGGGATTTGCTTGGTCTTCGTGAAGGAGCACCTCAACCTTGCCGCGGAGATCATCGGCTGTAAGGGCAGCAACCGCCGTTGCGACCGACAGTCGGGTCCTCCTCGAGGAGAGGGTATAGGAGAGGTCCTGGATATTGATAGATGCTTCGTTTTGTTGTAGGAATTTGCTGAAAGTGGACATATACGACCTAAGGGATGACTCTGACGCTGCGGAAAAAACGAATGGTGTGAAACATGCTGATGGTTCAGTCCGCGAGGATCGACTCCCGGCATAACTTTCGAGGATAGCGTGTGCATTCGTCCCTCCAAAACCGAAGCTGTCGAACAAGGAAGAGTCAGGCGTCTGGAACGAGCCGAGGGACGAGGCTTTTCTTACCTGTTCACGCTGCAACGACGTGGTATACCTTCCGCGACATCAGGCCAGGGCTCTGGTGCGGTGACAAGGCGCAAGTTGGTATAGAACGGCCGGACATTCGGATTGAGTTCTTCAAATAGCATATTCGGTGGGATCAGGGAATTCTGCATGGCTAGTGAAGCCTTAAGAATACCTGCGAGACCCGCAGTCCCTTCTGTGTGGCCAACAACAGTCTTGATACTGCCCACGAAGAGCTTGCGGCCATCGTCACCGCATGTATTGTTTGGCGGGAAGAAAGCAGAGGCAATTGCCTCTGCCTCAACTGGATCCCCAGCAGGCGTTCCAGTACCGTGGGCCTCAAAGTACTGCGGACGATGAGAAGATTTTGTCAAGTCAAGACCAGCCCGCGCATAGCAATCCCGAATCAGCTGGGTCTGTGCTGTGGCATTTGGCCTGTAGCACATATCAGTGAGCAGAAGTTACGAGTGTAGATTATCAACCAGACTGACATTGTAATTCCACGTGTCTTCCCATCGTGATTGACGGCCGTCTCGGCGATAACACATTCAATGTGATCACCATCTTCTTCGGCAGCATCTAGGGTTTTCAAAACAATAGCTGCAATTCCCTCACCACGGCCGTAGCCATTTGCGCCGGCATCCCACATACGTGACTGTCCGTCAGGGGAGAGCATGTTTAGTGTACTTTCTGCAGCAAAGCACTGTGGATCGAAGATCAGATTGGCCCCTGCAGCAATCACCACACGAGACTGCCCCGAGCGTAGCTGTTGGACGGCGTGGTGAACAGCTACGAGGCTTGAGCTGCATGCTGTATCGATCGTTTCAGATGGCCCGTGCCAATCGTAGAAGTAAGAAACCCTGTTTGCCAACAAGGCACGAGAAGTTCCAGTAGCGTGATATGTACCCATAGTATCATTGTCTCGCACCATCACCTGCTCGTAGTCTGCCACCATCTGCCCAGCGAAAACGGCAGTTGTGGACCCGCGGAGGTCATCGATAGACTGACCCGCAGCTTCTAAGGCCTCGTAGACCGTCTCCATCAAGAGTCGTGCCTGAGGGTCCATAACGTTGGCTTCAACGCGATTGATGCCGAAGAAGGAAGCGTCAAAGCGGCGGTGGACACCTTTGCCTTCGAGAAAGCATGCTTTCTTGACATTACTGTGGCCGTGGTACTGCCCATTTGGATGATAGAAGCCAGCAAGACTGAAGCGATCCGGCGGGATTGACTCCGCGAGATGGCGCGGCTCCCGCAAGAGGTCCCACAACTTTGAAGGCGTGTTCGCACCCCCAGGGAAACGACAACCTGAGCCAATTATGGCAATCTTTTGTCCTTGGGCGTTCATGGTGTCCATGTTGATCTGATCTTATTGATCTAGCCGGGACTGTACTATGGATGATGCGGCTGAAAATGCAGAGGCTTTTGAAAGCAGAAGTGGGCAAACTCAATAACAGTCCTTGCAGGAGATTGATAAATGAGCTTAGTCTCTCCGGATGCCAGTGCAGCTGGACTTCAGGTTCAATTTACAAGAATACTTCCAGCTAGTGCGACTACGCGATCAGCAACAAGCTAGAAAGATGCGCTTGGAAGCATGGTAGGATAGCCCCCAGAACCTGGGCTGAATGAGCGCTCAAGGCTAGGTGCGTTACACAAATAATCGTGCCCAACTGGTTCGAGGAGGAGACACGGGTTACCCAAGAGGCTGTGCAAAAACTTGTCTTGCGTCCCTCGAACTAGGCTGTGACGACGAATGGAAACCCCAGACGTTGTGGAATTTTCTGCGATTGTTGTGAGCCTAGCCAAGTTCAAGCCTTCAGGTGTGGTCGAACCAAATAGCAGAGTAGCATCAGCCACTACAAGGTTCCCAAAATGCATGTGTCTTTTTGTGACCCCTGGGAAACTGTTGGCTTGGGATATGTGGCGAATCATGGAAAGCAGACCAGAAGAGTATCTTACTGTGCCGCTGTTAGGCTTATTGCCGCTCGGCGCGTTGCACGAAGGATTCTGAACACAGCTGAAAGATCTGTCCCCGCATTTCTCTGTGACCCAACTCGCATCCGCTGGCCTCCATCATTGGATGCAGGCGCCACCAACAAGTCTCGTCCGTCAATTTGGTATACCGGTCTGTTTGGCAAAGTACCAGTACCTCACCTGGAATCATCTTCAATCCTCTGAAGTCTCGGCCCCTTGCGCGTCTTCTTTCGAACCCTAAGAAACCCGATGGTATAAATCTCTGGCAGTTGACTCGTCCAGCAATCGGCGCTGGTAAGCCTGCAAAATTCGACACAGGAGCAGCATATCACGAACTCATCACAACAACGGTCATGAACATCTTCAATACCTCAATCCAGGGGGTCTACTTTGTTATCCTCATCATTTTTGCGCCATTCTGCACTCTGGCAGTCGCTCTCCGGTTCATCGCTTGCAGAAAGGCTGGGCGGAAACTTGGCCTGGAAGACTGGTTCGCATTGTGTGCACTCATCGTTTATCTGGCGTTCACTATCCTTTCCGCAATAAGTGAGTCATCAAAAAAAGAGATATATCTATGTCGTGATGGTCTACTCGTCTAACTCCGACATTTCAAAGCTCTCGCTGCTCTAAATGGCCGAAATCAGGCAGTCTTGGCCGTCCAAGACCCGGAGGAGTTCGCAAGAATCCGCAAGGTATATCTTGAATCGTGCAGTGGTAACCTTTGAATCGTACTGAACTCGCTCTAGATGACCTATGCCGACCTGCCACTATTTCCTCTTCAGATGTTGTTTTCTAAGTTGAGCATCATGGCTCTTTACCTTCGCATCTTTGGCATCCGCGCTGTCTACACCCGATGGATTTACTTCCTAGGTGCCATTCATATATCTTGGGTGATCATGATTCTAGTCCTTCAGACTGTATCTTGCAACCCGCTTGAGAAGTTTTGGCGCCCCTTTATTCCAGGATGGTGCTTCTCGGAAGCCATACTGGCTATTCCTTCAGAGTGCATCAATTCCATTATCGATTTCGCTCTAGTAATCCTTGCCTTATTCATGATCCAGTCCATTCACATTTCAAGGGATACTAAGTGGAAGTTGGGCGGGTTGTTCGGCCTTGGAGGCTTGTATGTTCTTGGTCCAGCCATGCCCCACTGAGTGTCTACTCGCAAGCAATTGCTAACAGCGCATCTCAGCGTTGGAGTGATAGGATTTATCAAAATCGGACTCCAATATTCCCATGACAAGCTATGTAAGAAAAGAAACTCTGGAACAATGTGCTGCTGTATCGTTGTCATTGACTGAGACTACCAGATATTTATACTTCACTTGGATTATGGGCCACAGTTCAGATGGCTGTTGCGATTATCTGCTGCTCCGCTCCAGTCTATAAACCAATCCTTCCGGCTGCAGGATTTTGGACTCGCCTCAAGTCAAAAGCTAGCAGCATACGCCTTTATCGGAGTAGCCGCGAGAAGTCCACCGATTCTGGAGGTATTTCTCCCAAAACCAGTGCAACTCAGAGACATCAACAGGGAAGCCAGAGTCGGATTTGGATCCCACTTCAAGAACCCAACTCCAACGCACTGGCCTGGCCCCCTTCCACGCACTACTCTGAGTTTCATGCCGAGAGCGACAGCTTGGAAACTGCAAACGGTGCTAGACCAGCTATACCACAGGGAATCATACACGTTCAGCGGAATTTCGAGATAGTTTAGGTGCATGTCCAGCCAGGATGTGGTGGAACTTGTGGAAAGCATGGACCACTAATACGGTCGAGCAAAACTCGTGTCTAGCTTCCCTTCATGTTGTTTTGAGTTGTAGCAGGAATTAAAAAAAAACCTTGTAGTGGCCAATTCAGTATTTCAGTCAAGACTGTTGGATTCGCTTTCCGGTGAGAAGCACAGTTCTGTAAATAGCATACCGTCAGTCTGAACAAAAGCTGTCAGGCCCTCCTGGGCGCTGAAAAAAGACGTCTTGCACTATTTCCCCCCAGCAAACATGGTGTCTATGATGTACCGGGTACCTAAGTGACTTGAATATAGGGGGATCTGGTGACAAGTTCGGCTCGCAGCCTCACCCCTCGAGCTACTGGCGTAAATTGGGCATGCCAGGCCATGCCTGTTGGCAGATTCAGCTATATGGGCTGTGATAAAGTGGCAAGTCAAAGACGAAGACCTCAATGGTCAGAGATGTCGTATTGAGTTGGCTTCTAGTTACTCCCACAGGCGCTGCACATGTGTCCCACTGATGCAACCCATTGGGGGCTGAAAGATGAATCATCACTTGTGAGATGCAGCTTACGGTCTCCGAAAGAAAAGCCGTGTGACAGCCATCAGCTCACGCGACCCCAGTGTCCAATGACAGTGATGGTGTTGGCACACAGGAGAGGGGTAAAGCTGTGCCGCTTGTTGTGTACCAACGTGGAAGCCTAGTTGACGTTCCAGACCGGCTTGCATGAGATCCATCATCACCAATCTCGGGCAATGATTGGCTTTCAACATAAACCAGGTGGAAAGCCCCTATCGGGGCCCTGGGAGCTATTCGTCTAGGCCTGCTGGCTAATCTTTTGGGGGGCCCCTGCTGCGCAGCCCCCCCCCCCTCGCCTACGGCGCTGCGCGCCTCCGGCTCACCCCCCCCCCGAGGCCTACGGCCTTGCCTGCCCATTAATGGGGGTTTGGGTTTTGGAATAAGCCAATCAGCTTGCAAGTTTTCAGAATTATGGTTTCTCTTTGTTATGCACTGATTACTATGTGCTCCGTGCACGCCTGCGGCGGTTAACCAATCAGCTTGCAACTTTTCTGACCCATGGTGCGCGCGACCGAGTTCCCATTCACAGACTATTCTAGACGAATAGCATGGCTGCATGTGCTTCTTGGAACCAACCGCGTACGCACACTCGATCGCGAGGCTCTGGTGTTGGATTGACGTCCAAAATATGCATTTCTATGAATTCGCGTCGCATCAGACCGGTCTAAAGATCGACATGAGACATATATCCCTGGTCAGAATAATTATTAGGCAGATGTGCATGGCGCGAAAGATCCCCATCTGTTAATTGCACACCCCAGTGTGAGCTGATGAGAATGATGTAATTTTTTAGGCGTCGTGAAACGGCTCAGAGCCTTGTCAAATTCCCTGTGTCTGGCCTCAAGGGTTGCCTCCACTTTGTATCCTTTTTCTTTGGCGGCACATTGACCCATGTGGCTCCTCTCACTCCTCTGCTATCACCCAACTCACCGTCATCATAGGTGAGTCGTGATGCAGTAGTATTGATCAGAATAATTGTTTCAAGGCAACCTGCTGCAGTGTGATCATAACCATCCTAATGGGTAATACATATCTCATCCCTGCCTTCGCCATGACCGATCTCTCCCAGGCTGTACTAAGCCTTGCATTCGGATTTATATGTGTTCCCTTACCCCAATACGCCTCTATGCTACGATTGCTTTCCAAGAGAGCTCACTCCGTGTCTGTTGCTACAGATCCTGTGTTACTCCTTCGCACGATGTATCTATCTCAAGTACTTTCATCCCTTGGCTCAATTTCCTGGGCCTCCCATCGCCGCAGTGTCAAACGTATGGTATGCCTATCATTGGTGAGTTCTCTCCATTCCAAATGACCCTCTCGCACATTTTGATGTTCACGGCTCACAGGCTGTCGGGACGCTACCCATGGGCAACAGAGCACGCTCAGCAAGCATACGGTATGTAAGGCAACTTCAAGCTCACTACTCTAAATGAGGTTCTGACCCGCAGGCTCCAGGTGATTTCGTCCGGATCGCACCGAATGAGCTTCTCTTTGCAACCTCGCAAGCATCCATCGGTACGTTATTAGGCTTAGGTCAGGCTCACTCTCACGGCCGCGACATATCTGACGGGTTGGGATCTCAGACATATACACCCCGCATGTGAAGAATCATGAGTCTTTCATCAAGTCTGACATCAACGACCGTGGGGACGAGCATGGAGGCATTCTTTTTGAACGGGATCCTGCTCGTCACCGCATAGTCGCCAAGCAACTGGCCCCAGCCTTCAGTTCTCGTGCAAGCATGGCCAAGGAGCCCGTCATGCACATGTACATTGATGCATTTGTTGACGCAATTGGGGCTAGTATGGCTCAGCAGACAGAAGGAATCGATTTTTCAAAGTGGTGTAATTGGCTGGCCATGGACACGTCGGCAGACATGGCGTACAACCGCAAGATGCACGAAATGAAAGACAGTAAGCAAGTTTCTGCCTTGAGCTGGCAATAAGTGCCACAATTTTGAAAGGATACCTGACTGATTCTTACGTTCAGTGAGGAACTCAGCCTATCTCGAGGTCCTCCTTGGCTTTAATGCCTTTACAACTCTCGAGCAAGTCTCGAAGAGATTTCCCTACGTCAGTCGGGTAATCAAGCCAGCCCTCTTCACCTATCTACCCAAATCATCATTGAAATCCATCCCCGAGATGGTAAGAACAGGTCGTGAAGAAGTTCAGCGACGCATCCGACAAAAGGGAAACACCGAACATCTCGACTTCTTCGAGCAAATGGTTCCAGCCCGAGATCCTATGCCGACTGACCCCAAGGAAATGCGGCATCTGGAACAGGTCGCCTCTCAATTATTGTTTGCTGGTTATGAGCCCATATCTTCCTGGTACTACAGCACCTTGTTTTTCCTTCTCAAAGATCGCGCGGCGTGTGAGATATTGGCCGCGGAGGTCCGAGGCGCTTTCAAGAGCTACAAAGGTATATCAATTCAAGCCCTGGCTTCCCTCAAGTACCTGAACGCCTGCCTTGAGGAATCACTACGCCTCTTTCCGAGTAACAACACTGGACTGCCGCGGATAAGCCCAGGAGCTGTGGTAGATGGGAAGTACATCCCGAAAGGAGTAGGTCTTCCACTTTCTCATGTTACGAATCAGAAGGACAAGGAAGAAGACACTGTTGCCTTCTAACTTCTAAGTTTCTGACAATTCTTCCAGGTTTATTGTCAAACGAGCATTTTTGCCGCGTCACGCAAACCTGAGATGTTTGTCGATCCTCTTCAATTTCGGCCGCAACGCTGGCTGCCAATCGGCCACCCGCTTTACGAGGAAAGGTTCTCCAATGATAATACCAAAGGCTTGTTCCCATTCAGTCATGGACCTCGGGCTTGTCCAGGTAAGGAGATCGCCTGGATGCAAGCCAGGCTGTTCATTGCCAAAGTTCTTTGGTCCTTTGACCTGGCCAATGTCGAAGGACAGGAGCTCAACTTCGAAAGAGATTTTGTTACATACGGTTTTTGGGTAAAGCCCAGGTTGATGATAAGATTCTTGCCGGTATCAAGAGATGAATAATCTCCCAATGGTTACAGGGTCACGAAGTATTTGTGTGTTTTGAGTAGATAGCGGCATTTCATCCAGAACATTGTATTTCAAGGTCCGAGACGTTCCTCTTGTGATGACTTAGATGCGTGCCTTCAGCACTCTTATATCAGATTGTCATCCAAATCCACAGCATGGGTGCTTTCAAGTGTCGATTGTGTTGTGTTGTAAAACATACAGGATATATATTGACCTGGTTTTTTTTTTATACGGGAAGACCTATCTTCAATTTTGCTACTGCCATATGTTCGATAAGTATGACGACAGCTAGTAATTTACATTCTGCGTGTTCTTTTCGACGACGCCTGCAGGTTATTTTATTGACTGTGTGCAAGACTTCTGTAGATATTTCGCCACCCAACAATTCCTCGACAGGAAGCAGTAAAGGGTTCTCAGGTGGTTTTCTCGTTACTTTCCACCGGACCCATTGATCTGTCATCTTTGGTTCTGTTTTTCATCCCGTACTCGGTTTCAAGCACAGTGCGCAGCGGCACGTCCTTCTCAAAGAGTGACAAGAGGAGTGCCAGACCCATAAAGGCAAAACTCACAACGAACACGCGCTTGATGGCGTCACTATAGACTGCGCGAATTTGATCCTGCACCGCAGGTGGGAACTCCCGCACGAAGGCTGCCGAAGCATATTGATACGCTCCGCCATGAGCAAGAAGCTCGGCGGCCCGAGGGTCGGATACCGCAGCCACCGCACCATCAATATAATTTGCAAAGACAGCTGCAGGTATTGCCACGCCCCAGACGCTTCCCAATGTGCGCACAAAATTCCACGCCGCCGTAGCCGCGGCCTGGTCTGACTCGTCCAGCGGCGCTTGGAATGCCGGCAAAAGTGTGTTTAGCAGTATGCCGCCGCCAATACCAGCAACGAGCTGGAACAAAACCCACTCCCAGACAGGTGTTGTCTCGTTCAGTAGCGTATAAAGACCTCTGCCTAGACAGAATGTGCAGAAGCCGAACACATGGATCATCTTGTACTTGCCCAGTCGAGCTAGCACGAAGGCACCGACTGCCGCACTGGGAATACCGAACAGGGACAACGGGATTAGGCAAACTCCAGCTCGACGAGGCGTTGCTAGTTGGACGGCTTGAAAGAATACTGGGAGAAAGAACACACCCCAATAGACGAGAGCAGAGTTCAGGAAAGTGTTGATAGCGACGATGGCAGAGGTGCGGTTGCTGAACAGGCGCGGGGGCATGACAGGTTCCTGGGGAGCCCAGGGCCCGGCTTCGACGGCCACGAATAGGCCAAACGCGACGAAGCCGATGAGCAGAGGCAACAAGGTATGCCAGGAGGACCAAGACCAGCGTGTGCCGGCGTACGTCAGAGCAACAAGGATAGATGTGCTGCCTGCGATGAGAATGCCGTTCCCAATATAGTCGATACGCCTCAGCTGAGTGGTCCAGGCAACATCATGCTTCTGGTAACCGACTTGTAAAAAGACGAGCAATAGGACCAAAGAAGCGCCACCTATTGGCAGGTTGATCCAGAAGACCCAGCGCCAGTTGCCGGTTTCAACGATGGCGCCTCCAATGAAAGGCCCCAACGTAGTTCCAATGCTATAAATTAGCATGATAATTGCAATATAATTGCCACGGTGCCGAAGAGGCACGAGGTCGGAAACAATGATATCTATTACTCGCAGGAGCGTGTTAGTTCTAGTTTCTCACATCATTCTTTGCGAAGATGGTCCTAAAGGGGGTTCGGGCCAAGTAGTTATTGACTCCAAAAAGCTTAGGCATACCAAACACCATGATGATCCCACCTGAACCAATCCCCTGCACGGCTCGTCCCACGATCAACATGGCGCCGCTGGTTGCACCACCGCAGATTCCGCTGCCCAGTAGAAAGACGGCAATGATTCCTATCGTCACCCATCGCCGGCCGAACAGATTGCAGAGCTGGCCGGTAAAGGGCTGGAACGCAGCACTGCACAAGAAGAAGGCATTGGTGATCCACGTCCAGCTGTCTCCGAGTGGAAGCTCAGCCAGGATCTCAGGTGCCGCCGTGACGAGTACTGAGTTCTCCAGCGCGCTGAGTAGGAGCATCACTCCGAGTCCAACGATGATGGCCCAGAAGCCGAAAGTGCGCTGCACATCGTCACCAGCGGTGGCTCCTTTTTCCGGCTTGTCCGTGCCGACCAGTTGGCTCTCGTTTGGATGGGCTTTCATACTGGCGCTAGGGCTGCTCATTTTGTTTCCACGTACATGCACTTTCAAGCGGGGTTCAAGCAACTATGATTATGTGCGGATAAAGACTGTTGAAGATGAGACAGATTCAGCACGTATCTCCAGGACAGAAGCGATCAATGGAGTCACAAAAAAAGCAAACACTTCACCTCCAGCAAAGTAGGGCCGTTACCAGATATCCATTCACTCCTGAAGTCACCCGTTGGCAATGATCAAGTCAGCATACGCCCACCCAGCTTCTACAGTACGCCCACCCAGCTTTTAGCGTTGGCCCACCTAGTATAAGGAAATTGGCTGCATGCATTAATAAAATATAAGTATATCTTAAAAATTAGCTTTTTAAAATTATAATTATCTTATTACTTTATTATATTTATTTTATTATTTTTTATATAATATATTTAATTTATATTTATTATATTAATATAAGGTATAAAAAAAATTTTATAACTTTAAGTTAACTTATTTATTTTATTATTACTTACTTTATATAATATTTAATTTATTTTATAACTTTATTATAAAATTACTTTTTATTTATTTATTTATATATTTAATTAATTTATTTATAAAATAATATTTATTTCTTTTTATTTCTTTAAATTAATTATTTTATAATTTTTATTTTTAAATATTATTTTATTATTAATATTTTTAAACTTAATCTTAATATAATTATAAATAATTAAAATAATAACTTAAAAATAATAATTTAAATATTTAAAATATTTATAATATATTATTTTTATTTTTTAAAGTAATTATAAATATTTTTTAAATATAATTTATAAAATTATATTTAAATTTAAGTAATTTTATTATTTATTTATTAAAATATAATTTAATAATTATAATCCTTATATTAATATTTATAAAATAAAGTATAATTTTTATTTTTAAAATATACTTAATATTTAAATTAAGCTATATAAATATATAATTATAATTATATAAATTAAAAAAAACTTATTTTATTATTAAATTATTATTAAATATATATTTAATAATAAAGTAAAGTATTATAATAAAAAAGTAAATAAAATTATAAATAAGTTTATTAATAATTTTAAATAATAAATTAAAAAAATAATAATAATTAAGTAAAAATGGTTAAAAAAGCTATTAATTTTATATAAAATAAATTATTTATTTAGTTTTATAATTAAGAAAAATATAAATACTTTAAATAAATATATTTAATTATATATTTTATATATATTTATTAAAATATATAGGTTTTTTTTATATTATAAAAATCTTTTTTTATATAATTATTTAATATTTAAAATTTTTAAAAAATACTTTTTTATTAAAATTACCTTTTTACCTTATTATTAAAAATAATATAATATTTAGCTATAATAATATTTATTAAGTATTTTTATTATTTACTTTTTTTATATAATTTTATATAAGTAAATAAGTTTTAAAGATATTAATAATTAGCCTAAATTACTTAATAATTAAAATATTAAGGGTTAGCTATTAATTAAATGCTTTATTAATAATTTAATTAAAAATAATTATTTAATTAACTTATTAATTAATATAAAATATTAAGTTAAGTATATTATATATTATTTTATAAAAATAATATAATTTAAAAGCCTTAATAATTTTCCTTTTTTTATTATAAATATTATTTATAATATTAATTAATATAAATTATTATTTATTTATATAATTAAAATAATACCTTAATAATGCTTATATATTTATTTATTAGCTTTAATAAATAATTAAATAATTAAGGATTTTATTTAAGTGCTTAAAATATTAAAAAGCTATAAAGTTAATTATAACTTTTAAATAATAAATATTAAAATTATTAAAAGCAATATTATTTAAGTAATATTTTTATAAATATAAATTATTATATATTAATAATACTTTTTTTAAATATTTAAATATAATATTTATATTACTTAATATATCTTAAATTATATAATATTTAAGAAAATAAAGGTAAAGTTTCTTGCTATAATTAATGCTATTTATATTAATAACTTTAAGAAATTTTAAAGCTTATTTCAATAAAAGTAAGTAAAGATTAATAAAGGTATAAAAGTTATTTATTATATTAATAAAACTTAATTTAATTATTATTAATAAAGCATTTATTAAGCATACTTTTTATATATAATATACTTTAATATCCTTTTTATATTTATTATAAAGAATTTATATTATTATTTAAAGATATAGCTTAGCTGCTAAAAATATATATATATAATTATAATAAATGCTTTTTTTTATTTAATAATAACTTTATTTTAAAGGTTTTAAGATATTTTAATTAAAAAGTTAAAAATAATATTAAATATATTACTTTATTTCTTTATATTTTTAATTAATTTATTATTTATAATATCTTAAATTATAAGTAATCTTTTTATTAATTATTATAATAAGTTAAAGAGTTTAAGTTAATTTAATATATTATATATAAAATTATTTTAATATATTATAAAATGCTTATATATTTATAAAGTTAATATTATAATATAAAAAGATAAGGCATTTTACTTAATTAAATTTTATTTATATTAATATTAATTAAAACCCTTTATATAATAATTAATATAAGAATTTATTTATTAGTTATAATATTATATTATAAAGTTATTATTATATTTTTAAGGGCTTTTATTATTAAAAAATAATTTAATATTATAAGTTAATGTTAAAAACCTTAATAAGCTTATTAATCCTAAGCTTAAGCTTATATAAAAACTATACTTTATTTCCCCTTTATTAAATAATTTATTATGAAATATAAGTATTTTTAATTATTTCCTTATTAATAATATTATCTTTAAAATTAAGCTAAATAATTTATTTTTAATTTTATCTTTAATCCTATTTAATCTTATTAATATTATATATACCTCCTTAAATAAAGCTAAGCTTAATACTTTTAAGCTTAATCTTAATTAATATGCTTATATAAGTATAAAGATAAATATTAAGCCTTTTAATAAAATAAAACTCTTTTTATTATTAAAGAAAAGAAAGATTAAGTAAGTTAAAAATAATTTTAAAAAGGTAAAAATAAATTATTATATTTATAAATTAAATATACTAGCTACCTTAATTAAGTAGCTATTAAGTTAAAATAAGATAATAAAAAAGAAAAGCAGCCTTTAAAAGGAAATATAAGTAATGCTATTAATTTAAATATAAATATATAAATTTTATTTATTTAAGCATATTATTAATTAAAGTAATATAAATATTATTAAATCTTATGCTTAATTTTAATAAATAAGATTTAAAGCATAGCTTTATATTAAAGCTTGCTTAAAATATTAGCTTTTTAAAAGAAATAATATAAAATGCATTAAATATAATAAAAATAAGCAACTTATTAAAATATATATTTTTATATTATTTAATAATATTATTATTATATTTAAGTAATATATTAAAGCTTATTTATTAATTTTATTTATTATTTTCTTTAAGCATTTTAAAGTATTTTTTATTATTTATCTTTAATTTCTTAATGCTTTAACCTTAAATCCTGCTTTTTAACTTTATAATATTAAATAATTATTTAATTTAAGCCTTTTTAAATTAAATAATATATAAGAAATATATTAAAGTAATTATTATTAATTATAAATTAAATTAAGCTTAATAATATATTAAATAAAGTATATTTAAAAAACTTAATAATATATAATATAAAAAGAAATATAAGCTTTATTATTAGCTTATAACTTATATTAATATAATTCGTATTAATTAGCTTATAATAAATTAAGCCTTATTAAATAATTTATTAATATATAAAAAAAACTTAATTATAAGAAATATTATAAATTATAAGCTAATTAATTAAATTAATAATAAGAAATATATATAATTAAATTATATAAAGAATAATAATAATATAAATAATAATAAATATTATAAAGGCTTAAAAAAATTTAATTTTATACTTTTAACTAATAAAATTATAATTAAAAAGTAAAGATAAGGTAAGTTTATTATTAATAATAATATATTATTTTATATAATTTAAATATAAAAAATGCATAATTATATTTTATTTATTATAAATCTTAATAATTAAATTTTTAAAAAGATTTAAAAAAAATTTAAAGTAAAAAGAAATTAATTATTTTATAAAACTTTTTATTTTAATTAAAATTAATAAAGATATTATATTAAAAAAAATATATTTCTTAATATATTAAAAGAATTAAGTAAGAAATTTATATAAAATTATATTATTATTAAGAGTAATTTTTAAGCAAGGAATATAATATTATAATGTTTAATTAAATATATAATATATATATATAATAATTCTTAAATAAATTTATTTAATATTAATATTTTAAACTATATTATATTTATCTTAAATTTATTTAATATTTTTAAGTATATTATTATTAAGGCTTTTAAGCTTATTACTTATAATATAAATTTATTATCTTTTATTAAGAAATTTATATTTTTTAAATTCCTTATTTTATTACTTTTTAATTATATATTTTGCTAAAATCTTAATTAATATCCCTTTTATATTATTTAATAAGCTAATTAAGCATGCTATATTTAAAGGTATAAAAATTATTATTAAGTATTCTTTTTCCTTAAAATAAGTAGTAAAGGTAAGGTTTAATTTTCCTTTTTTTATATAATTATAAAATAAGCTTTAATATTTAATATTTAATTAAATATATTATAATATATAAATATTATTGGCGGGTGTAGGGAATTATATAAGAAATAGTACCGCATTAAATTCCGGCTAGCTATAAAAAGTTAGCTTTTATACTTATTTTAAATATTCTTTTAAGGAATTAACTCTTTTCTTTTCTTATATATTTAATGCTTTAATTAAGCTTTTCTTATTTTTAAGAATTTTTAAAATATTTATCTTTTTCCTTTCTTTAATTCCCTTTTATTCTTATCTTTCCTTTTTATTATATTAAAGCTTTTCCTTAAGTTATTCTTAAAAGGGTTTAGTA